CCGCCAGTTAGCAGGAACAAACACAGTAATATACGAGGAGACATACACAACATGTTGAAGCTGATCATTGAAGATGAATTAGCACAGCGCCACTGTTGTTAATTTCGCAAACATACACAGTATATGGTATTGCGGCATAGCGCACCTAGAATATTGTGGAGTTAGAAACCTCTTTCATCTGCACTTATAATATCACCTACGCACACCGAGATATAGAAGAGTCACAAGGGACCAGCGTCTCTTCTGCTGCGAGTCAATTGTATGATTCTGTCATTACGGGACACTTCTCACCCAAATCAGTTCAACCTTTACGACCATTCTTAGTGAGACTTGTGTTATTCCGGTAATGGCATCAACATACCTCTTGTTCGAATGTCAGCACTGCAAAATATTAGTATAAGAATGTTAGCGGTTCGTGATTGCTATCTGCTCACCCCAATCATATATAACTGCAGCAGATGAAGCAACTGCGAAACCGCAGCCAGGTTAGATCGAGATCATCACTGACATAGTATCATACGACTGGCTGCTCTCCACGAACCTACGACATAGCTGTAAAAACGAAACCAATTCATTAGCGGCCACATAATGGGATCATTCCTGACTACAGTCATATTCGGGGGTGGGAGTGAGTAACAAACTCGGTAGACGTGTATAACGATGTCCTGGGCGTTCATGATATATTATACCACCGTCCAGACATCGTGGGATGAATATTCGTTCCTGTTTGACAGAAGTAAGTGACACGGTGACGAAATTTACCAAGTAGAATAAAGCCATTTGTCACACGCAAGGAATCTGATTTTAGCAATTCTTCCCAATGTAACTCTCGTCGTTGCTACATGCCATCAGTTCAGAAGTTCCACCAAGTAAATCATGAAGTCATCTACCTGACATAGGCCACGCAGGAAAATATACGATCTTCATTGTGCCACGAGAGATGGTGAGGGTATTGAACTGATCAATAATCACTATGTGTGACCGAAGGCTTGCGCAAGACCATGAGCAATGTCGACCATGATGCATGATGCATGATGTCCAACCGCAAAAAAATGTGCAGGCAAGATTACAAAGCTAAGAAAAGTTTGTTGTTTCAGTAATTCTCTGTGAGTATCTGCGCAGACTCCGCATGTCCGGTCCGGTTGCACAATGCTAACATTATGCAGGACTTCGTCACGCAATCCGAGTCCACCAAGTCCCTTGATACTTCATGGGCGTTCATTGTTCGTGGCGGGCAGCTAGTTATAATACAACATGATTTCCAGACCTATATATCTCTTCAAAACTAAAACTACTTCGGAATATGAAATCAGTACCACAACGAAACTTCAGATAAAAACCTCTCACTCGTTGCAGAAAGCCCGTGTTAGACACCATTGCCGGTTGACATATACGCACGCTCCTGGAAAGCGATTGTAGTCATGGCGGTTGCTGCATCAGAGTCGGCCACGAGCTTAGCGTGATATTCTCGAATGCTAAGAATGAGGCGTGGACCCAGCACAAACAGCTGCATGACCGTGGTCAATGCGAGAATTCCGTCGTAGGTGCCAGCTTCCACTGAAAATGAGCCCATGATATCTGGAGAGTAGAACCCGAGTTGGAAGCAATAAGCAACAACCAAGCTACATCCGAATGTTCAGCCTAAACAGACAACCACATTCAAATTACGAGCTTACCTTGTAAAGTAGGCCACATGAGTTCTTAATAACATTGCGAAACAGTCCCCAGTGTTCCATCCTGTCGCTGTTTGCCGCTGTTCACGGAAGTGCTTTACAACAACCCAGACTGCGAGACTCAGGACAAGGCCATCCCACATAATGTAGGCTATCCAAATTGTGATATCCAGAGGTTCGGTGCGTCGCCCGAACAGATAAAAGCAAACACGGGCGCTAGGAACAATGAGCAGTCCTGATGTGCGCCTGATGAGTCCAACACACCTAAGCCTTTTATCCAGAATCAGAGCTTACCCCCTGAAACCTGCGTGTTTACTACCAAGGTAATAATTCCGCACATGATCATGACAGCCACGAAGATTACAACCAGAAAGATGAGGATCTTCCTAGACCGCTGATACATGGCATGCAACCGAGTGATCATGATGACTTGCATAATATTTCGTCATTATTATTGCAGCTGGAAAAAAAAGGCTTACTGCCAAGCATGACATTTACGACGAAAGTCGCCCAACTTATTGCCTTGAACATAGAAATGCCTGAAAACCCGCTTGTGATGAGGCCCTGAGTATCAAAAACTTCGAACAAACTCACAGCTATTGTGGTTATTAGACACAACCAACGAGCAGGTTGAGCATATCACTCACCCCTACATAAATTGCGGTGAATTGGATGGGAAAAATGCACATTGATGCAGAATACCCACCGCATCTGTCTCTGACAGTGACGGATGATTTACTGCATACCATTCGTCAGAAAAAACAAACATAGCGTGCATGAGACGTACTCAGTATGGGAAGGCTGATTGTGAGATGGTATATTAGTATAGCACCAACTTTTAGTCTAGCAAACATACAGAGCATAAGGTAGGCCAGCATAGCGCAACTAGAGTATTTTAAAGTGAGCTTAACTTGCGAACAGCACGTTTTCAAAGATAATTTCGCTGCGTACAAACATATATAGAAAGGTCATGAGAGACCAGCGTCGCCTCTGGCGCGAGTTATTCATATTATCTTGTGATATGGGAGACTCCTCACCCAGACCAGTTCAATCTGTAGACCAATTCTTAGTGGGGTGGTTACTCTAGCAATGGCACCAACCTACCTCTTGTCCGAAAGTGAGTACTATAAATATGATAAGTACATCAGCGATTCTGTAATACACTTGCTCACCCCAATCGTATGTCACCGCGGCACAGGAGGCAGCTGTAGGCAAGGTTAGTTCAGCACATCACCGATGTGATTTGATAGCTGCCCACGAACCTATAAAATAATTCTGAACGCGATACGAATTGAGTAGTGTCAACACAACAGGACCACTTAAGACTGAAGTCATCTTCGAGGAATGGGCAAATGAGTGGTGGGCTTGAAGGGCATTTGATAATTCATGTTAGATATACTACTATCCGGCACTTTTATCGCCGAAATAGACACCATCGACATGAATATCCATTGGATGATGCCTTGATTGACCAAAATATGTTCTGGTTGTGGACCTGCAGTCATACACGCGTAAGCGTCCTATTCTACAAAGACCAAAAGGCCGTTCGTGGTTTTAGCAACTCGCTTTCAATGCCATTTCTCGGGATATGCTTGCCTTAATTGAGGGGTTTCATCAAAATATCCACGAGGTTCCCTGACCTGAAATAGGCCCAGGCATATCCACGATGCGACCACCTGGATAATTCACAATGAGTACATTGAAATACTCACAAGGTTGGAACCAACCGGCATGACACTAAAAAGGTCAGATGAACATAGAAAAGGTTGAAAGTAGCAAAAAACGCCTCAAAGCACACGGCTCCCCGCATGATCAAGTGCATTGCCATCTCAGTAATCATCGTTCTCACCAAAAAGGCGGGGAATGATGATGTGAATACATAGGCTGGAACATCATACTTATCTGATCAGGTGCCACTAGTTTGTTTTCTCGGAGTCGTCATTATTGTCTTGCTCACCAGCAGCATCAATGGCGGATGCAGTAATAAAGATGCTATAATGAACGACTCGTGAGTCATGATGGCAGGCGAGTCTCTGCAACGCTTCTAGGCGCCGCTGTCGAACTCAATAGAACTTGAACGCCAGCAGTGAATTTTCAAACGCAACACCGGCCTATGTATCGAGGACATGTATGAAACCCACAATGGCAGTGTTAGCGGGCAGAAAAGGCGGAGGCAGTGGACAGCGTGAAAGTCGGTCCGCAATATGAAAGGCGGGTACCAATAGATACTATGTGTTCGTGGAAAATCTGAGTGATTGAGCCAATGCGAAGTAAAGATCACGAGACTCACATCAGAATGCTTCCAAGTCCCATTGGCTGCGAACCTCAACACGTCCACGACAGCAGGTGCGTGGGGGATACCAGGCTAAGTGTTACCGTGACTGAAGCAAATTTCAAGCCGTTCACTTGGGTGCAATAGTACTAGCGCCGCGGTCCAAAGCGGGTCCCAAATTAGAAGGCTGAAGCTTCCGAAGCGGGCTCAGGTAAATTGCCGCATCACTGCCGCAACTTGCCGCACCCTACCGCACCACTGTCGCACCCATACCAAATCATAAGTACTACACTTATTTTCGGCCTGCACTGTTCTCGTGCACCAAATAAATGAACTAGGAGTGTTTCTCGTCCGACTCCTTAATTATCCACTTCACACTAATGCATTTGAGAGTCTGAATTCAGAGAACGATTTTGAGCATGTTGCGGCACGGATGCGGTACTGGGTGCGGCAGCTTCCAATCAAGGTGAGTCTTAGTATACTGTATATATATGAGACACTAACATTCAGACTGTCTACAGCACCCACCTCGCAACGGCCTGTCTCCCTTGACAAGCTCCATATTACCATGTGCACGTCGCACCACCCCTCAATGGCACAGCCACTAATATCGAGGGATGGGCATCGATCTTTGCAGTATCACGCTTATCATTGCATCTTGAGCGAGACTCGATGTTTGCCTGAATGCTGTTGTTATACAGCCCTAGTCGTAAGGATGATTTTGGTACGTTAAAGGACTTTAATTCGTGAATTCTGCTGATTGCATCATTGTATCTTCCAGAGTTTTATCCGTCAATTATTTCGGCGCGGGACGCCATGCGAGCGTGATACAACACAACCCAATACCACGGGTGTGACCCATAGTGCCAAGGAAGGTGCGTGACCTAATGGCTGCTCAGAGACCGGGCATCCTGAATCATGGCCTCCAGCCTCCGGTTGTAATCGCACAGAAACTGTGACTGCGCAATCTCTCACTGATACTCCCAATGAACATGTTCGTGTTGATGGTAAGCATTTTTCAGCCCTTCTCTTTCACTACGCCAATTCTTTATCTGATGACTTCAGTTACCGTCCGTGTTTTTGACACACAAAATCAAAGGCTCGAGTCGCAGCACTATACCTCGAATGCTCACACCACTCCGACTGTACAACAACCACCCGCCCCATCACAGCTCGCACTTGCCAACCAACCACCACCAAATGAGGCGCGAGATCAGCCTCATGGAAATGTGCGATTTCCTATTGACGAGCCACATGGACGAAAGGCTACGCACACCTTTGCTGTCTCTGAACCAAGGGCACCTAAACCTCAGCCCCAGGTACCTACCAGTGGTAATACCGAGTGGGATGTCTGGCCTGACGGCCACATTGTGCGCACCTACTCGCATGAAGATGCCAAACGGCCCGAGGTCAACAATTTCCACGTCCACTGGGCTTGTGAGGGCGTAGGTGCTCCTCGACATAAAGGCTCACTCGATGCGTTACAGTGGCAAGACGGTGTGCGTAGTCGTAGACGTTGCCACGGTGTAATTATATGCACCAACCATGAATCCAAGGGTGGATCATGTGCCATTGTCATCCGCCCTACAACGACGAAGAAACTCATTACGAGGCAGCTTGAGACAACATGCTCGTGTGGTGCCATGCTCGTCCATAATCACTGCGGTATAATTTACGACCTTTTCAAATTTGCGGGCGGTGTGTGCTTCGTTCATCGTGGCTTTCACAACCACCTTCGCCCACCGCGACGATTGCATCTGACGAGAGTGGAATCGGATCTCTTCCAGCAAGTCATCGAGGAGCACCCCCGCATGGGCGCAACACAGCTTTTGATGGGCCGCCCAGGCATCAATGGACCCCAGGAGTCAATTGCGGTCATATCTCCAGTGCTTCTGAACACAGCCAGGGTGAACCTTGAGAGAAAAAAGGTTTTCGCGATGAGCCGAGGGAAGGACATTATTGCAGAGTTCACGGAGTTCCAGCGCCAGCATCCTAATTTCGTTATTTTCCACACCTTCGATCCCGTCGCAGTTGTCATCACGCAGTCACCCACCATGTTGTCGTTTCTTGTCAAGAATCACAGTAATGGCATTATATCTGATGCTGCCCATGGGTTTTGGGCTGAGCGTAATGATCTATTAATCATAAGCTCGGTCTTCAGTGATGCTCTGCAATGCTGGGTGCCAGGTGTAATGACATGGTCGAATGGTGGCACCGAAGCACACTACCGTCATCATTTCCGTGCACTATTTGAAACAATGGCAGGGGAGTATGAAAGGCAGAACATTATTCTCACTGACGATCTTTTTGCGAATGTGAGTGCATGATGTCAAACGTAGTGACACCAATTCCTCACGAGTTCATTTTCTATAGGTCGTTGATTTCAGCCAGGCAGAGCGAGCAGGCTTCATCAATGCATATGTAGAATTCTGGATGGTTCGTGAAGATAATACTCGCCCAGCTGAAGAACTCGCAGAAGCTGCCAGGGGTCTACTGAAGGGCTGCCACCCACATTTTCGTGCACAGGTCACTCGTGTCAAAAAAATTAGTGGTGTCGTCCCTCCTGCACTTGCAGATGTGTTCGAAGACCGTGTGCTGCAGCTCCTGCAGTGTCAAGACCTTGCGACGTTCAAGTCTATCTCATCATCTCTCATTCGTGACTACCCCAAGGCTGAGGACTGGTTGAACTGGTGGATGGCAGATGGGCGTGCTGAAATGTTGTTTGCTCCCTTTCGGCGCATGCCAGATAATCTCTGGTATAATCTCGAGGACACCACCAATGCGGAGGAGGCAATGCATTGGCGGATATACTGTGGCCTTGGCAAGTTTCATAGCTTCGTGGCTGGATTACATGCACTGCGAGCATTTTCTGAGTATTGGCAGCTGCAATTGGCTGGTAATTCTTGTGCGTGAATGCCCTCACAGGCATATATGCTCACTAATCACTAACCCAGCTGGGATTCCTCTTTTCTACGGAAATATGCGGCAGTTCTGGCAGAAATGGAAAGCCGAGCTTGGCACTACACATCCTTCTCGTGCACCCGACAAGATCGCAGCCAAAAAACGAACTCGAAATGATGGTCGCCCCCCTGATACAGCTCGTCAATTACTCGGCAATCACTCTACCAATGGAGAGACCCTACATGACACATCATTGTCTCCGACGAAACGACCCCGCCTAAATGACATCAAACGAGCATCCTATAAGTGGTCTAACAACTCATGTTGGCTTGATACTTCACTCGAACTCCTTTTCGCTGCTGCCTCACAAGATTTCGAGACATCATTCAGCCCTCGAATGTCAGAGTTGACTGATGAAGACTCGCTTTCACTCCTCAGTCATGCCCTCAACGCTCGCACTGTGGTGCAAGGCCCCGATCCCTCAGCACCAGATGATATTGTTGGTATGTTGATTGTGCAGCGCGATAGTCTTAGAAAAGACCTCTCCGACAAGAATATAATCTCGGACGTAGACTCTTTCGAACCAATCTTTGTATGTAACGAAATGAACTATTGTGGTCACATCCTTAACAGAACACTTATGTTGCAGACTTGGTTAGGATCATTGCTCGACTATCCACGAAACTGTCCTATTAAATTCATGCATGGCTACTTCCATCTTCACATGATTGATGTTCGCTCATGCTCCGGTTCACTCTCTAACGAATCGACGTTCATGCAAGATCGGCACTGGCAAATTGTCCGCAAGCCTAGGACCGTCTTTCATCACCAATTGGGAAGATCTATGGCAGAGCAGTTTGACGGGGATGTGAGCAAATGGTTTCGACACTTAATCCAGGTCAAGAAGCCACCCGAGAAATCACGTTCCTGCTGGTGTGTATTGGATGGTGACGTGTTGTGCAACGGGGCAGCCACTTGTCTCAAATTTTGCTCACATATACCCATCACATTAATAATTGAAAACAACGATCAAGACATCCAAGGGCATGATAACAACGGCTCATCGTGGCACTTCCCGCAGACGATTCGACCACTAGACGGAAAGGCAGAGGAGCGTCAAGGTGTTGTATATGATATTGTTGGGCGAGCATTCTTTAGTCCAGGCACCAGTCATTTCATTGCTCGTTATGCCACTCCCGACAAACGCATCTATGACTACGACGGGATAAAGTTTGGTGGTTATGTGACATTGGATAGGAAGGCAAAAACAACCACCCACATCGCAGGCACACATCGCCTGATATCCCCACCCCCTCGATTCAACACTTGCGCTGTGATTTACCATCTTCGTGGAGGGACCGAAGCTCAACGATACTTTTCACGACACCAGATGGCATTAGCGCAGCAGATGTTGAACATCGAGTTTGTCAACGCACATAATGGCAGCCAGTTGACTGATAGCGAACTGTCAATACCCCGGGAAATTCAATTGCATGGTGACATTCTCCCGATTCCGTCAGATGAGCGGTTCTGGGCCCTGGATCAAACAAACTCGTCAAAATATGTGGACTATGTATCTCACAAACCCACCGTGGAAAGTTCATTGCCCCCCCCACCGATTTCACAGCCGAGACCACCGAAACGAAAGAGGGTACAGTTGAATGTCCTAGATAGCGATGATGATGAAATCCAGGAGGTCAAACCACCACCTCTATCCCAAGAATACGAGTTCTACTGTCGGTGTGGAAGCCGGGAACATGGAGATCTCCAGCAAGAGAGCGAAGTGGCAATTCAGTGTGATAACTGCGAGCGCTGGTCTCACGTAGCTTGCCAGAGGGATGGTCGGGCAAGTAACTTGACAAAAAAGCAGTCATTTTACTGTGATGCTCCTGACTGTGCGCCATATAGTGATCGTGTATCACTCTCGCAAATTAGACGGCCTGAGCGGTGAGTTTCTTTATTTGTTGCATCGAGATTCACAATGTTATATCGTCGTAGTATTTCCCGCCACGTCACGATTCCTATGGTGAAGCGCTTGTTGTAAGTTTGCCTAGATATTTATATAGTGAACGGGAACTCATCAATTATATGCAGACCAGGGAAGGGGGCACTAGCATGTCGGAAATTTCTAAAGGGGGCTTGGAAGGCTGCTATATTTGGACTGAATTGTGATGCCTTCCAACTTCATTGCATCCGAGTTTCAAGTTGGACCGAGTCTATTTCGAGCGTCTGGCAAAGGCACCGACTTCTTTTGGTGTCTCGCAAGATGCCGTGCTGTGTTTCAATAGGCTGACAAAGGTCCAAGGGGCTTGGAAGGACTATACAGTTTATATTATTAATCAGCGACTCTGAATCGATCAACGTTCTTCGTGACGTATCATATCATATTGCCCTTAGACTGCCGCCATCTGCAATCACTGATTCGCCTTCGATCATCGATCATCAATCAATCTCTTGTTAATTCTGTATTTTAGATGTCATCTACACAAGGACGGGCCTATGTACAGTCAACAACTCAATCATCTGCACAGGTCCGATGTAAGTTCTGTCAGAGATCATTTTCTGCTCGTGGCATCAAGTCACACGAGGGGAGCTGTTCACGCAAGCGGGAGAAGAAACGGCGCGACAAGGAGTTTGCTGATATTGCAGCTCAGGTAGTTGAGGCCCAAAGGAAAGGTACGCCATCGTTCCAATATTACATCTACTTAGTTCGTTGGACTTCGAACGTTATGATGCGTCAGATTTTATATTGACATATATTGATCAGAACATCGAAAGGACAAACGACGCCTCCGAAATGGACACAAAGTAGCTGTAACTGACACTACTGGACCTTCACAGCCGGCGGATGATCAGCGCGCCCATTATGACATAGCAAATGTCGAAGGTGCCGACGACAACACGTTTGGAGACGTGGAGGATGGTGTTATGAGCATTGGGGGGGATTCACGTCTACGTATGTGTACCACTCTTGCACGTTTTGTTTCTAACTATATAACACTTTATTATTAGGATCGGGCTCGGACACAAGCATGTTGACAAGTAGGTCTGCGGTAGCAACAGCAGTCCCTATCGCTTGTGATACATTCAAAACCGAATATCACCCGAACAGTGGACGCGCCCCTGCCATTGAGACCTTTTCCACCTTTGGACACCCTGTTGAGGCAGAGGCCAGTTCCACGCCCATCATCGACGACACACCTTGGCAACCCTTTACGTGCCGCGCAGATTTCGAATTCGCAGAACTTGCCCACCAAGCGGCACTCAATAAGGATCAAACCGACAAGATGCTGCAGTTGATATGGCAGATCGCCGAGGGACAAGCAAAGTTTACATTCAGATCTCACACTGAAGTGTCGAAGGCCTGGGATCGAGCAGCTACTCAAATGACGACTGTGAGATGCCCTAAATTTCATTCACTTTGTTACTGAGTATTTAGGTATAATTTGTACAGTTCGAGAAGCACGTCATCTCCGTCCCTTACAAGAAGGAGGAAATCGAATTCGACGTACATACACGGCCGCTGTGGGATTGGGCTATGGACTTGTTGCAAGATCCGCTGTTGGCACCGCACTTCGTTTGGGACGCGCAGCGTTTGTACAAGCATGATGGTACTGACTTTAGACGGTTTATTCACGAGCCTTGGACCGCAGATCGGTGGTGGCGAATTCAAGTATGCACTATTATGTATTCGTGTTTTGTATTATGCTGCTAATATATGTGTTATATCTGTACTTGCTTGATCGTAGTCATCGTTGCCGAACAACGGTGTTCCATTTGCCTTCATCCTCTACGCCGACAAAACACATCTCACTTCGTCTGGGCACGTGAAGGCCTACCCAGTGATAGCTCGTTGCGCAAATCTTCCCGTTCACATAAGAAACAGCGACGGAATTGGAGGAGGTCGTGTGGTGGGCTGGCTGCCGATTGTGAGTGTTCGAGTATCAATCATAATAGTATTAGGTACGCATAACAAGTTCTAATCCAACAGGTTCCTACAGATTCCAACGAAGATGGAAAACTCAACTACACGAACATGAAACGTGTTGTCTGGCACAAGGCGTTCATCAAGTTGCTGGAATCCATCATCCTGTACTCTAAAACAGGCTTTGCGCACAGATGCTTTGACGCCATCATGCGATGGCTATACCCACTAATCCTACTTCTGTCCGCAGATTATGAAGAACAGTGTGTATTCTCGAGGCTTGTATTACATCACGATAACTAACATTTTAACAGATGCGTGATGGCATTGATTCGTGGGCTACATTCAAATTGTCCCTGCCCTGTCTGTTGCATTCCCTCGACGAAACTTTCTGACCTCAACGCAACATATCCTACTCGAACCGTCGAAGACGCAAAAGCTTTTTTAGAGCTGTATTTGAGGGACCGCGTTGCTGGGGAAGAAGTACTGAAGGCGCATGGTTTACGCCCCATTGCGGTTTGTGTTTTGATTTCATTCATAAGCTAACTCAATTGACTACTATCAGAATGCGCTCTGGGAAGTCAACAACTCCGATCCTCACGAGACACTCTCATTCGATCCCTTACATGTCAATGACATTGGTAACTGGGGCAACCACCTTTTCGGGGAGCTCAAAGTCCGTGCAAAGGCACTTGGTCGCGAGGCCGAGGCGAAAATCGATAAACAGTAAGTATATTTTGTATTACCTTCTACATTCATATCTCTTACAAGACTCTGCAGGTTCGACGCGTTTCCAAGATGGCGTGACTTGAATCATTTCAAGTCCGTCATGACGATATCATTTAGCGATGGCAACAAACTCAGGGATATTGCGAAGGTACGCTATCCGACGTTGTATATCAATATACCTACTAACATTCTCTGGACTCTAGCAAATGCTGTACTCAGCACAAAATGTGTTGAAGCGCAGTGAAGATCCTGTTGGCTATGCCCTAATGCAGTGTATAGGTAGCTACCTGCGACTGACTATGTACATAGCGCTCGATGTGCATACCGAAGCGACACTCACCGCCGGCGAAGCAGAGCTTCAAGTATTCGGGACACGCTTACATGTATGTATATACCATTTTCCTTTGACTTTTAGTTGTATCTAACATATTTTCAGGCATATATTGACATCCAGGGCGAAGATTTGACGAAGAACTGGAATTTCCCTAAGGTGCATGCTCTGACACATGCTTTCCCCGACATTCGCGCGAAAGGAGCGGTCCGCAACTTCAGTACTCGACCGAACGAGAAACAACATGGACCATTGAAGCGAGCATACTTACGCCAAACAAACCGCAAGGATGTTGCCAATCAGGTGCGCAATTGTCCCTTAATTTAAACTGCCCGCAACGCCAACACCAACACACAGGTCCTCAAGCTTGATCACATCAGTCTGGTCTCCGAACTAATCCGCAGTCGTATTTCCTACCTCGATGAAGATCGGCGCAAACGCACAATGTCACAGGGACAACTTGAAGACGAGGATACACTAGACGATCAACCGTTCGCAGGCCATCTTCATATTGGCGCTCCTCAAGTTCCTGTCACTCTCGCTGCAGTGGAGGAAGGCAACACATCTAACCGTGCCTTCCAGGATTTCCGAAAGAAGTTCACCAAGTTCCTCAACACTTTCGTTGCATCAAACGATATTCCTTTGGCTGATGGTGTTACGTGGTTGCGGCCTACAGCTAACGACAAGGTTCGTTCATTCACCCGCATCGTTCTGAATATCTGCTAATTATGGTTTATCATAGCTCCAAGAGCATCGCTACCTCAAAGTAAACTACGAGTCTATTGTCGACTGGAGACTGACTACTGACTACCTCCGATGTAATCCGAACTTCCATGGGTGCGAACGTCGTGATTGTGCCTTGGTCCGCACTCTAGACAAGGATGGGATTGACAAGCATATCTTTGTGCGGATCTTGTTCATGTTCAAGTTCACGGTCAGCAATCACACTTTCGAACTCGCATTAGTCCTACCCATGGATACTCCCACTGGTTCCAGAGGCGGTGTGGATCGTGATCTGGGGCTGACTCGCCTTCGCGCACGACCTTCAGCCTCCTCGGAATTCATTTCTCTGCAGTCTATCGTTCGCGGCGCCTTACTTGTGCCAGATCATGATCATGATCGTGATTTCTTTCTTGTCGATCTCGTTGACACGGACATGTTCCTCCGTGCGAAACTTTTGAGGTCCTTCTAGGGTAATGGAGGCCCACACTTTCTACCCCTACGCCCCCACCCCCAATCCTCATCTAACTCACAAGGTCAAACTCCCTCATGCCATCGCATATGCCCTTCACCGCACGAATCTGCGCTCATTGGTCACCTTCGCTGCACTTGTCCTTCCCCAGCATTTAAGTTAGAAGGAACACCTTCTTGCTGCTTAGGGATCTTCAGGTCATCACCATCCTCACCTCCAAGGTCATCTGCGACGATACTTACTCAAACAACCCCAAGATCATCTGCGACAATACTTACTCAAACAACCCCAAGGTCATCTGCGACGATACTTACTCAAACAAATCCTGGAACATCATGGTGAGTACACCTACCTCCAATCCTTGTCAAACTCCCTCTTTCATCAATACACCTTACACCGCACGAAACGGCGCTCATTCTTCTCCAGCGCCCAGATTCTTGTTTTCCCGGAATTCCACTGCCCAGGGATCCCCGGGTCACCGCTTGTCCATATCCACTATCCTTGCCTCCAAAGTCATCTGCGACGATACTTACTCAAACAACCCCAAGGTCATCTGCGACGATACTTACTCAAACAACTTCAAGGTCATCTGCGACGATACTTACTCAAACAAATCCTGGAACGTCATGGTGAGTACCCCTACCCAAAACATTCTTATACAACCAATAAACCCGCATCCTTGAAGCCAGCGATAATTCCCCCATAATATTCCTCCAACACACAAACTTCGCAGCTCAGCGGTTTCAGAAGCTGAGGCGGGATATTGCAGATGCAAACGCCAAATTTTCAGTCTCGCTATCCTCTCCAACACCTACTCCAGTCGAACTCGGTGCCCCAACCCTAGCCATGATGCGGACTTCGCTTTTTGGCGTTGAAGGGTATTGACCCCCCTCCCTCACCATTTCTAATGACATTGCCTCCAGGTATGGAGGATTGTACTGTCGTGTTGTACTGGCGCCGCATCACCAGGTATCCCAAAACACGAGTTTGTGATTGCTCAGGCTGATCGCAGCCGAAGGTCACTACAGTCATGGTTGCAAGCACGCAGACGCTTCGACACACGAACAATGACCGGTGACCGAACAAGATGGCCTGACGTACAACTCTCCAGTGTCAAGGTGTGTGATCCCTTATCTACAACTGCAGTCGTGATGTAGTAATAATCTCCGCCAGGCACCCATTAAATCTTCAACACCCTCACCTAAGTATCGATTACGTCGTGCTTCCTCCTGCCAGTGATAAGACGTGTCTGGTCTAGACTCATGGAGGTAAGTAGGGTGTGTGTTTACATTAGATTCAATTGACCATGAGCCTCAGTACGTGTTGTGAGAGCGCAATTAAAGGTGTTTGCAATGTACGGTAAGTGTCAAACTGTATATAAACATCTTATGAAAATTTGACAGTCTCAGGCCAAGTTGCACCTCATCACCTCTTTGAACCATGCCTCAACCACAGCGAAGCCAATTCGCTGAAGATGATTCAGACTTCGAAAGCCATTCACACGCCAACGAGGACTCAACCGATTCTGACTCCACTGACTCGGATGAAGATCTCGTGGAGGTACGCGCTGCTATTGCGCCTGCTAGAGATGGTGCAACTATTCAGGAAGTCCGACAGGTGTGTCTTGTGGTTGTGACCGGTGTCGTTTCCCGCTACTCACATACATACAGGCGCTTGAAATGGCACAGAATCTGCTGCTGAATATGCGTGGCAAATGTCGAGAACTATTGAAACGAAACGCCCTTCTCGAAGCTACTACAGCCAAAGGACGACGGGGGAAAAACCTGACCGCCAAGGATCTTGCGCTCTCTGCCAAAGAAGACACTATACGGGCTCACGGGCGTAAATATTCTATGACGCACTGTCTATGGATTAACGCCGGGATTTTTCCTTTGCGTGTGCCTCCTAACATTGAACTCTTTGGTAGCGAGCGTTGGCTGTCGCCACAGTCAATAGAGGACGGCGTAAAGGCCGAGTTATTCAAGTTCATCCCAGAAATTGATCATGAGTTGATGGGCTATAAGAACTTTGCACCGCATGTAGGGAATGTCTTAGCTTACTTCAATTAACTTGCAACTGATTCCAATTCTGACAGTTTGCTAAGGGTGTCAGCGGCATTCGCTCAGAGATGGTTTCAGACGTCAAGTCTTGCGCAGGTGCTATTTTCGGATTGAAATCTGAATTTTTTGTCCGAGGCTACCCTCGCGATACCCAGCCAGAGTGCCGAACTTTGCTTGTAAATCCCCACGGCGAATACACAAAGTTTGCGCCGGTACTCTTTCTTCATCCAGAGCGTCCCAACAAAGACGAGTTTCTCAAGACGGCTAAGCTTGTTCGGGTGCGTGTGTTATTCTACGTACATTAACGAAGTCCTGATCGCTTCTACAATTACACTTAGGTCTTAAAGGTAGCACTTTTCGGGAAATCCTCCCTCTCCGCCACCTACGCTCCAGCCCCGAAGACCAAGGGCAAACTTTGGCAATTACGGAATACGACTCCAGGTATGATTGCTGCTGCTGCTGTTGTTGTAAGTATTCATTTAATGTCGTATCTCTGAGTGTGCGCTGATTAATATCCCACTGATAGGCAATATTTGTTCTTTCAGGCGACAAGGATCTCTACGCGAAAGGCGAAAAAAGCAACATACTGTACCAACAATATCACAACTATTATCGCCAACGTCTAATGACCGGAGGTGCCTGGGCGCGAGACATCACAAACTTTTTCAACAACGCCCTCTTTCCCGAAACCTCATCCTCACACACCGCTCAGGATGTGGCAGATACCGGCACCTCCTACAACAGCTGGGAAGAGGAACTCGAGCGCGCTATGGAAGAGGGAGGTGAAGGGCCTGCTTTTCCATTTAATCCCGTCATCATTGCAACTCAAGCTATCGCGCAATCTTCCTCTGCTGCGCACCCGCCATCTGCCTCGGTCACATGCCCATCTGCCTCAGTCGCACTACCAGCACTTACTCCTGTCACCACCCCTGACACACTGCCACCTGTCTCTGCGACAGCTCCCGTCGTCTTGCACTCGCCGGCTCCTATCATTGGGACACAATCTCGCTCCATTTCTTCGGCAATGCAAGATCTTGCGTTGGCAGGCGAGGCTAATGCGGTTGGTGCTATCCCTCCAAAGCCCAAACCAAAGCCAAGGCGTACTAATAAAGCCAAGGCGGTCCAGGACGAATCAGGCGCTGAGGTCCGTAGGTCTGGCCGCAAGAAATGATCTCATTCTAATCACACACTGTTTGTCTCAATCTTTCTTCTGCGCGCTCAAATATATTCTTTACTTTGATATGATGTCAGTCAGAATCACTACTAAATTAGGTTAGAAGTACATACAACCAAATAGCTGAATAAGCAGCTACATTTTGAGTCATGCCAAGTTTACCTTGTCGCTTGAAATCCAACCACCACAATTTCTCTAAGTCCATCGACAACCTGAATGCATCACTAATACGATTTCGCTCAACGTCGCCGCAGCTCATCAATGTGCCATATATAACGGGCATTTCGTCGTCCTTTCATCCTTCAGTCCTTCCGATCTCTCCTCACTTCTCTCACCCCCGCCTCCTACTCCACTTTCTTTTTCCAAGTCGTTCTTTAATCATCTTTTGCTGGAGCTTCTTGCTCGTATACTTGCGGACTGCGTGCCTCCTCCCCAAGTACTCCCCATTCGTCCACCATGGCATGCCCAGCCGTTCTTTCCATGTCCCTCACTCTTAGCCCGCCCACCGCCCCACACCAGCACACGTGCCCGACTGTCGCCGTTACTTGTTTCACGGCAGTTCCTCCGCATTGGTACTCCTATATATTATCAAATCCTCCACCTTCCAACGGCAACCCACGCTGCCCGCGTACTCGAGACACTCGTCGCCCAGCCAGTCCTTGTTAGTGCCGTTTGTTGTGTTGTGCTGGGCTGCGTATCGCTGGAGGGCGCCTATGTACTCCGAGTGTGTGAGATGATCCCTCATTTGTAGCATCAGTCACTTACTGATATGTGATATTCGCAGGAGTCCGTTCACTACGCACTTAAAATCAGTTCAACACCAGTCACTAGGTCTTTGGCTGAGGCTCTGCGCCATGCCCCCAATTTACGCAGTCTTAAAGCGCAACTGCCGGCGATTTGGAGTGACTTGTTCCTTACCATCTCCCAAAACCCGACTCTCGAACAAATTGCATCGTATGCAGATGGCGTAGATGGGATCTTGCATACAACTATGTACATGATGGAGGCTAAGAAGCACACGCGCTTGAGCGAACTGATTAAGGCTGGAACGTGAGTGCTCTCACACTTGGGAGTCTCGTCCTGTACCCAGTTAAAACCTTTATCTGCAGGTCCTTCATCCGAACGAGGGCTCATACAACTGCTGCTGCAGTGCCGAGTTCACCGTCAACCAGGCCCCCGACTCCACTGAGCGCCAGCAGAGTGAAGGAGGTGGCTGCTGAGCTTATGACACCTGGGCTGAGCCAGAACGTGCCCCTGCCTGTGGCGGCAAGCTTGTATGTATATTAATCGCTCCCTATCGCATCTTTCGCATCGGGTATCTTGTCTCACATGCATCCTCCTCCATCTTACGAAGGCGCGGGTTACGTAGTGTCGTAAAAATCATTTTGTATTTTGTTAGTTGAACCACCCGCAATCCAATTCTGAGAGCTCCAACGTGATTTCTATAGTTTGAATTTTACCGGTTGCATTGAAACTAGCGCTGCGTGTCGAAATTCTCTTGAAATAAAAATAAATTATTGGAAGACACCTGAGCGCTTGGAATTGTATTTCGATGCCTTGCAAGGCATGTCATCTTGGAATTTTAGCACTGCCTTGGAAGGCAGCCACAAGACCAAATGGGTCACTGCCAACCGGCTTGTGGCAATTTCGGGTGTTCTTACAAGTCAATCGTAATGCTGCCGGCAAATTGCAGCCTTTCAACCTATTTTAAGGAATGGCAACCCAAATTATGTATTTCCGACACACGCCATGGCAAATACTGGTATCCCGTCAGGATAAAGTCATGTCAGCGTGTGTCTGGAAGTCTGAGGACATCGTTCACCGTCAAATGGTGGAGGCACTGTTCTTTCAAACTCGGTACCACTCAACCTCCAGGTGAGGTTGGCGAGGGAGATATAGTTGATGCTCTCTATGGAGATCGTAAACGTCGCCGCATGATCCGGGTGTGTAACTCTTGTGGGTATATGTCAGACTTTAACATATTCAAAAACCATAGCTCGGGAAATGGACTCACGCTCACGAAGTTCCCCAGCATGAGGATGTCATTGCAAACTTTAGGAATATACCCTACAGCATTAATATCGACGAAGCATTGGCTCCTCACACTCAACTCCTTACAGATATTCTTGAGCAGCCGGATCCTGTGAAAATGCGCGACACAGTCCCAGTTCTTGGATATCTCGCTGACCTGTCAGAGAAATCAGGTCGTAGGCACACTACAGTCCCGTATTGCGGTGATCTGTCACTCACGGACTGTGCTCATATTGCAAACTGGATTTACCGAAATGTCCCTGGTGCAGCTGAACGAATTATCAATTGGCTAAACTGTGCTACATATGCACATGCTTGCACTATCGTAGTTTCGAAGCGCAAGAAAAACTTACTCCAGGAGCCAGCCGAAAATATCCTCATTGAACGTCGCTCGTCAGGACCTGGCATGGACTCAGTTCCTACTCCGGAAGAGCGAGAAAACGCGATTCTCCAGGCTGCCTGGCTTGACCTCCAACTCAGCTATGATCTGACCTCGATGGACATAGACGTTGACTTGGAGTGTCTTGGCATACTTGAACAGCGGATGTTCGAGCTCTCGTTGGCTGCAGGAGCTGCAGGAAATGAACAATGGGGCAAAGATGCTGGTGCACACCAAGAGCGATGGAATCCCTATGAGGGCCTCCCTGAGCACTGGAATCATGGCGACCGAGATTCATACGCACCGGAATTTGAAGGAGAAGTAGACGTGCGTCATCATCGCTTTTCATCGCGGATCCATCAGGAAAAACCTCCCCAGGGAATTACCCATATATCCACAACATTACATTGTTTTACTCGACTTTACATTGTTTTGCTCGACTTTACATTGTTTTGCTTAACTTTACTCAGTTTTTTTCAGTTATCACCATGTAAAACTACATGTTCACGATGCGTGTCCTATCCTACATTGAAGTAAGTGTACATGTCTTTGAAAACGTTCAAAAGAAATGAGGGGCATGCATCGAGAACATCTAAACTCGTCCACTCCGCAGGAACAGCTCCTCCCCACTTAGGCAATAAGTGAGCACTTCGACAAATTAAAGATATGGGCACAATTGACACTTGGCGTTCGCCATCGCGAACCACCCGCCTGACCTTATACAACCCAGACTGTGGATCTGGTAAAGCGCTGAAGGTCGAAAACCACTCGACATAGGCGAGATGCTGAGGTGGAGGGTTCTGAGGGTCGAAATACCGGTTTAATAATGTTTGTGGCAAAGTGAAGACTGCGCGAACCTGCGCGACACGCAAATCTAACAATTATTCTATATCAGCAAAGGATCCAGCGGACTCGAGAAGGTGTCACCTTGTATAGATGCGGGAGGCGCATCAGGATTGCGCACCTGTATAAGGCATACATCAAAGCGAGCGGCTTTGACGACACGACCTTTGCTGTTCTTCACTGCTGGCTGAGCATGTATGGAGTCGAGAGTTTCGGTCGCGTGTATCTTATCGTTCCAGAATTTGATTCGGTGGAAGACAGGTACGGAGTCGCAGGGCAAATGAATGTTCACTGCGCGATCCTCAATTTGTTGGAAGGACAGTCCCGGGTGATTGTATTGGACAATAAATCTTGCCAACGCCGGAATAAAATGAGTGGCGCCATGTGAAGATAAAGAAGTGATTTCTCGAAATGGAACCAACTTGCGTGATGGGTGACGAGTCATCTTGATGCGAAAGAGGCATGCGAGGTCTGGAGGTTGCCAGCGTTCAGCAGGAGAAACCGCGATGACATTTTCTGTGTTGGTCGTGCTCAAATTGTGGCGCCATAGGACAAAATTTGCGTGCTGCAAGACCTTCTCCTTGCGTTCAAGCCACTTCGTCATCTGCCAAAATTCGTCTTTGTGATTGGTGGCGGCGTAAGCGTCTTTTGCGAAGTCGATATGAAGCCTCTCAGTGGCCTCCGTGTTGAAGTTGTCCGTCGTGCCGAACAATTTGATTAATTCAGCGTAGTGCTGAAGAAAGTGGAGCTTCGGTATATTGAAGTTGTTGCGGACGCCAAGGTCTTCAAAGACACCTTTATTTGCATGGAATTCATCCAGCGCTGTTTCAAGTGCATCAATTGATGAATCGGAGTGAACAGGGAATTGAGCAAGGTAAAGGAAATCTAGAAGGGATCGAGTTGCGCGCACTAGTCTTGCCGGAGAAGCATTTCCTGGCAGCCGCACATCAATGACGAGGCCAAGTAAGAAGCGTGACATCTGCTTGTGCTCTGTACCGCTGACTCGGCTCAATGTTGTGATCCCTTTCTGGAAAGCGTGCATAGAATGATTGGGCGGAAGGCGGCGAACTCGCGCATCTATCTCTGCAGCCCCAACAACCTCAGTAACCCAGCTGATCATGTGCTTCATTACTCCTTGGTAAAGTTGATGCAAAATGTCAGGCGTTATAGATTGGAAGATATTGAGGTACGGAAGATCTTCCCAGAACGGATGCTGAAGTGGTTTAATTCGAACGCCGTTACAGGCTTGGGTATATTGCGGGGATCCAAGAAGTTCGAGTACGTCCAAAATTGCGTCAAGATCGCGTAGTTCATGTTGAGAGGGGTGTTCGCCAAGCTCATTGCGGGGACAAGTGCAGATGGGACAGTCTCCGTTCATCGTCCCAGTGACGAGACATTGCTCGGGGTAATCCCCAATAAAGGCCGCAAAGATTGGATGACAGCGTCGCATGATGCTGTCACCACTCATCATCACAATGCCATCCATACCGGCTAACTTCAATGGCTGGACAATGCGTGACATGCACGCATGGAAGAGATTTGCCAAGGTACGACGTCGTGATGCTTTGTTAGCAATTTGCGTGAGACGTGTTGTTGGCAGATATGCAAGGAGAATTTGACCTCGGCGGGAGGGTTTGCGGCGGATGCACTTCGGTAAATTGCCAATTGTAAGATAAACGGGATAAGCAGTTTTATTTCGGAATAGAGTGATCTGTGTCTTGTCGGATGAGATGATGATGGGAATTATCGTGGCCCCTGCTTTTGTTTGTTCCAAGACTTCCTACAGTTAAACATGAGCCAGCAACTGAGTACAATAGACATAGAACACGTACTTGGGTCGCCCACCACCATTCACCTGTACACATGTCGTGATACAGACGTTGAGTCTTGTCTGCATCCACGTAATGTCTCTCTGGTGCGAAAGAGAGGTATTGTGCATGCTCGGGGTCACCGTACAGAGCTCGAACACATTCCAGTATATCTCGCGAGAATAGGTCATACATTTCACCAGCTACGCAGGCTTCATGATGAGTGAAAGCGGGTCGACGTGATGGAATTTTGGTATCGATAATCTTGTTGAGTTCGACTGAGTTCTTGTAAGACAGACCGAGTGCTTCGTGGACCTGATATAATGTCGGACGTGAGCTTCCATGTCAAAATGCTAAATAAATTTATTATACATACACCTTCGATTGCTAGGAGATCAGTGAATGCAGTCGATCCCAGACCTCGTACTTTCGCCCAGTGCGCAACTTCCCAGTCCATCTGAGAATTAAATGGAGCCCAGGGATTTTCGACACTTCCCTCCACAGCAGCTGAGTAATTCATGTAGTCGGATCTCTTCATTTGAGGTATATTGTCCAACGGAGCCCCAGCTTCGCCTCCAAAATATTCAATAGTGACCGGAGGAGAATCTGACGGCAGCGATGCTGCATCTCGTAGTGGCTCCCGATCGACACCTTCAATATCCTCATTGTCACTCTCCAGGACGTTCTCATCTTCCTCCACCACACTCGCATGATGGTGAACATCAATATGGACCGGTTCTTCACCATTTGCGAAGGGAAAATCTTCTTCTCCATAGTCGTCACCGAAATAGTCCCCACCAAATGGCTGAGGATCTGATAGGACATCTGAATCAGGTGTTGATTGTGTGGACCTACTATGGCCACGGGGTGCGTTTCTGCGTATAGGTCGATGTACCAAACTATTGAGGCTGTCACGCTCATGTTGACAGCGTGGATCAGAGGACTTGTGGAGGTGTTGAAGGTAGGATCCTCTTCGAGGGAAATATTCATGGCAGCCTGCGCATTGAAACACCATAGTGGTTGCACTAAGAAATAGCGTACAGAGAAAAATGCTAACTGAAAAGGAAAGGGCTGAGGAAACATTACGGCCAACAAGGTTTCAACAGACCTACAAGGTTCAACAAACCCTGGTCGGTTCTTGAACTTGCCAACTAGCCTGTCGCATTTTTGCCTTTCTTCTTGTAACGCCCACGCCCACCTCCATCAACGTTCACTTGGACCTGCCCACCCCCACCTCTGTCAACGTTCACTTGGAGCCCACCTCCATCGACGTTCACTTGGACCAAGATGGCTGTACGAAAGCAGTCAAAAACTGCTACCGAACAGTCGAGGGAGACCCGCAAGGCCAGAATGCGAGCCCAGCTTGAAAATGTCTCTGTTGCAGATACAGCTGATAATATGGAGTTAGATGAGCCCGGTGCAGGACGACGTGAGGGCATATGATGTATACCTTTTCTGATTAATACTGATGAAAAGTTTTAACAGCGGCTCGTGCAGCAAAAACTGCGGCGCTAACGAGGGCTGGTCAGTACCAATTCACACTAGCGGCAACAAGATATATACTCAGATGTTCCCAGATCGCCCTATGAAACACAAACGAGTTAGAAAAGAGCCAGCCAACATGGAAGAACCAACCAGTACAGTACAAGCACCAGCATCATTGCCAAAGGCCAAGCGCAAACACGCTAATAGTGTGGTAGAAGGTCAGAGCAGAACTTAGAGCTGTGATTCTGTTTACCTTCAAGTTTGAACATAGTCCGGAAAGCATTGAACACGAGCAAAGTTCAACCATCAGAGGCGCTGCATCAGCGTGAAGTCAAGAAGGTCAAGTTAACGCCTAAGCTTAGTGAGCCCAATCAGTAATCCCACGAAACAATAACAACTCAAAATGGATAGGCAGGACTTACCCCGCACCAAATCCACTTCAAGTCTCCAGTAACAAGCGCGGCAATCCCAAGGTCAAGGATGGTACTGCTGAATCAGATCTTGGAGACTTTGATGAAGATGGCGAAGACCGTGATGAACAAGATAGCCTAGTAGATGCTGAGGATGAGGACGAAGAATTTGCAGATCTCACTGTTGAAAATTTTGGTGACGAAGTTTGTGACGAGTATCACTTGTAGCATGGGCTTAGATTACTAATCTGGGGTCCTGCACAGGGAGTGCAATGGACCCAGAAGAGTACAACAAACCAAGTCGACGCAGCGCTTGACGACGAGTCAGAGGATGATGTTTACTGGCAGCACAAGTCGAAGATTACCACACGAGAGAAGAAACTCCAGGATGAGGTCAGCTATCCAAAGGTCACTGACATGCGCACTCACTGTTTTTTGTTGTCTACTAGATGCCACACTTCGCCGATGACACAGAGCAGAAGCCTCTTACTGTGCTCGCAGTCAATTCAGGTGCCTCAGATACTGCGAGCCTCAACGGAACTACCGGTGTGTGGTTGACAGACACGGATCTACAGGTGACCGTTCGCGGGAATGTTCCATTCATCTCCATCAAACTACAGTCAGAGAAGGTCTGCAAGGTTGTTCGTGGAAGCTATGAACGAGGACAACGCATGTTTGCATTCGGCCTGGAGGACGATGTTGATCTTACCATTGACAATGTCTTCGCAATGACCACTGCATTCGCAACTCGCGGTACCGAGACACTGGCCTATGAAGCTCTCGTCGAGTCAGCTGATCATGAAGGTTATACCGGGGACAATGACATGGCTGAACGCCTTCTTAGTGACTCGTGGGCTCAGTATGCCAAGCCGCTCATAGATTATGTGAGTTCTGTCAGTGTATAAATGTATTTTTTCAGATTCATGACTGCACTTCAGACTACACGCCGCATTCACCTCTGCCGCAATCAGTTTAAGAAGGCAGTTGGTGTAGTTGTCACAAGCGTTCTCAATCTTGCGACAAATTCTGCAGCTCAGAACTCATCGCTCTTAGAAGACATCAACTATATCTACCCTTGGTCAGCGAAGGTATGGTGTGTGTGTGTGGCGTCTGCACAACCTCAATTAATTTCTTTCTTTCAGAAAAACAAGTACGAAACCTCGAAGCCATTCCAGGCCGAAGTGATCAAAGAGGGTGTTCGAGCCGGCTTCTTCGTTGCCAACCAATACAACGATCTTGGCATCAAATTCTCTTACCTACTTTCGTCTTCACTCTCCACAGCTCCCGATGAGTTGGAGGTTGTCAACCACATGATAGCCAGTGTTGCTACCGCAGTTTGTAAAGTCCATTATTTGTTACTGCCTCGGCTGACACGTACAATCTTAGGTCGAAGCTTGTATCCTGGACTTTAACGTCGGAAAGACCAGCGAATTCGTCGGCCCGAGTCACGACAACACGTTCAAAGCACACATGCTGCTCCTCCTCACTATGAAACAGAAGAAGCCACTTGAGTATCACAAGCTAACTCATGGCATCTATCGTGCTGTCGTGTACGCACTTTTTGGATATTTTAATCCAATCCCAACTAATCTCTTTCCGTTATAGTGGCATGCGCAGTATTGGGTCTGCCCGACTTTCGAAAGAGCAAATAATCGCACAGGTTGACTGGGACAACATGGGTGGCGAGTCCGATTAGGTTTATTTAATTCATCAGTTTCTTCCTATCTACTACACTCGTTAACTGGCCGCACATTTCTCTACGATCGTTACCATATCATATATCGAGTCGATGACAATATAATGTTTTTTTGTTTACGTCGGTGTGATTTTCGATGGTCGTGAATTGCGCAGTGTGAATACTACAAACATTTCGCGTTTTTTCGCGTTTTTTCGCGTTTTCCTCCACTTTACCGTGACGGTGTCGACGGGGGACTGCAGTTTACTAAGTAAATGTCAGTAATGTGAGATATTGTGATAAAACATGGTAAAACATGATAAAACATAATAAAACATAGCAATTCACACAATTTTCGCGTAATTTCCGCGTAATTTCCAGGTATTACACAGGGGAGGTTTTTCCTGATGCAACGGGCAAGTCAACCACAGGCCGCTCCCAAACCCGCTCCCAAACCCGCTCCCGAAGCCACTCCAAAAGCCACTCCAAAAAGGACCCAATCAGCGCTGATGAAAGCTTTGATGGAGTTATGGGACGACGTAGTCCGCCCGGTGGTAGACAATCTGGGCGGATTTGCACCACTAGGTTCCCGGATATGGTGGTGCCCGACGGGTGCCTTCAATTTCTTGCCGTTGCACGCTGCTGGCGCGTACAGACAAGGTGGACAGTTGCTTTCGAACCTCTATATCTCTTCATACACGCCATCGCTGACCGCGCTGATCAGGGCTCGCAAAAGCCATGACAAGTCCCTGTCAGTGCCTTTTGCTGCCATCGGTCAGAATCACCCAGCTGGTCATTCATTCACTTTGGATTGTGTGGAGCCTGAGCTAGAATTGGTGCGGAGTCTTTTGCCCCCTCCCCCGACTGTTGCCTTCACCAAGATAACGAGCGATGACGCAACAAAATCGAGAGCATTGCGTGCTTTGCGAGACAATACTTGGCTCCATTTTTCACGTCACGGGACACAGAACTTTGACGAACCCTTCAAGTCAGCCTTTCTTATGCGCGACCAACCGCTTTCACTCCTCGATATCGCACAAACGGATCTCTCCAAGCATGAATTTACCTTTCTTTCTGCCTGTGAAACCGCAGTTGGGGATGCCAATACTCCTGACGAAGTCATACACCTGGCGGCTAGCCTACAATTCGCTGGAGTACAGAGTGTAGTTGGGACATTATGGGAGGTAAATGATAGTACGGTGCAGCGCTTAGTCAAGGCATTCTACAAGAACTTGTGTGGGGATGGCAAAATGAATTCCAAGCGGGCTGCCCGAGCGCTGCACCAGGCGGTCCAGTCGTTGGCCGGTGACGAGGATATGCCCTTGGACCAACGCATAGTGTTCATGCATATTGGTATATGATCAATTTCGTGCGTCCCCACCTTGTTAATTCGAGTGTTTTTGAGACCCTGACGACTTCGCTTGTAGCATCCAGCCGTGGCTGCCCGTAGCATGTTGCCAACAACATGATTTTTTTTCTTCTTTCGCTATTTCAGACTTTTGGATTGTATAAGTACCTCCAGGATCCCCGATTTTTACACCCATAATTCCGACTTGTATTCTCCAACCTGTTGCCTCAGAACCAAACGTGATCGCTTATAATGTGCAATGGTGATAGGTGCAGTTGTACCATTGGTTCATGTAGGTGCCACCTAGGGTATCTCCTGGCTGGAAAGGGAATGGTGTTCGAATTCGGGTCTAGCTTGTCGTCTTATCTGAAGGGCAGAATCTCGCGAAGTCGTGAAACACAACATTGTAGAACTTGTATAATTTTTATTTTATGACATGCTCTTTCTTGTCCTTATTGTGGACTTGTGTAGTCGAACAACATACTACGAGCCCTCAATCGTGACGGCCAAAAGTCGAGAATGCGAGGATCAGCACCGGTGAAAGTGCCGGGTTCAGGATTCTGCAAGACTGCGTCAACGCATCCTCAAACCTGACATGGTTCGAGTGGTTTGAGGTATCAAAGTTGGGGATCTCTCTACATCAACACCACCTCTTTGTGATGGTTGCGGAGGACGTGCAGAATGTTGCATGCCCGGTACATGCAAACATATTGTGCTCATTCAAGTTAACGTCCTTTTGAAGAACGAGCTTGCCGAATATTTGTATGAAAAACTCGATTGGGGCATTTTATGAGGAGTTCGTCTAGTACAAGCTGTGGCCAGTAGAGTGTCACGGAATTCGTGCAGTTTCCTACTTACCTCAATAGATCATCGAGATTTGAGTGAAAACGAGGATCAGTCCGTCAGCTTGTGTACCGAGTGGGATTTATTTATCTCACTGAAAGGCATTCTATGACTATCTGTAGCTGAAAGATTTCATTAAGTCACATAAGCCTGTGACCAGCGCTGCTTCTGGAGACGTGGCTTGCGCCACCCAGGCCCCTCTGACCGAAAGTTCGGTCACCATGCATCTCCGAGTCTGCCAGTGTAAACGGCAGGGGTGGCTGATGAATATGATGGTCAAGGACTGGCGTCGGGGGTCGTGATGTTAGGACTTAAGGTATACTTATCTCGTATACTGCCCACGATTAGAATGTCTAGGATGGAAAATTGCAGAATGAATTCGAAGCGGGCTTTTGATGGTTGGTTGTTGAACGTAAATCGACTGCCGGGCTCGGCTAAGAGCCTGCCGTCCGTCCGGACCGTCCCCGCGTGTTTCAATCCTTCAAGTTCAAGTTCAGTTGTTCACGCGTTCACGCGCACATGCAACCACATCCTCTGGAAAATTTGAAAGAAAAACATAGCTAATGTTCCGTGTCATGTAGCCTTGAATTCTCTCACTGGGAGCATTCAAGTATGCGATGAATCTCAGTGTCCAGTCAGCTCAGGCTAGCAATAACTTACACTGGTGCTGGGCTCGCGTCTGTCCTTTGCTCGGTGTTCTCTTACTAGGTCCTCGGTAACATGGTTGACGAATGACCAGCAGGAGCAGTCGTCTTGCGGACCGTGACCAGGGTACGGTGGACATCACATGCCATGTCATGATGCTCATTCCGGGCCCCAGGTCATACCGTCTCTAAGGCTACAGCTTGACCGACACTCGCATTTATAATGTGCTCCTCATTCTGCGTAAAATTGCATGACACCTCACGTCGTCTCTAACTTGCAGGATGATGTTCGCGAGGACGCTACTCTCATTATCTGCTCCTCTCGCGTATGCTGCCATTGCAGGCGCATGGTCAACATTTGTTGTCCCACACACCGAAGATGCAGATGACACGCCTGCTCTGATGTCCGCATTGTCTGACTACAAGTCTGACGCGTCAATTGTGTTCCAGGCTAACACGACTTACAATGTGTGGTCTCCGATCACGTTCTCGTCTCTCACGAATGTCGAGGTGGTAATTAGCGGAAATTTGTCGTATCCTACGAGCATCGAGACTGTGCAAGGGTACGTTGCTGCCGCTGTGAGTGCTAATCAATTCCTTTATATGCATGTAGCATCTGACATGAAGAATTACAGAACTACCCTGGTGCATGGTACGGGTAACTAACATGTTTTAAGATCTCGTCCCTCACAATTCCATCAGGATCTCGTTTACGGGAAATAATGTCACGCTCCGCGGCAATACTGACCCTGACTGGGGTTGGGTTGATGGACATGGCCAACAGGTAAGAGTCCTGTGCTCTGGTTCGTTTTGGGTTATGCTAGAATGATTTGTTCAGTGGTGGGATATTGGACAACAGACAAACCGACCTCACGGTTGGCTGTTTAAAGATGTTACAAATGGGGTCATCAGGGATATGAAGATATACAAGGTCTAGGTCGAATCATTCTCCTTCAAGGACTTCTTGACTGAATTTCAATCGTATTCTGCAGCCTGTCGCATGGAATTTTGCCACCACAGGATCGAACAATGTGCATATCTTCAACAATACCATCCTGGCCGGTTCTGATACAAACGTGAGTTCGACAATGCGTCGATACTGCAGTACCCTTTATTTGACACTTGTGATCAGTCGTTTCCATTTAATACGTACGTCACTGAGTTCTTGATGTACTTGAGCTTAGCTGAACCATATACAGGGATGGATTTTCAGCTGGAGGCACCAATTTGCTTTTCGAAAATAACTACGTCGTAAACGGTGATGACTGCTTAGCCGTTGCCAACGGCGCCAAGAACATCATATGGAGGTTCGCCAGGTTTCGCTAAGCCAACGAGTGAGCTAAAACCACAGCGGGCCTTAGAGACAGCTACTGCGAGGGATCGCACGGTCTGTCAGTTGGTTCACTCGGCGCGAATGGTCAAGTGGCATCTGTCGAGAACGTACTATTCGAGAACACAATTATGGCAGGTGTTCTGGTCAATTAGGCTTCCTTGACTGACACTTGACCTTATCATCCAGAACCGCACTCTTTATGCTGCTCGTTTCAAGAGCTGGACTGGCGGAAACGGTGCTGCTATCAAGTTTGTGTTCTTGACGTTTTCGATGAATTGTGCACTGACGATTTGCTGTTTAGTATAACGTGGAAAGATATTACATTCATTGATGTGATGTTTCCGATTTACGTGACTCAAAAGTATGTCTGTGTCTTCCCGTGTGCTCCTTTAATAACCTTGTTATGTTCCTTAAAGCTACTGGGACCAAAGTGTAAACTCAATGTCGCATGTATAAACATATCCCTTCTGACTGAACGTACAATAGGACGGCCCGCCTCCGAGCTCCACGTCCGTCAATGAGACTCACATTGAAAACTTCCTGTTCGAAAACTTTAACGGCGTAATTAACGAGTGCGTCATATTTTTCTTCTGTCATTTCTTCACCCTTACAAATTCCCTAGTACGCCCGGATACGTGGAAGGCTCATGTATCACTGACCCTTGCTGGTATTTACCTCTTTTCTTTTCCGAAGCATTCACTGACAAATTGCCAGGTACTACGTGTCTGGTGCAACAGGCAAGGAAGTCGTCATCTTCGATTTGTATCCTGGCACTGGTCCGTCTCCTCATTTCATTGCATTTTCCCTTCCCTTCTGACTCAAGTTGTCACAGCGACAAACATCGTCGCGAAGGACCTCGTTGCCCAAACACTTACTGGTGCCCCTGTTGCTGTAATGTGCAATTCCTCCACGGTACGCGTTGCTTATGAGTGAGTGGTCAAGCGGGTATGCTGACAGCCCACACAGATCTCCAGTGATGTTGGATTTGTGTGCTCGGATGGTCCATATCTCCCCACGCAGGCTGGCTTGTAACGTGCTATGCGCATGAATTCTTTATACTTGGGATCCAGTCGAAATACTTTTGGATTCATTGACTCACTTCGCAGTCAGCTTCACTATCCAGTGCCATGCGCAGTGTGGTAACCACCGAGAGCTGAACAGACTTTACGTTAGCGTGTGAGAACCATTACAACTCGTGAGCAATCCCTGTGAAATGTCATTGTACATCAATCAACGCGAGCCAAATAATCACCGACAACTGAGGGTCAACAACACCAAGCAGTTGACCTGCTTCCGCGAGCTCCATCAATGGTACTGTGGTAGAAGCACATGCATTACACATCGCTTTACAACAATTTTATCTACCGAAACTGTGGGACGCAGCCCATTCAGTCCAATATATAATATCAAAAACGAAGGGGAAAATGGCTGATAAGGGTTGAGGGCGTTCAATCGTACACACTACGCGCAAGGGGCTTATCATATAGGAATCACAGACAGACGACAAAGCGATGGAGACATGATGGTGGAACAGTCGTGGCAATTTAAGACCTCTCGCCTCTCAGACGGCGGGCAAGGGCAAGGTCTTTGGGCTGGATAGTCACACCTGGTCAATTGAACTGAGTCAGCATCGTGGAGCGCGGGAGCGACAGCGCATGACTCACGCTTGGCGTGGATGGCAGCCAAGTTAGTGTCCTCGAAGAGTGACACGAGGTAGGCCTCAGCGGCCTCCTGCAAAGCCATGACAGCCGAGGATTGGAAACGCAAGTCAGTCTGGTGAGAGATGATTTTGTTAGCCACCTCAAATGCCTCCAGGCAGTGTCATGGGGCATACCTTGAAGTCCTGCGCGATTTCACGAACGAGCCTCTGGAAGGGGAGCTTTCTGATCAAAAGCTCGGTAGACTTTTGGTACCTCCTGATTTCACGGAGGGCAACGGTACCAGGGCGGAAACGATGGGGCTTCTTCACACCACCAGTGGCGGCCTGTGGCATAAATCACGGTATTGAGCACCAAAGACGCGAAATGATTAAAAAACAAAGACATACGGCAGCGGCGGTCTTCCTAGCGGCCTTGGTTGCGAGTTGCTTACGAGGGGCCTTGCCTAGAAGACGGAAATGGTGTCACAATGTGAGTGAGAACGAGAACCGATAAGGTCGTACCTCCAGTGGACTTGCGAGCGGTTTGCTGGATTAAGGGTGAGTATAACGTATTGTAGATGAGTGTTCTGCAATCACACCTTGGTACGGGCCATTAAGATGATTTAGTCAGGGGATGAAAAGTGTTGGATGACGGCAAAACGACGGGTGATGGAGGTTGCGGACGAAGACCCGAGCAAAGGGAAGGTCGTTTGTTGAATGGCGTCTGCGCCATTCCCACGCCTCTCAGCTTTTTAAATTCCGCCGGGAACCTTGTACGCACTGACCGCACCTGCCATCGACGGAGCAAGCCTCAAGGTGTGTACTTGAAACCTTTGATCTTCCGCTGCATGCACAGCAATAACGCACGTTACCTCCTGGAAGTGCAAGCAGTGCTTCACTGCTTCTAGTCACCAAGCCGCTCCTTCAGATCATCTTTTCAACTTGGTCGTTCTGCGATCCCTGGAAAAGGGGATGCATCGTTTGTCAATTCCAAGTACGTAGTACATATACCTATCAATTTATTATTATCGGTGAAATGATCTTCGGGCCCCTAGTATATAAGCTCTCCAGTCTTTTGATGGGCTTCGCAGAAGTAAGATCCGGGCAGCATTAAAGAACGCCCGAATAATCCTTGAACCTTGTTCACAGGCGGAATGACGGACCTCCCCCTCCCAGTAAGATGGCCAGCTTCCTGTGTCTTGTATTTAATTTTCCACCTGACAACTCACACGAGGCAGGCGATATTTTCTTGTATCACATCGGTCATTGGCAAGTATTCGACGATGACCTTGGTCTATATGTGTTCCAGGCCCGCGCTTGAGGACCCCTTTCTGATTCATCCCACCCACGAATGCTACCCACTGCACCGGATTTCTTTCCCTCCCCTGCTGTTCCTTGTGTCAATTTGTTGGTTTTGCAAACAGTAAGTTTCACTCCGATGCTACGGTCCGACATTTTCCATAGGCATGCGAGAATTCCTGGCTTGACGAATTATGTCTTCCGTCCAAGCCGTGGCCGAGTAAGCACGCTCTCTATTTTCCGCGCGGGTCAAACGGCAATCCGAGTCGTATCACCGCAAGATAAAAAATCATCCTCACATATACTTTCATCCGACCATTACTCGATCTCGACGGATATCCTCGTCAGGGGAGAAATGTCTTCGCTCTGATGTTAGTTAATACTTTCGTAAAGTCGCTTAATATTCAGGGCACAGTCACATGTATCGACTACATGATATGTATTATACAATTGAGGGTATCGATTCCAGTGTGTAAACGGCCGAAGGTATAGATGTATGATCAAAATCCTCCTAAACAGCTATCGTAGTCTAGAGAAGGCACCGCGAACGCTGCATGGTCACCATTCAAATGACCTGTCCCCTTTCTACGCATGCTTCTCTTCTTCCTCTGCTTTTCCTTCGCCTGCGAAGGATGTTGCAATAATGAAAACGGGGTATCAATCTCATCTTGTGTATGTCGTGTAAATGGTATCATTGAGTCCGCAGACGTGAAACGGACAGATATTCGGCTTATCATAGTGTCAGGCGGTGGCGTCACCAACCTGTCAGGTTCATCCGATGCTGACGACATGTCAGGGGTAAGTAGAGGAGAGCGCGGTATATAATATGTGTGACCTGATGGCTCCGGGGCGCACGCCTCATAGGCACGAGGGTGGAAATAGCCTCCCTTTATCTCGGCCGTTTGATATGGTTGACTATCATCGCTGTAGACGAATTCCCGCTCATGGCGCCCAGGCAGCGCGCATTGATTGGGAGCAACTGAGACAGGCGACCGGTCATACGTAGCCGACGAGTGGGCAGCATATGTGGAAGTAAGCGTTGGCGTTGGCGGAAAGTGAACGCGGCGCGGTGGGGGAGACGTCGAATGTACGGAAAACAGAAACGCATCCTGACGTTGTGGACATTGTTTTAGGATCGGTCTCGGCGACATGTGGCCCAAGGTGATATGTGTAATTGGGTATAGAACGGACTTCAAGAAGAGCCCAGAGGCTCAGGGCAGCAGGACTCGGAGAGGAAACGAAAGTCGATGATCTGTGAGTGCATGACAGCAGCGGAATATATATCGTAGACTCAGGCTCGGGTGGAACGTGTGCCCGGTTCACAAAAAAGCAACAAGATCAAGATCAACTCCGACTGGTGGAGCTACCTTGCTTGCAAAGCCATCGATCCTGAGCTTGTGACCAAAATGGCTCCCTCAGATAGCCTCTTTTGTGGGGAAACCAAGGTGAAATTAGATGTTTCACATTAAATCAAAGCTCAGAAGGCCTGTTGCTACGAGCACATTGTAAGGAACCATTATTGGCGACAAATCAGAATAAACCCTAACCTGGCATCAAGAATGTGTGTACTGGATTACCCGCAGTCGTGATAGACGCCGTGCTCGTTAGGAAGGCGTTCGAATGGCGGAAAAGACTCACCTTGAGAAACACCGAGGAAATCCCAGACTGTCCAACAGAGTCTGCTCATTAGCTTAGTCTAAATCAATGATGCATTTCTCATGATCAAAGTGCTTGAAGACCATAAGCGCATGCTTCAATGATTAGTTGATCCGGGACTAAGGCTGCCAGCATCCCGGCAACCGGCGACCTGGCACGATGGTCTTGTTTACCAAACAACCAACTCGACTCCAACTGGTTATTGTGCTACTGCCATCCTGTGCATTCAATTGCATTCAGCCTGAACTGGTCATTCTGATCAGCGATTCAACCGGAAAGTCGGAGAGCCGGTACGAATGTGTTTGGTATAATATACTAGTCAGATATAGCTAAGTCACGTAAAGTGAAGTGTGATGTCGTTTCTACATATGTGCAAAACCTCGAGATGATCCGAATCATGCTACTGCGTCAGAGTATATGCATAAAGTCCCAGAGATTGGCATGCCGGTGGGCATGTATGGGTCCCACCATAACCAACACCTTGCGCCAACACTCTCAAGTTGACCAAGGATTGGCAAGATAATTGGGAGGCTTCTTCGGATCCCCCACAGGAATGCTCCACGGATCTCGCCCCCTACCTTGCAAAGTTATCGTCCCGTCTGTTCCGCCAAATGAAAGCGACGCTGAGGGACCAGACGCCGGAGAGAATGCACTATGTAGGTCATTCGTCGATCTACTTGAGTTTTCAAACGAGACCGTGCTAGCCGCAAATGGATTTCCAAATGGAGAAGTTCTGCTCTCTTGTAGAGAAGGAGCCCATTTCGATTCCTCACTTCCACCAAAGGATATCTGAGGAATAGAGGTATAGGGAGAGGTGGCTGAAGAAGGATAGCTCAGGTAATCTGAGGAACCAATATCATTTGCCACTGGGGGCATGCCCTGGTCGCCATCGACGTCATCGCCGGTATCAGGCACATGGTGGAGCGACAGCGAGGTGGCGAATGTAGCGCTCAAGCCAGCGTTTGAGTTAAAGTCAGCCACAGATAAACCCGAAGGGTTGGCGACGTGTGTGGGTGCACTTGTGTAGGCGGGTGGAGCTAATTCTGATTGTGATACAACTGGGGATGCGTGATTTCGGGAAGGTTGATTCAGAGGAACCTGCATTTCTTCGGGATTCTTCTCCGATTCTCCTATCATATCCTTGATGGCTTTTAGATCGAATCCTGCATGAACGGTGATGTCAGTGGAAGAACTTGGTGATTGGCCATCGGAAGGTTGAGGGTTGGTACTCTGAGGTGGCGAACTCTCCGTTGACTCGCGAGGGGGTTCATCATCATCATCTGTTACTTTCCCTAGGAAAGAGGGTTTCCGTCTCGATGAAGCAAAAGAAGCTGTTGAAGGTGGCCTCGATACTGGAGCTGGTGACACTGACGATTTCTTCTTTCTGGAAAACCACTTCTTTTTCTGCGTATTGTCCCCTTCTTTCACAACAACCCTCTCTTCGTTGAAATCAGGTTCCTATGGATGGTAATTAGCATGGTGCCGGTCCGATAAAATGAGTTACGTACGACGGGCTCATCGAAGTAATCACACGAAACAGGGAAGCCAAGCTGGTCTAATATGAGTGGCATGAACGCGCGATAGCTCATATGCCCCGAAATCTTATCCGTAACATCGACGTTCTCTAATCCTGGCACATTCTCGATCGGTCGCAAGCCCGCAACCGTATTCAGACCACCACTGGTTGCACGAAAGAGGTAGTTCAGGACCCAGTCATGTCTTGCGAATGCGTTAACAAAGCGCCCCGAAACGACACTGCGGGCATTGCACCATGTGCTGGTCGATGCTGTTAATGTGGCTCCGAGGAGGAAAACGTCTTGTACAATGCCGAAAGCTTTCGCCTTGGCGAGATCGAGGAGGGCGTAGAAAATGACACGTGCGCCAAGAGAGAAACCGATGAGTGTGATAGGTCGAACACCAAGATGACGATGAATAAGGAGCTGCGCAAGAACACTGCCAGCTGCTCGGGCACGGTCGAGCGCATTATTCCAAGGATTATCAATCAGGTAACCAAGCTTTGTGAGAACTGATGAAGCGGTGGTGAGTTAATCTGTTTACAAAATCCAAATCGACGTCACACCTACTGATTGGCCACTGAAGTCCGCTCATGAGCGCAGTCATCACCGTGTGCTGAAGTACAGTTTGGACTGTTTGTGATAGAATTTCCCCGGTCAGAATTTTTAGCGCACTACCAGTTTCTTGAATCATCTCAGGCTCCCAAAGTACACTGAATACATCGCCCACGATGGGGTCCAGGACGCTGAAAGGTAGGCGGACATCATCAAGCTTGCCATTCATGAATCTACATCACAAGTTTGAGGTGGTCGATAAACCCGCATTTGACGATGGACGCACCCAGGAACGGTCAGGATGCAGCTGACACGCTTGTTGTTGTGCAGCGGTAGCACATCGAATATTCGTACTTGTTGTGTACGTCGGGCCATTCCTTGAGCAGCGATCCCAGAGCCAGTCAGAACTCCACCAGTTGTGATCACAGCGGCCCCGCCGGCCCCAGCAAGGAATCCTGTTGTCCCAGATACGCCAATAGCGGTAAAGGCTGCACCCAGACCAGCACCGATAACAGGCGCGAGGAGACCCGCAGAGAGCCCGATAACCAGACCACCGCCTGTAATCAAATGCAAGTGGAAAATTAATTAGCACTTTTAGGACATCTCGATCAGAAGAAATGAGATCACCAAGGGTGGCTAAACCCATCATCATATACCGCTTCTTTCGCGCAGCCTTTGACGATCCCTCAATAATATCCTGATTCTCCATCTTCTCGACGCCTTCTTGGATTTCAAGCGCCTCTGTCACGCGTGCCTCGAACTTGACCACATCCAACCAGCCAAGCCCGAGTTTGAGAGCCACGCTCTCCAGTAATACACGTGATCTTGCGTCGTAGACACTGTCCGCGATAAGCATAAGGAACAGATCACACAGAACGGTCCACCGTATATCAAGTGTAACGTCTTTTTCAGCGGAAGAAAGCGTTGTAGTGACTCCCATGGATGTAGAATCGACAGAAGTACCCTCAAGAACTTTGGCCGTAGTCTGGAAGGTCTTCTGAGTGGCCGAGGAAGGTGATGTCGGTGACTGAGGAGGACTACGACCGTCCCACACCAGGCTTGAAGGTCGAAGTTTACCGTCTTTGGAATTCTGCCTGCTTGTCGTATCTTTCTTTACCTCCTGAGCTTCAGCCTTCCGCCGTGCTTCAGCAGGGTCGTATTCGGGGTTGGCGACGGTATGGGTGGTCATTAGTGATGGTACAAGATCTATCGCTTGTACACCATGCACAGCTAGGCTGTCTATCATCTTCTGCTCTGATATAGTGTTTGAGTATATGTGATCCCGGTTGTTTGACTGAAAAGATGCGCGAGTTTACCTGCAGTTTCAAGTTCCATGTGGTAATAGAGCCGACCCATGATCTTCATCGCCCATAGCTCCATATGTTGGACAGATGCTTTGAGCTCCTTTCTCTTAGTCGTCTTGAGCTTCTCCACCATTTCTTTCGCCGTGAGGGCGCAAACACCGACGTAGGCAATGCGTTGTCCTTCGGTCAACATATTCTTGGTCGCTTGCATCTGGCTGAGCGGTGTCATGGCCTTGTCCTCGTCAAAAAGGTATCGTGTGCGCAGATGAACCTCGTCCGCCTCATCTTCTTCGTTGACCCGCAGTCTAGTATACTCGTTCTCATTCTGTTCTGTCTTGGAACGCCATTCGACACCCTCCTCATCAAAATCGATGAGGTTGCCGGTTGCATTGCCAGCTGTCGATGCAGATTGCAGCTGTTTCTTTGAAGAGGGCATGTAGTGGTATTTCTTCTGGTCTTCTTCGTCAAGACCGCCTCCGAAGTCATCCTCCTTGATAACTGGCATTTCCTGCCATCCTTCTTCATCATCATCGTCAAAGGAAAAAGGATTCATCGGGTGAGTGGTTTCCACTGGAATTTCGGAAGGATGTGGAGGGTTTGGGAATGTTCAGATCAAAGACATCAAGCTGGGAAATCAAGGGGAAGTGATAGCCCTATGACGATATTCGTCCCTCTCAAAGGCAGGCTGCAAGCCTTGCTTTACTTCCCACGCTTCTTGCGCAATAGCCTATGCTCACAATCTCGCTAACACTGTTATGATGATGTCGCATACTGGAGCTGCCAGGTTTCCCGTGTTTCTATTCGAGTCTTCCTAGGACGTCCAGCAACTTACGAATCGCAGTGAACTAGATTGTCGTAACTTGCAGTCTACGTGATGTATGAAGCTTTGGTGCTAATATCTGAGTTGCGACCAATGCTTGCATAGACACGGATTCCTGCTTGGTTTTCGATGTATCTCCTTTCGTGTTTACATGATGAACAAAGATCTAGCACGTACGCAAGGTCACCCATCACTAGCACTCACATCAAGTTCTCATGCAAATTCTGCATAGACATCGGTTCGGTATGGTCGACGTAGGCAGATAATTACAGCAGCGTACAACATACTTTTTCCAACACACGCTTACCGATACTCATTGCTTTGCCCGTGCCTCTTCCCTCTTGGCTGCGCGCTCCTTCATGTCCTCGTGCTTGAGGGCTGCTTTGACTTGTCGCTGCCTCTTGCGTCTACCATTCCCTCGTCTAGGTCCATTGATAACAACTGGGTCTGCCATGCGCTGCTTCTTTTTTGTGAGTTGCTCGGCGCGTTGCTTTTCACGTTTTTTATCACGCTTGCGAAGGGTGGTCATGGATGCTTTCAGCAGGGCACCGTATGCAGAGTGGAATTTGTCGAGGTCTGTTGATAAAATCTATGTGGTATCATGAGCACTGTCGATCCTTGCAAAAGATCTGTTATGTACCTTGGTGGAGAATTTCGCCTTCTTGCCATCAGTGACACGAATGATACAGGGATATTCTCTGCCCCTATCGCTCCCATCATCCTCTTTCATTACGGAATCATCGCCATCGTGAGTTACTACAGATAGCCAAAAAATAAGTCACTGCAGGTGAGGATAACGACAGATCAAGACGCACCTCGCTTATGAGTGAGCCATATTGTGCCCTTGTCTTTAGGCGATTCGAAGAGGGCGCCCAGCTGCTGCAGAAACTGAATACTGATTTGAACGATCACACTAACGACTATGGTAAGGCAGATGAACGCACTGTGTTATTATCGACGAGCTGCATGGGCCTGACTGCAGCGTGAGCGTCACGGTCGAGAACATGGATCATTTGATCCCGCGAGGAAATATGGGGGGTCACAATGTCCAAACAAGGTCACACGGGGGGGTTTCGAAGCTGGCCGCCGCCAACTGCCTCTCTATTCTCGTTTCTTTGATCTATATTCGAATATGCAACATATCCGAGGAATGTATTGCGGAACTCCTGCTGGCTGTATCGCTTTCTCGAGACTAGACCTTCATGGTACTACTGCCTCCGCGGTCTGGAGCTCCTGCTCTTTTGTCCGTCGATTTACCAAGCACCTTCCGAAAAACGAGGCCGAATAGCTGCAGAACACCCGAGGGCGTGTGGGGACCTTCTCAATGACGCAGCGTCCGATGTTTTGTTTTGTGCGCTCTAGCATGCAGGGTCTTAATAATGAGAATATGAATCTTTGCTTAATTATAAGCAGTGTACGTGGCAGAGACCTTCGTCCCTAACTTTTCAGATGTCTTTAAGCCGTGATTTGTATATCAACGCTCAATTGGTTCAAGATATGCTTTTTAGTGTGCGTCTCCTTTTCCATGGGTGTTCGTGATCATAGATTATTTTTAGGTGATCCAGTGGTTCTTTCTTGTACGCAATAGAACTACAAGTTTACCGAAATCGGTATAGCCTGTAGGGTATGGTTCGATTCCTAATAGGCCGATGCTACTTACCTCAACCTTAGGCAATTCGTTACGGGTACGGTGACCGTATTATGGCCCCGTATAGTACCGTCGTACGGCGTACGGTGAACAGCCCTGTTTTGTAGATTGCTGGCGCCGCTACTCGCACCGTCGTACTAAGGTATCATTTTCGCCATGGCTTCAACAGACACTGGCATTCCGCTGGATACCGCTGCTATCATGTCGACAGTTCTGGAAGGCATTTTATACGGTGAGTGTTGCAATGAGTGTGCTCGTTTCATGCCCGCCAAGCAAGCATTTTTCAGGCTTTTCAGTCCTCATGTTCATAGGCACTATCTGGACATTCACCTACAAAAAACGCTTGCGGGACGTCAATCGGCCAATTGCTGTGGTCGCCGCCCTGCTGTTTGTACTTAGTACTGTGGTTAGCTTCTCGCCGCTTGAGTCCGATGTTATCTACTGATGGCTCCCAAGCACATGGTCATAGATATCATTCGTATCGAAGAGGGACTGGTGAAGTATCGCGACACTTTCCCAGGCGGCCCAGCGGTATTCTTTGCAGACGTTTCCCAAGAAACATTTGTAGTCAAGAATGTGATAATCACCTTGCAAACCCTGCTTGGCGATGGGGTGGTGGTGGGTCCAATTTTCATCTGCCAGTTTGAAACCCTCTTTGCTTACAAAACTCGCCTTTCTGGCAAAAGATCTATCGATGCTACGTCGTTTGGAAATCCGTCCGGATCATCATCCTGCCATGCATTATGTGGTGTTGTATCGCAGGTTGGGTTGTGATTATGCTCGGGAAGCTGTATTCTCTGACGTTCAAGTTGTTTCGAAGTGTTCGGGACTTGTATGGTCTACGACTTTTCGCAAGCGCTGACTAGCAATGCCGAAAGTGTCTTTACCAACGAGACTGGACGTTGGACCGCGGCGTTCATTTCCTTTACTTTCGCAACCAATTTGTTCAGTTCAGGTAAGCACACTTCTGCATCAGCGCGATGCCGAGGCTACATACGAACTTGAATATGTGCAGGATTGCTGGCATACCGCATCTGGACGATCGAACGCAGGGTCTCTACCACTCGTGCTAGGAAGGGTATAATGCCTATTGTGCGCGTGCTCGTGGATGCTGCTATTTTATACTCTGCAGCCACCTGCTCCGCAATAATATGTTTTGCCCGCTCGAATAATGGCCTATATGTCATTGGAGACTTGGTAATTCCGCCGCTAACACACCTGCCATCAAAAATCACTGAGCTTCTGTCAACTAGATCAACCCGATCATCCCGATTGCTTTCTACATGGTGTTTATTCGCATCGCGGTCAATAAAAACACTCAGGAATTCTTCTCGGCTGTCTGTGTGGGGACAACTGAGACAGAACAAAGAATCCCGCTGGATTTTCCTATGCAGCCTGGATACATGCGGAACGATGCATCCTCCTGGCCGACAGCCCAGAAATAGCGATCCATACATATGTCACAGTAGATTTCCAGCATGGTGTAAATTCCTTCCGTATTGCTGTTCCAGACGGTGGCTACTCTTGAATCCATGAGGAACGCAATAAGATCTGGCTGTGTGCTTGCCTTTTAATGATATTAAGATCTGATGGAAGGAAATGCCCAGTGTTCAGCAGTGTACTACATCGGAACTCCATTGGTCATGATCTTGTTTCTGACAATATCTGTAGTTGCTGGTAATTCATTCAACTAGTCTCCAAGACGGGTGCCCTTGCGAGGACTCTAGGAGCTCTGGCTCACCCCACATTCATCAACGAAAGCCCTCTGAGACACTTGGCTAATCCCTGAACACTAGTATCAGATGTTGAGAACCGTGGTGCAAGGTAAAGTACATATTCAGTTCCTGATGTCCTCGTGCTCTAAGTTAGGCACTGTCTGAAAGCTTGTTTGATAAGTGGGAGGATAGTTGTATAGACGTATACTAAACTAGATGACGGTATTTTAGGGCTATAAAGCAAGGGGGATAAATCACCCGGTCCGCATATCAAAGGCTGCATAGGATGTCGCTGCAATTTTCTTGGTCCTGTCTCAGTTGTCCCCTCACGAACTCACAAAAGTTGTCACGGCCAGTGTAGCCCCGAGTCTTTTGAAGGTAATAGCATCCCCAACTTGAGGAGCAATATTGATCTAGAGAGGTAACATCTAACGCTCACATCACACAGGGCGGAAAGAAAAACATCGAGCAACAGAAAGTTTCAGAAAATGACCTCATGACTGATGCTAGGTGGGACGACGACGACGACCAATGTAAAATCCGCAACACGTAACTTCATAAGAAACTTCTCCCGTTCCACCACCTGAGCTCTGTGTTTCTGTCGGTCGCGCTTGAGATCCTTGTGTCCCGGGCGCAGGTTGACCTACCTGCGTTGAACCGCCGGCTTCGTTTATGCTTCTATGTTGTATAGCTGCGGCCAACTCGGCTGCGGCCAATTCTGCCGCGGTGGGAGGGGAAATGAAAATTCTCTGCAAATACATTTATCTCGATGATATCAAAAAGGAGCGATGGAGAGCCACCCACATTTTTCTTGCGACCGGGAGCTACATCGACGGTGCGTATGGAGCTTCCTCCAGAAAATAGGCTGAAATTCCAATGCCGGGGCTCGAGCGGTATCGTTTGTGGCGCATCTGCAGGTCGAGTGCTGAAACGCAGGGAACCTAGCAAACTGCGCCAACGATGGACAGACGATGGACTGTCAGGCGAAGCTGCACGAGAACTTGAAGACGCGGGGTTTGTATCAGTGTTCCAGAAGTCATTGCCCTGTATCAGTATCAGACTTGCAAGAACTCAGGAACCAAAAAAAATGTACTGACATATTTCGCCAAGCCTTTGTTGTTGGGCTGATGCTTAGAGACGAAACTAGCGTCCAGGGCCTAACGAGACGAATAAGCAAAGGATTAGGTTGTTCAAAACCCGATTTGCGCACGTGTCTCGGTCGCGCTGCACGTCCCTAATGAAGAAGTGAGATGTAATGCGAAAGGGAGAGTCAAGCACAGACGACTTGCCTTGAGCTTTGCATTATCTGCATGCTGAATGACAACCAAATCCACTTAACAAAGGCACTGACAACATATAGACGCCCTCACATGATTATTACCCTGTCGCTTCATCACTGCCTTCATGCTCCATACATAAATTTTTGCGTCCGTTCCAGCACTGGCTATGTATTTTCCATCAGGAGAAATAGCCAGAGCCCGGAGTTCGTCGTCGTGCAAGAGCGGGTTTCCAACTGACCGATTGGTCTCGAGGTCCCAGATGCGAACTGAGCAGTCCATTGATGCGCTAAAAAGATGGCTTTCATCAGGGGAAAGACAGAGGGAGTTTACGCCTTGGGCATGACCTCGAAAGACAAAGAGCTCCTGCCCATCAATTGACTGCCACTTTCGGATGGTGTGATCGCCTGACGCAGAGAATATGTATGTGCCGTCTTTGGACCAACACAATGACGCCACCTCGTAGTCATGACCCTTGAGCTCCACGAGCAGCTCGCCGTCATTTGACCACACGCAAATCATCTTGTCCACCCCACCGCTCGTGAATTTGTCGCCTCGTGGAGAGTATTTCACAGCAAACACCCAACCATGATTAGTCTCTATTGGTAGTGCTATTTGTCGGCCAGTATGCGGATTCCAGCGTCGTATGGTGCCATCGTCCGATCCACTTACTATCTCCAGGGCGTTGGGAGACCAATCGAGGCACCTCACTGGATCGTCATGCCCCTCCCATGGGTCGCCGACCACCCTCCCCTCTTGTATATTCCACATCCGTATTCTGCCATCTGCGCTCCCAGATGCGACCATGGTTTCGTCTGGAGACATTGACATTGAGCATACTGCTCTTCCGTCACTATCCCAAGTCTTCCCCACCGACTCTCCGTCTCTTGTCCACTGACGAATTGATCCATCATTCGATGCACTCATTATACTGCAACTGGTGCCCACATATCTGAGGCTCCGAATGAGTTTGGAATGGCCCTCGATGATCCACTCCGGCTTCAAGCTCCCTGGTGGACGTTCTGGCGTTGGTTTCTTCCATGATGTGGTCCGAGTATTGTGGTTGACGAAGTACGACCGACCGAGTGGTGAGATGTGCCATTCGCATCCGAGAACGAGTCGCCCGTGATCATCTACGTTCGACCATGAATATCTCACTGGTAGTGATACATCCTTCGCTGACCTAGTTGCACTCCTGGTAAAGGCCGGGTCCGTGAAGCCATCATCAGTGTGTCATCTTGATATACCATTGCACCATCCAACGCCTGAAACTGCTGCCATCGAAAAGGAAGTGCTTCATTCCCGCCTGCTTCTTGTTGAGTCAGTTAGTAGGTATAACAACACGCTTACTCACCTTCCCAAAGTGCATCCTGGCGGTGCTGTGCACCATAGCGTGGTGGATCCTTCTCCGTCGTCCGAAGGGGTGCGCCAACCATCAGCAAGTTCAGCATCGCTCCCCGTTCTCCATCTCTCCATTTCGCTGATGTGCTTGACTCTGCGTTTTCACATGCCATGATGCTGAATGAGGTAAATTCAATGATATGGAAGTGACTTGTCGCTGTGCACGCTGTATTTGTAGGAGCATTTTCAACCACGTATCGATGGCTGTGCTCCGAATGTTGAGGCAGTTCTGCAGATTGTTATACATCAGGGCTGCTTAATTCTCGGGCTCAGGCTTCAGCCCGCTCTCGGAAGCATTGCGGTCCTTTTAAAAATGTCGATGTTTGATGGGCTGAGCGCTGAGAGCAAGAATTGAGCAGCCCTATTACGTTAAATTCCTCAGGGAGCGTCAAGATGTAAAGATTGCGATGCCTGTGAATAGTACGCCAGTCAATTGTACAAGGTCTCCGATTATATTTCAAAAATTACAAGCGTGTCTATATAAAAAAAAAATGCCAGATGATGCCAGTTAATATTTGCCTGTGAAGGCCAAGTACCCCAGTGATCGCAGTCTAGGAAGGAGGCACGATAGGGATGAACCTCCTGAACAATGTGGTGATAAGTAAAGACGTACATATTCGGTGACGGCCGGATGTCAACTCGCTGCGTTATCGTAGTCACGGTGACGAAATTGATCTTTATGCTCGAGGCCCAGAAGGTGGCGTTGTCGTCATTCAGTGTACGCAGAGCCGAAACAATGTCAACCATAGCCTGCCGTCGTGAAAACTCGAAATGCTGGCGATGAGGAGAAGAGCGTAGGGTAGACTCGGACTAGTGGATGATAGGAAAATGTAGGACTTCATGATCCAGATCGCCAGGGCAAGGTACAGAATCAAGCTGTATCGTTCCTTGATTAAATGATGTTGTAATGGGGCAGTCCACGAGATGATTGCACAGTGCTGGAGGTCAAAAACCCTAGATGGGACTAAATGCTCGAATATACGGGAGGGGTAGCCCGAAAGATAAGCGAAGAGTGAGCTCTTGTGGGGGTAGTGACGGAAGTGTGAAGCATGACGCAAGTAGGATAAGACCAAGTAACGTGAGAAGAAAATTCAGATACCGTTTGCGGCATGCCACTTCAAGCTTCAATGATAGGCGCCCCGTGCGCGTGGGCCACCATCCATGGCTGCACCGTGCAGAACCAGCCATGAAAAGAGAATCGGTCTGACTTGCCTTCAAATTTGTATTTCAAAAGCTGCACAAGTCTTCTCCGGAGTGTGAGTTCTTTCCTCGAGGCTCTTCTCTGTGACAGCGTGAGTTTGCTATGACTCCGAGTCAGCTACCTGTTGTTTCTGACCTTGTCGACACATAGAATTCTGAATGAAGTGGGGCATCACGAGCTGCGTGATATTATTCATTATATCATTCTAAGCGGGCGCGCAGAATCTGATATCTCATTGCTCTATAGGATCGGTTTTCTCGAGATACGGACTGTTCTCGGCGCTTCGAAGGCATCGCAAGTTATAGTGAAGTTGCGAATATCATTTTTTTTGACGAGGAAATGAGTATGTGTATGTGTTCCCACAGATTATGCTGAGGAGCGTTACGCGTGTCGCGTGTCGCGCGCCGCGAAGCTTTGATTCTGATTCTGACGCTGTAAGTCGTGCTTTTGGAAGTTCGTGCCTGCAACTGAGGATCTGCATTGCACATGTGGGGCTGTCTTCCTCTGAAGTGTTTGTGCACAAAACCGCAGTGCAGCTCTTCGGTTTCAATCCCTCCATAGTCGCGGTGTGATCAGAACAGATTTTATATTCTCAACCTTTAACGTGTCAACTTGACCTTTGCTAGTATTGTACCTGTGATAATGGCGAAAATGCGAATTCAATTACTCCTGCATGCGCAAGGAACACGTCGGGTGATGTATCACATAAAAGACGAGGGTGCTCGAATCATCTCGATTTTCATAGATTCAAATATATAGTAGTACAACGAAAATGAAGAGCCAGAACAAAGCATAATGTCTTCTGCCATGATACATCATCTGAGATAGTTGCAGCATTTAGTGACAATTAAGACTAACAGGAAACGAAAGTTCAAACTTGATTCGTGTATTTCTATCCGACATCTCCATGAATTAACTGCGGCAACAACATCATCGTGAAGTAGAACTAGATGCGTCGGATTTAGCAAATACGAGGGATGGAGAGGAAAGACTCACAACTCACGCATCTCGGCAATTCGACCAGTGTTCCCCATGTGCCATGCGACTCAAGTCAAGCTCGATACATCCTCTTGGGATGACCAATGCAGTCCAAGGATTATAAAGAAATGACTGTCGGGAAGCGGGAGGTACCCAGAAAAGGAGCCGACGGCTGGGTCCCGACGCCCATCCATCAGCTCCCAATAAGAAAGGGGTTGAATCGGAATCATGATGGAGGGTGCCCTCAAGTATGTCAGCGGGGTTGCGCAGCGCATATCCCAAGGTGGACGAGAAGCAAATAAAGTGATTTTTCTGAGTGCTGGTTGATATAGGATTGTCGGGTTTGCGAGGTGTTATATCCAGAGAAAGTGCAGAGGAACGTGTCTCGGTGTGCTGCTGCATTGCTGCATCCCACAGCCGGATAGTCTTATCGCTTGAACTAGACACGATGCGAGTACCGACTGGTGAGAACGAGACTGACCAAACCGCGTCAGTGTGTCCCTGGAAAGGCCCACCCACTGGCTGTCCTGTCGCTGTATCCCACAGCCGGACGGTGTTATCGCCCGAACCAGATGCAATGCGAGTACTATCCCATGAAAACGAGACTGATAAAACCGCAGAAGTGTGCCCCCGCAAGGGCTCACCCATTGGTTGACCCGTCGCTGCATCCCACAGACCGATAGTGTTATCCGAAGAACCAGATGCAATGCGAGTACCATCTGGTGAGAACGAGACTGACCAAACCGTAGAAGTGTGCCCCTGCAAGGGCTGACCCAATGGCTGTCCCGTCGCTGCATTCCACAGCCTGACAGTCATATCCTCCGAACCAGATGCGATGTGAGTACCATCCGGTGAGAACGAGATTGAGTTAACCGCAGAAGTGTGTCCCTGGAAGGGCCCACCCAATGGCTGTCCTGTCGCTGCATCCCACAGCCGGACAGTGTTATCGCCCGAACCAGATGCAATGCGAGCACCATCCGGCGAAAACGAGACTGAGAAAACTGTAGAAGTGTGCCCCCGGAAGGGCTCACCCAATGGCTGTCCTGTCGCTGCATCCCACAGCCGGACAGTGTTATCGCCTGAACCAGTTGCAATGCGATTACCATCCGGCGAAAACAAGACTGAGAAAACCGTAGAAGTGTGCCCCCGGAAGGGCTCACCCAATGGCTGTCCCGTCGCGGCATCCCACAGCTGGACAGTGCTATCCTCCAAACCAGACGCGATGCGAGTACCATCCGGTGAGAACGAGATTGAGTTAACCGCAGAAGTGTGCCCCCCAATCACAGTCTGAACAGCTGCCCAGTCCGAATCACGTCCGGATGTCAGACAAAGGCTATTCAGAAACTTTGCAGTAAATTTGGTAGCTATGGTGGAGTTGGTGGGGGAGAATGGTAGCGCTGATAGATACAGATGTGGCGTGCTGTACAAAATTATGTCGCCAAAGATTTGAATGAATCTTTGCACATCCATTGTGGTGGACAACAGATGTTCGTATCCAGAATGGCCCTGTAGTTTTTTGTGAGCTGTTCGTCCAACACTACCTAACGAGCATGTGCTCACCTTCAGCCACTGGACAATCAGCGGATGTGCGCCAGCTGCGACGCCAAGTGCGTTCAAAAGACCGAGTGCTTCAATCCAGAAAAGCATTCGCTCGTCATCGACGAATGCTTGTATTTCATTCGCGAGCTCCGTGTTAAAGTCCGTTGCTTGTACGTGCGTAGCCCAAAATCGGCAAGAATAGGACAGATGGGGTGGAATGGATTTTGTAACTCGTTGAGGCAGCTCGGTATCTTCGCGATTAGGGATGTATGAAGACTTCAAATCACATATATTGAAACCGAGGCCATGTTCCATCACTCGAAGTGATGCGAAAGCAAGGTCGCGCTGTACATCAGCCACTTCGACGAAAAAGTCTCCGCTGGATGATTTGTCTGTGAGGAAGTCGCGGAAGGATGAATGAAGGGGTCGGATGACGGAACGCGAGTTGGTGGTGCCGCTGAGCAGGGATCCCATATATTTTACAAAGCGCATGTTGTCATGCTTGCTTGGGTCAGGAAAGTGGCTCCGCATGGCATTGAGGGAATCGAAAGAAAGCGGTTCCGCTGTGCCAAGTATCTGTCCCATCATGGAACCAAACTTCGCCAGCTCTTTCTTGTACTCGTCATCGTCATCGTATTGATCCTTTGGGATGACTTCTTTCAGAATGAGGTGATACATCTCATACAACTTGCCTGTCAAACTCTCAGGATTGCGTTCTACGACAGCTTTGAAGCGGGAAATTGGGTTTGCGCCAGGCAGGTCTTTCTTGACATATTCGCAGGCAAGACGTGCCCACTCAAAAAGTCCGTCGGCTTTCGCGGCGAGGCTTGCAAACTCTTCGTCCCCAAAGCCCGACAACCCGTTCAGTTCCTTAGACACGAAAGCGTGGATGTCGCTGAGCACAACTGCCTCTGGAATGTCATCCATGGACAACCGTACAATATGATCAGCACCTTCAAACTCCCTTGCGATATCGTGAAGCGGGCAAGAGGTAACGAGGATCCGAAAGTTGGATGGGAGTTCGGTGATTTTGGGAAGTCCTTTGTCCTGTAGTTTACAGGCAAGTATGCGGAGAAGGTCCCGCCGCGTTTTTTCAGGGCCGCTCTCGTCCAGCGCTTCAATCACGATCAAGACAGGCCCTACACTTGATGCAGAGAACTTCTTTAGCGGGGACACCACAAGCTTCTCCCACTGCTGCAAGACATCCGTCGTATTCTTGAGTGAAGTGTCATTTTTGACCGCATCCGCCAATGCTCGTTTTATCTCCGCATCACAATCAGCCAGGTCACGAGCGATGGTGGAGAAAACATGTTCATGCCGCTTCACTTGGGCCCTGTCGAAGCAGAAACACGACCCGAGCCTTCCCCTGTCTTTGAACCTCTTGGCAATGGTGTGAGCGATGGCTGATTTTCCCTTTCCTGCAGGACCAGATAACCACAACACACGCTGAGCAGCATCGTCGCTGCTGTTGATCCATTCCGTAATCTGGGAGAGAATGTCCGTGCGCGTCTCTGGTAGGCATTGTTTCCTAGTATCCAGTCCTGCGTCCTTTGCATAGGCGATATCGCTGAGATCCAATGTATCACCTGCAGGGGTGTGAGTAGACGTAAAAGTTGGATGCACATCCGAATGCTCACCCGCACAATGAACGAAGATAGCTACGTCCAGTAGAGCTCGGTCCCGAAATTTCTGCATAAGCACATCCAAAGCGCCGCTGTACTGTTGAATCATAGCCTCAGTTTCCGAGACCGAGTGTTTCCCCAGTCTTTTCCCTGTAATAAAGGTAGAAGATTGAGAATGTGCGAGGCACGATAAATCGCGACTCACAATAGCTCGTGATCTCTGCGTAATCCCTGATGAAATGGGCGCACTCTCGAGTCTGATGTGCGATTTGACCAACGATGTCGCGCATTGATTCAATCTGGCCAAGAGTATCGTCCAGGATCATGAAGGTATATACTTCACTTATTTTCTTCAGGAGGTCAAGTACCAATTTGTCGCGCTCCGCTTGAGCGAGAATAATCTGCATGAAGTTATAACTTCTAAGCAGGACACAGAACTCCGACACAATGGAACATACTTTGGATGCAGCAGAAAGTACGCCCAGTGCCATCTTTACGTATGGATGTACCTATACCTTGGTTAGTTCGATACCAGTTAAGGAGGGTGGCCCATACATTCACGATTTTCTCAATGACAGTGTCGAAAATTATGAGGGGTTGGAGGTATGTGGTCTGGAAGTCGTCAACGGTAGCGAGACCTGCTGGGGCATTGTTGGCGGTGGACGCCACGGATGACACAGGTCCCCCAAGTATTTTCATGCGTTCTGCGGCCTCTTGCGCACCCCGAAGTTCAGCGCTAACCGAATTGGGACCAGAAGTTTCCTCCAGACCAGGGGGGGTGATAAGAACCTGAGCGACCACTGAAAATTAGAGACGAAAACTAGATAATTTCATGCAAATACCTTCGAGGCAAGTTCTCCGGATGGACCTTGGTCAACGCTGCCACTGGGACCCCCAGTTGTGGTGAGACGCGTGTCGTTGGTGGGGGGATTCAAATGCAACGTGTCCTGGGCGCCTCTGAGAAAAACTGAAGGATTACGAGTCCGAGCACTTACCTCAATAGTCTGATTTGGTACACTTTGAAGGTCGATGTTCTGGACCACAGGAATGGGCTTGCGGGAACACTTGAAACATTTCTGCACGACGTCAGCCATATTCAGCATCAGGGCAATTCAGCAGTCTGCTCACAGATAATTTCTTAATGATGCTTTTTGTAAATTTCGGCATGGCGTGCCGGACTCGTCTACCGGATTGGTTCTGGACGAAGCACGAGTAAGAGGCAACGACAGACCCCATCAGCGCTCATCCATGGTGAATGAGTTCATAGGAACACCGTGACATACCGAGCTTTCACCAGCGGTCGCTTCTGGAAGAGAATCTGGTTTATGGTCTTTACTTATTGCGAGCGGTGGATTAGTGTGAGGGACTTGACTGTGGGGGTGCAAGAAGTGGTGGGTGGGAGAAGGGAGTAGGCCTCTTGTCATGCACGAGCTGGATGAATACCCTTGACCGCAAGTTTCAAAGCATGGCCAACACGTTGACTTAATTCTTGAAGCAAGTTGAAACCCTAATCAAAATTATGGGTCATGGTATTGCCGAAGGAAGGGGAAGTCTAGACGGCCTTGGCTCATGTATATAGGTGATGGGTGTTGATTGAAATGCCAAACATTGATTCTCATTGTGGCATGATGTAGTAGCGGAAAGATAAACTTTGTTGTGTAATGTGCTCGCGATTCGAATGTGTCATTAGTATGATCCTGCTTAGTAATATTTACATAAAGAACTCGTCAGCTCAGCGCTCGGATCCTTCGAATGTTTTCACCCTCCTCGTCTCAACTTCACAGGCTTTCAATTCCCCGGTGTCGTCATCGCCACCAGCAGTAACAACCCATCGACGTCGACCATCCCTTGATACCACCACTGCCGATACCCTATACTCGCAATCCTTGGTCAGTCGCTACTTTTCAATCAATTCAGTTCCTCCCCGCTCAGTCATGGTTGCGCAACACACACGTCGGCTTTCAAGGCTACCAAGCTGCCAGCGTTACTGTGCCAGAGCATGTTGAGATTCGATCCGTCTTGGTCCACCCCATTCTGTCGGGCGCACGGTGGTAGATAGTACAGTCTTGTCTCAGGTTGTCAGTGCGTCGAATATCCTTCCATATCCTTTTTCTACCTCACTCACACTTCTGATATATGAATCTGTGTTCTGCTTGACGTCATTCCTCGGCAAAAAACATTTCTGTCCACCGCTAGTGCTGCACGTTTCCGCAAGCACATGTTACTAGACTTGCAATATGAATATGACATGTTTTTCTGCCATCAAGACATGCCTGATCACCATCGCAGCTAACATCCATCAACATCGAGCATTCCTCCCTCAAGTTCCTTGTGACTTTCTGGGATCACCGCATTCTCGATAGACATCGTTTTTCTTGTCTTGCCGAAGTTTTGCCAAGCAGCGTCCTCGCGTGAAATCCGAAGACCCTTCATTTTGTTTTAAAGTCACATATCCGTTCGCGTGCAGCATCACCCCCTTAACCTGCAATCTCCAAGGCATTTCATGACTACGTGTCACGCACTCATTATGTAGACCAGTGCATACTCGCAGAGGCGCGTATCACCCAGGACAGGACGAACTTCTCGCAGGTATACCACATTTCCTGCTACATTGCATACCGCATTATGTGGTACCCGCACCACAAGTCGTGGGCAAAGCACACGAGGATAATCTTGAGGAGTCTATCTATTGGAAATATATGGCGCTGACATGGACTTGTTTTGTTGACGAGAGCCCTGTCGTAATGTCAGTTCTATTGATTGGCATATGAGAACTTAACACTCTTACTTTTTGACTCGCAGCCTCTCACAGCCATCACCCAAATTCCTGTGCTAGAGTGCCAATCTCATTTATATTTCCCACCCACCGGTGTTGCTATGTGCTTGTGAGTGGCGTATCTGGATAGCAATGATCAATCTTTAGCATTCACGTTTCTTTGTTGCAGTTTCGCTTTGGACGTCACGGTGGTATTGAACATCGTGGGGTGACTACATTAATATTTCCTCATCCCGTCCTCTCAACCGTTCTCCAGCATATACTCATCCTTCCAATTCCCCAACTAGCCAACACACCATTAGAGAGTTGCGTGAGAAATATGCTGTGCGATCCCGAAAGCCCGTGCCATCGACGCTGTCAGCATCGGTACTCATTTCAGCGTCTCGAAAAAAACCGACAAGTTGCTTTCTTCGACTTGTAGCTTCATATTTGGCGCGGCTGCCTTTGTCTCGATATTTACTTGGCATGGGCACGACGGATACGTCGTCGAATAATTTGTGGTACGGGCGCCTGCAGTTGCAAATGTCCTGATCATCTGCGGGTTAGATGAGGATGATACGCACTGCGCAGAGTGCTCCTCGCATCTTCCAACATTCTGACATGCGGCGGCGCCCTTCGACTCTCATCACTGCCCTAACCACATGGCTCTAGCGTGTGAAAATTTTGCAACGTTTCGTTTAGTTCAACGTTAACGTTGCCACCTTTTTGAAAGCATAAAATAAGTGCTCAAGATTGATCATCTTGAATCTTGATCAATGATATACTTGACGTCTTCCCTACGTGCTTTGGGAATATGTACAGGATTCCAACGAACTGTATGCAGATGTTGGACCATCCAGGTGTTAGCGGGTAAGTCGTGCTTTAAATCTTCTCAATCTTACCAGGATTCCAGCTTCCGATGCTTGCTTGCAGACCCTTTGCGCCCAGCGACTTATAACAACATTTCCTTAATGTTGGAGAATCCATGGTGAAAAACACCATGTTCGCTGCAGGGATTTTCCGCGTGAAATCATGCGTGAATGATCGGATCTACAACGGTCTCTAAGAGAGGCTATCGGTGCTTCGTCCCGACGATGGGCATCGCAAGTTGAAGTTTTTATTGCTCTGGTGATTGATTTCCGCATGAGCATGCTGCTGATGGAACATGTACCTCGATATTTTGATTCACTTTATGCGCCTCGAATACCAGCTGGTAACCAAATATCTTCGCACCGCGTTTGCGGGTGTGCAACACAGTCGATACATAGCGGTTCAGCTGCAGTTTCCTTGACAAGTTAACTCCATCTTGCTTCATTTCGTTCGCTAAAATTGCTGCATGATAGATTTCACATAGACTCGTTGAGGCTGTGCCCAGCGTCCTGGAGACCAAGAATGATCTGTCAGACTGGTTTCTGGGTACCAGGGACGGAACTAGTGATAATCGGACTTCAGATTCAACAGGCTTGATGCTGTGCGGCACAGCGCTGGATTGGCAACACAATTATAGGTAGGGTACGTGTTTCAAGTCACAGGCATTTGGCCGCATCGTGTCATGGAACTACTTAAAAGCGGGTGTCTCGTTGGTAGTAGGCCCACATCCTTGATACTTCTCCTCAACGCAACCTTCTTATCCACTATACTCGCCAAGCTTCATGGAAAATTTCAAAGTCCTCGTCATCGGAGGTTCACGAAACATAGGGTATTACTCTGCCGTCCGACTACTAGGTTAAATAGCCCCTTTCCTTGACGCCCAACATGTTCTGACATCTTGTGCCAACAGCTCTCGGCGCTACCGTTACATTCCTCCTGCGCTCACCACAAGTCTTCGATCAGGATGATGTGATTCAAAACTACATCAAGCAAGGTAAAGCCTGCCTCGTCCAAGGCGATGCTCTCGTGAAGAACGATGTCCGCCGGGCATGGTCCGAGGCTCAGCATCAGCAAGGAGACTATACCAGACCAGTCGACTTCCTCATTTTCACAGTCGGTGCGTATCGTCTATTGCATAAGTCAAATGTTTACTCATTTATATACCTACCAGGCGGAACACCCCATTTCTCACTAACAAAAGGCTTCATCTTCACCCCACCAAACCTCGTTACCCAATCCCTCCTTAACGTCCTCGAGACTCTGCCATCTCCGCACCCAAAGATCATTACGATCTCGTCTACAGGCCACACGCAAGCCTCCCACCAATCTCTCCCTCTCCCTCTCAAACCACTCTATAGCTACCTCCTTTCTGTACCACTCAAAGACAAACGTGGCGCGGAGGAAGCTATAGCTCATAGCGCAGGGTGGACTTGGGATGCAAGAGACAGCGCGGGCGAAGAAATTTCCGGTGCTGATTGGACGGGCCGTATCCCCAATCCTGGGGAACTCAAGAGTATCGTCGTTATCCGGCCCGCAATGCTAACTGATGGGAAGTGTCGTGCGGACATTAAAAGTAAAGGAAGCGAAGCTTATCGAGTGAAAGAAGGGGATTGGGAGTGCGGTTGGACGGTTTCGAGGAGGGATGTCGCGCATTTTCTCGTGGAGGGTGTAGTGAGGCATTGGCAGGAGTGGGAGGGGAAGTGTGTGAGTGTTGCGTATTGATTATCATTATATTTGTAGGACTGCATTCTACATGTTTTCGACGCCCTTGTATGTGAACTTTTGGCTCAGCTTTTTTTGCGGCACACTGACGTGCGCAGATCATTCGAAAGATGCAAGCAGATAACATATATATGGACCGAAGTAGTGCTTGTGACGGACTGGGACAGTGACCTCCGAGACAGTATAGTAGAAATTATACACTCAAGACAAGGGGACCTGAACGACCTACTCTTCATCGAAGCCACACCATTCTTTATTACAGTCAGATGCAATACGTCGCCGTGAACCAGTGATATTGCCTGTCGTATCTCCCTTCCCCCACCCGCCACGACCTCCACCTACAAGGAACACACATTTTTTCCGCTCTCTACGCAAACTGCTTCCATCCCGCACGGACGCAGTTCGTCCGATTTGCGCTGATGAGCTTCATAACCCCCTAGACGTATGTTTCCAAATTTATCTGTTTGCTCTACACTTGACTCGATGGTTCCCTCGCAGTTTCCTGCTTCAGCGCCCATACCTCGTCCACATATAAATCTCCACGAGAATGTCAGTGGGGACTGCCATCATCAGATATTCGACTTACGTTTCATGGTCACCCCCCACCAGTGCCACCCACTACCCAGTCACCCAATCCTGGTGGCCCATTCGGACACTCGGTATCCCGCGCCGTATAGACAATCACATCATCGCTCCCCGGTCCTCTCTATCGTTGTAGCCTTGGTGGTGTTCTCGCCATCCAACTTGCCTAGAAGACTGCGTCGAGTCGTTCTGAGCCGAGGCTTCGTGGCGCAAAGGCGAAGCTACGGACCTCTGATCGTCGTGCCTAGCGCTACTAGAAGCCTGAGCCGACTGCGAATGAGAACTTTCGCTAACATTATTGGAAGACTGAGTCTTTCTGGGGGCTGGTTGTCTGGTGTGAACGTGAATATTTCTCTGTGAATTTCGTGAGATGAGTTATTGAGCACGGATACGATGCACGTACTCTTTTAGCTTGTGCAGTCAGTACGTCACGTCGACAATGTCAGGCCTTGTCTTGTGGGATTGAGGGTGCTGAATACACGTCCAAATGTTGCTAATAGGTGCGATACACTGTTTCAGACCGGTGGATCTTTGAAAGGCCTAGTGATGAGGTAGTGGACTTCGCCTTGTAAGATCGAGTAAGTTGAATCCGCCGTGTCCAAATTCTAGGAAAAGGTGGGATATGCTGTTTCCGACCTGCAGTGATTGGGGATGCCTGCTAGTGACCAGAACTTGGCGAGGGTTTAGGTTCAAATCGTATCCAACTGAGCGTTTGCACTGCTAGAGGTACGTGGCGGTTGATCGAAGAAAGCAGAGTTGAACGTTGAGTTACTTGAGTCCAAGCGAATGTTGTCTTCTTTTGGCTCTCGGGGTATCAGTCGTTGAAGGCAACTGTTGAATAGCATAAGTTAATTTTCTATCATAAACCTGGGTCTCACATCAATGGGGCTACTACCAAGAATCAAGTTCACTTCGTCAGTGGCCGGGATTGAACGTGTGGTGCAAGTGTCCTTGCCTCTTCCACTAAACGGATGATTAGCCTACAAGAGCCATCGTTCGAATCCGAGGGCACGCTCGAAGCCACAAACACTTGCTGGCTGGTGAAAATGCAAATGGATGGGAACATCTCATGCCAGAGATCGTGAATTCGTTACCCTTCATATTGTACGTAGATGAGCTCATTGGGCGATCCGGAGAGGGCGGGAGAGTTCTTGAACAACGACACAGTTAAATTAAACGGCATGTGCAGTATACTGCACAATGACAAGGATGGAGCTCAAGAGTTAATTAAGTAGAGCTGAAGCGAGGTTTCTACAGGGTGAGACGATTCCGAAGTAACGTATCTTGGTTCCATTATAAGTTTTTTGTGCTGAATGTGATTTGGTGGTGGAACTTGTGGGGGCTCAGGTAAATTGCCGCATCACTGCCGCAACTTGCCGCACCCTACCGCACCACTGTCGCACCCATACCAAATCATAAGTACTACACTTATTTTCGGCCTGCACTGTTCTGGTGCACCAAATAAATGAACTAGGAGTGTTTCTCGTCCGACTCCTTGATTATCCACTTCACACTAATGCATTTGAGTCTGAATTCAGAGAACAATTTTGAGCATGTTGCGGCACGGATGCGGTACTGTGTGCGGCAGACATGTCCCTGGTGCAGCTAAATGAATTATCAATTGGCTGAACTGTGCTACATATGCACATGCTTGCACTATCGTAGTTTCGAAGCGCAAGAAAAACTTACTCCAGGAGCCAGCCCACAATATCCTCATTGAACGTCGCTCGTCAGGACCTGACGTGAACTCAGTTCCTACTCCTGAAGAGCAAGAAAACACGATGCTCCAGGCTGCCTGGCTTGACCTCCAACTCAGCTATGATCTGACCTCGATGGATATAGACGCCGACTTGGAGTGTCTTGGCATACTGGAACAGCAGATGTTCGAGCTCTCGTTGGCTGCAGGAGCTGCAGGAAATGAACAATGGGAAAAAGATGCTGGTGCACACCAAGACCGATGTAATCCCTATGAGGGCCTCCCTGAGCACTGGAATCATGGCGACCGAGATTCATACGCACCAGAATTTGAAGGAGAAGTAGACGTGCGTCATCATCGCTTTTCATCGCGGATCAGTCTGACATGGTTCGACTAATAGTGTGGACCGAACTTTAGCGAGGGAAGTGAGCCTGACATAGTTAAGAAAGAGAAACACACCAAAAAAACCAAACCGCGGCCACGACCAAGGAAGATACACAAGGCTTCATAGGCTGGGGCCTCGTAGTAGTAGTTTGTACTCTGAAATGAACGAGACTCAGTTTGCAAGGACAAAAGGCCACACAGATATGACATACATACCTTAAAGCCCCGTTATCCGTTTGCACAGGTTGCTGCAGAACGTGGTCGAGGAGATGTGTGACAGTGAAGTCAGGCAAGGCATGCAACCAGCAAAGACAGGTGTTGAATGATAGGCGGAGGCATCGAGGCGCCAAACCTGACAGGCGCGAGCCTGTGTGAGGGGTCGTTGAGTCTTCTCACCAAGTTTCGCGCAGCTGCTCATAACGGTGCTGCAAGTGGACTTGATAAGAAGGGTGGTTTGGTGTCGGTGCAGTGGTGCGGTAGTGCACAGCCACTGCCGCACCCAACAACAGAATTGCCGCACCGTGCCGCATCACTGCCGCACCACTACTGCATCACTGCCGCACCCATCAAGTACATATATCACTGTAGTACCACTGTTAGCCTTACACAAACACCTGGAATATAGTATTACTTATTCTTAAATCATATTTCAGACAGTTTCGTACGACGTAGACGTATTGTAGAGGCATATAAGACATTGAGTAGGGTGCAGCAGGGTGCGGCACAGATGCGGCAATTTCCTAAGGCCCAACTTGTGGGGGTCATTTATTGTAGTGCACAACCTGCAGGGGTTCAAAATCATTTGTGGAAATTGTATTATTGATCCACCACCATAAGCTTAAGTTTTCCCTGAGTACTACTACTATGTCAACCCAGACTTTCCTATGCCGCGTCCCCATCGCGCCCTGCGTGTCAGCATGGCTGTCTAGCTTAGGTATATAATCTCAATCTATTGGTTCACTACATAACTTGACACTTTCCCTGCCTCCAAGGAAAAATCATATTCTCCTAGTTGGCTCCGGCCCAGGACATCCCTCCCTTCTCACCATTGCCACTCATACTGATGCGCTTACGAAGTACGCAGACCATGTTCTCTCAGACAAGCTCATTCCCGCTGCTGTACTTGCTCTCATACCTCAAACTGTCGACGTGCGCATTGCACGCAAGTTTCCCGGCAATGCCGAAGGCGCGCAATCAGAGATGATGGACGCAGCTGTCGAAGCTGCTCGACGTGGCCTCACCGTCGTCAGAGTACGTCCAATCCTTCATTCCCTTACGCCCCAACAATTATCTTATCACACAGCTACAGCAAGGAAACCCAGTCGTCCATGTCCACGTAGGGAAAGAACTGCTCTTCTTCCGAGCACGCGGATTCGAACCGCTCGTCGTCCCAGACATCTCATCTTCACTCGCGGCGTCCTTTATATTATTGAGCGCGGCTCGATGCCTGATCAACGGGTCGTTGCGAGTAAACTTGGAGTATGTGAAGCGTTGGACCGTCCGAGTGAACATAGACCTCCGGGGATGGCAGTTGTTGGGTGGGTTATGTTGGCACTGCAAGGCACAGGTGACACGAGCGTGCTGGAAGAGGGGGAAGAGAGGGTAAAAGGTGGTTAGGTGGAGGCAGGTGGGTTATGCGGGAAGGAATTGATCAGGGCTGGGCGGAGGTATAGGTGATGAAGATCTATTCCTCGATCTGCAGGGATTTATGTCGTATACAGTGCTTATTCGTATCTAAGTTTACTTCTGAACAGATAATAGTCTGGGACTCGAACATTCTGATCTTGATGCATAGAGAATTGACACTGGCAGGCAATCCTTGATGCAGCTACTCATCAGTATCAATCAAACAAGTATTGTCTCAGACACGGGCGTTGAACAAGATCAAGCGGCTGAGCCATCAATTTGTGACCATGCTTTGTCTGGATCCAATTCTTTAACGTCTTAACGGCTGCGCTTGCACACCTTCCTCATAAATCACTCTTCAGTAGCTAAATTATAGTACGATTGTCCCTTCGAGTAAAGAACCCTTTCCAAATCCTCTATAGTACACAGGCAACGTTTCTATGGCATGTCATCAGCTTTCCAAACCATTGCAAAAAGGATAAAATACGCACCATTGATATTCGCATCGTAGTGACACAGATGTAATCACAGCAAGTGGTTGCGCCTGGGGCGGGAGCGGGCCCGCGAGGTCGGGAGGTTGGCGATGCCTTCAAGACATCTACGCTGACGCTTGCGTGGAGGTAAATATTCCTCGTCCGACTCGTCATCGCTACTCTCGGAGTAGCTGCTTTCTTCCTCTTCCTCTTGTAGACTAGTATCGTCGCAGTTCTCGTTCGTCGCAGTAACAGTTTGGCGAGGCGGAATTTTAATAAACAGACTCGCCGCGTCTGATTTAGCCCCACTTATTTCTGTAAGGCTTCGGGTCTCCTCGTTGTCCTGTGCGTGGCTATCGTCTGATTTATCGTCCTTTGTAACGGGAATCGGGCGTTTCGAGGGAGGAATTCTGATGAATAGACGGGGCTTGTCCAATTCGACCCGACTTTTGTCTGTCGTGCTTCGCTCAGGAGAGCTGGAGTGCTTCCGTTTGGCTAGGCGTTTCAGGCGAGTGGGTAGACCTGAGTCAGGGTCGGAGCTCCCAGAAGTACTAGTGCTGGAGTGCTTCTGAGGCTTGGAGAGGCGTTCCAAGCGAGGGGGTAGACCTGAGTCGAAGCCGGAGCTCCCAGAAGTGCTGGAGTGTTTCGGACGCTCGGCAAGACGTTTCAGGCGCGGGGGTAGCACAGTGTTGAGCGAGGACGTGTCTTGAGGTTGTGGTGTGTGTTTGTCAGTTATCTGACGTGTATCACGGTCACAACGATCGGGAGAGCGCGGAACCAGCCTTAGGGTAGCGTTGGGCGCAATCTGAAGGATGCGGCTAGGCATGATAAATAGATTGTATGAAGATGAGGGGAGTGAATTTTTTTTTTCCATTTTGTGAAGGCGCGCTCGGTGGGGCGAACGTGATAGCTGCCTTATAGAACTGCACGCTTTTAAATGGTTTAAAGCTATGGACGCACCACATGTGAAACATTGTCCTCGAACACCCACAGCGAAATTGCGGCGTTGGACTAAACAATGCCGTGGGTAGCATCAGTCGCCACATGTGAGGGCCTATGGATTGACCATGGTGGTAAAAACCATGGAAGCGTTTGTGCAAGCGAACAATGACGACGAACTCGAGCGACCATTCACATTGACCACTATGATGGTCCAGTAAATTATCTGCTAGTGCAGGTAATAGACTACGCGAACAAAGTATCAGTGCTGATCATATTACAAAAATGATACACTTCACCAGTCGCTGAGCGCTAAACGTCCTATGAGAACTACTTAAGGCAGAAGGTTGGTCGCATGAATACGACGCGCACCTCATTAATCAACTCAAATGAGTGCCATTTTTGAATCCAGGACTTTGCCAGTTCCTCCTTCGACGTCCTATATGAATAGCATTCCACCGCCTGGCCGTGACGCACATATGCATATGGTGATCATCGTTCAAGGTGTTGAATTTGATCCAAGGACCTACTTCTATTATTGTCAATAACTTCTACTTCGACCTCGAATTGAAAGGCTAACGGTAGTTATACTCTACTGGTTCTCCTGGCTGCAAATACAGGTCATAATGAACAGAAACAATGATCCGCACATGCTAGGAGTACACCACAGCCTGAAAAATGTAAGTATTGACGATGGTTGAGGAGAGCAAGGGACAATTAAACGCACTATATTGGATTGTTGAGTTGGATTTGGAAAAAAAAACGTGGTGTTTATGTCCTGAAGATTCAGAGAAGGGAGTTGAAGGGAAGACTGCACTTTGAAGGAACTGGGAGTTGATGAACATCGAGCTGCTGAGCAACAATGAACTTGCAAGGCCCTAGATGGTTGATCTTGATTCTTCACTATCAGAGTTCACTTCGGCAACTTTAGTTTCGCCTCAGCGGAAAGACAGTAGGATGACTCAGCTGATGGTATCCCGAGTTGGACCAATGGCAGGTTGGACCGCGAGTCTTACGCACAACAATAGCCGACCTCACAATCATTATTGCAGACTGTTTTCCACCCATACTATACAACAGCCAGCTTCGAGCTGACTCTGACTCATACGTCCTATCGTCGGAGCACTGCCAGGAAGATGATCTCGAGTACTACATCAAGATTAGGCATAAAAGAATTGTTATTAGGCTGCCAGACGACTAGTAGGAGAATCCCTTGAAGCTTGACAAGAACGAACCGCACGGCGCCAATCACTTTGCACACTCGTCAACCTAATAATAGATTTGTCATGGCGGTGTCCATGTGGAACTAACAAGGCGCTGCAACAAGTTATTCCAGCTCATCTGAGCTTCGTATTGCGCAGTATAATACTATCTAGCGACCAGGCGAGCTGAATAGTCTTCCCTAGGCAGAGTGTAGACGAATGAGGGTGGCTGAGTTGGTGCGATTCATATTCTTACTTCAGGTTATGGTCACTGTAATACTAATTGTATGGAAAGTGACAGGACAAAGTTAAATCGATTACAGGTACTGTCTTGTATGGGAAGTAGCGGGATAAAGATAAATTAATTACAGGTACTATGCCCTCTTACAACTTCAACTTGTTCTGACTGGGCGGCCAAGGTCTCGTTTCAGGCTTTGTCAACAACTGAAACCAACAAAATCGCTCTAGCATGCATTGTTGCATCCCTGATGTGATGCTATCTCAAGTTGGGCGATCGTTTCTACTATATAACTATGTAGATGGGTCCAACTGGCGAAGCGACACATGCTATCATCAATTCCCCAGGCATCATTTTCGCCATGTCTACTGTACCATCGGGCATCCCGCTAGATACCGCTGCCATCATGTCATCAGTGCTGGAAGGTATCTTATATGGTGCGTATCACAGTGCGTTTGCTTGTATCATTCCCAGGTGACCGACTCGCTAGCGTTCTTCAGGCTTTTCGGTCCTCATGTTCATAGGTTTCGTATGGACATTCACGGACAAAAAAAGCGTGCGGGACGTCAATCGGCCAATCGCTGCGGTCGCCGCCCTGCTGCTTGTACTAAGCACTGCGGTTAGCTTCTCACTCTTCCATCTGGCGATGTCATCTAATGAAGTCTCCCCAGCACATAGTCATAGGGATCATTCATCTCGAAGCTGGACTGGTGCAGTATCGTGACACGTACCCAGGAGGTCCAATGGCGTTCTTCGCAGACTTTCACAGAGGAACATTTGTGGCCAAGAATGCGATATACACGTTGCAAACTCTGCTTGGTGACGGAGTGGTGGTGCGTTCAAGCTGTTCTCTGCCAGCTGGAAACCCGCGTGGCTTATAGAAATTCACTTTCTCTCAAAAGATTTATCGATGTTACGTCGTGTGGCAGTCTGTTTGGATTATCATCCTACCGTGCATCATGTGGTGCGGTGTCGGAGGTGAGGTTGCAATCATACTCAAAGAGTCGTGCGCTCTGATGTTCTCTCGAAGCGTTTGGTGTCTGTTCGGTCTACTACTTTTCGCAAGCAACTACTAGTGATATCGAAAATTTCTTCAACAGCGAGCCTGGACATTGGGTCGCGACGTTCCTTGCCTTCACACTTGCCACCAATGTGTTGAGCACCGGTAAGCACCTTTCTGCCCAAGCGCAATTTTGAGGCCCCATTATGATACTGACCTCTGAATTTTTCAGGATTACTGGCATATCGCATCTGGATGATCGAACGCGAGGTCTCTGCAGTTTGCGCCACCAGAACTAAAGTGCCTATATTGCGTGTGCTTATAGATGCTGCTATTTTGTACTCTGCGGCGCTCTGCTCGTCACTAATGTGTTTCGCCTTCGGGAACAATGGGCTGTATGTTATGGGGGACATGGTAACTCCGCTGTTACTACCTGTTGTCGCAAATCACTGAGCTTCGATCAACTTCTAGAGTGTCCCGATCGTCTCCATTACCTTCTATATGGTGTTTATTCGCATCGCGACCAATCGAAACAATCAACATTACATCCCGGCTGTCAGCGGAGGGACAACTGACACAGAACGAAGCAATTCGCGGCAATATCCTATGCAGCCTTTACACGGTGCATACAAGCAGACTGATGTATCCTTCATGGTTGATAGCCCGAAAATGGCATTAGTGTAGTTATCTGGCTTGATCGATCTATAGTATATAGCTATACCACTTATTTCACAACCTTTCAGGCAGTAGCCATCTCGGCACGAGGATCTTTAATTACTCTGTACTTTTCGTTGCATTGAGGGTCTAATCTTTTGGAAGCGGAACTGGCAAGTGTGTGCCGGATTCAAATGACAGAACAATGTGCCCACTTCGTTCTTTGCGTTAGATTCTACTTTACATTGTGCGCTCTTGTGATAGTTCTCCTATTGTGACTACTGAATCTCACTTCACCCGACATAACAAACCTAGACCGTAAACCGATCAAACCAGCCCACAATCCCCCTAGCGCTCTCCTCCTTTGCCCAGCCTGCATCAAGCATTCAAGACCTTGTCAATATCGATATTTCAAAAATAAGACTGGGCCACTCACGCTCCGTCTCAACGCCAGGATCGCCTCGTACAGCAAACCCATGCTTGACACTTGAAAACACCTGGAAATGATACGTGCATTTACGGGCGACCAAAATATCTTCTGCTCGTCTACGAGAGGCGAGAGGGAATAAATGGTCCTCCTCTATATGAGAATGGGATTATGAATCAGGGTTTCACTTAGTAACGATTGTAAGGATTTGAAGAACTGAAGGAAATTTACCTGCACATGAGAGAAGGAGAGGTCCTGCGGTGATGTAATGATTGGCGGTTAGTTTTGGCAGCACAACAATATATTAAGCACGAGAAACGTACCGTCAAGTTTCTCAAAGTGGCTTTCATAAATGAATGTGGGATGAGCGAGAGCTCCTAGAGTTCTCACGTGGACATCCTTCTGTCAATTTGAGAGGGGTTGAATGACGTACCAGCAACTACAGATCCGTCAGAACACAAGTCCATGACGAACGGTGCTCCAAAGCAGTACCCTGACCATAGGCCCGGGGGGTTAGTTTTTTTTGGCGTTGCTTGCATACTGACGTACCGACAGCGCAGTACTTGGTTTCCTCATTCCCTGTGCATCATTCAAGAATATATCTCGATAAATTATGCGAGATTTGAACAAGCCACGCACCATATTTTGCTTTCACGGCCTCTAGCCAAGCTGGGAACGCGTCGACAGCAGGTTTCAGTGCATTTGCAAGCCACGTATCGAGATCGCGGTCAGGCGGGTGGTTTGGCACGGAGTCACCGAAGAAGTAATCCGGCCCAAGGACGAGATAGCCTAGCCCCATCCATTTCATGTTCGTTCCATGATTGACAAGCGGACAAAACAGGACGCACCGCAAGACGCGAAATAATCTTGGAGCAACTGATTGTTCACGAAAAGCGATCCCCAAATGTCTGACAGGAAGAGTATCACTTTCTGTGTTGTAGCAGAAGCAGGAGGATCGGATATGTATGTTTGGATCCCACCAAGGTCCTCGATGCGGCCAACGGGTGTGCCTGTATGTTTTACACCAGAGAAGCAGCAGGCACCGGGGGCGGCGGCGAGTGTGGGGGACATTGTCGTGATGGTGCGTATGGGCGAGTTGCTTCCACCCTTTAATATGTAACGGGCGTGTGAGCCTCGTATGTTCGGGACGATGGTCCGTCGACGGTGTATGATAGTGGCGTTGACCATCAACGTTCAACCTCCGCAGAAGCATCACGAAAAACTTGGTTGCCGGATGATCGAGTATGGGGGGATAAGCTGCACCCTTGGAGAGAACACTCAGCACGCTAAAAATAGTATCCCAGTCTATTTGATCTACAAGGTGAGCGTGATCTACAGAAACGAATCATTTCACTTAATAACGGCATCTATAACATGTGACTCGTAAACTGCTTGAACTATTCCACGTAGCACTCTTCTTTTGTCCGCCCTATCAACAGTGAAGTTATGTGAAGGATTCAAATCAATGGAAAAGGCGACGAATACTGACTTTGGCGCTCAAATTCGGGATCTCCCCTCGTCCCAAATCCATGAAAAATACTGCTGGATATTTGGAAATAGTATGTCACCTTCTTCTCCAAGATGTCTTCGACTTGGCGTCAGAACGACGCTAGGAATACAGGGTCCTCTTCTGTGGGCTGTTATGAGCGAAGAACGCTTCAGAGGATCGGAAGACGTGTCCGTGCCTGCGCAAGAGAGTAACAGGGGCACTAATGGTATATGGTTTGTTCAGTACGGGCGTTATTTGAGTCACAGGACCTTCCCTTTGCTCAAAAGCTCCTCAGACACTTTAGTGGGATGTGAGAAGCATTCACATGCAACATATCAGTGACCGCGACCTGAAAAGACACAAGGCGACAAAAGGATCATATGAAATATTTCCTTTACATCATTCACTCATTTTCCCCCAGCCCTACCCTGCTCAACCGATTTTGTTCTCCACATCGAACGATCGGACCCAGGTTTGTCGAGATACCTGATCACAAATGCCCATGCAAATAGAAACATACCCTGATTAAGTGCCATGGTAGTCTTGAACCAATCAAACATTGATAAGGCGCAAAGACATCTGAAAAGTATAGGACGCCGGTCTCCACCCTTGCCTTTGTGTGCCGTTGTGTACGACTGAAGGGAAACAGTGATCTGTCAATGGGCTAGCGAACGTGGACGATATAAATGGCATTGGACTGCATCAGCAAGAGCTGAGGACGAACTCCAGTCAAATGATAAACCGTCCCATTCCTTGATAGCGAGTGTTCAAAAGTTAAAAACCCCGGATGATGTCATAGCGACGCGACTAAGGTTGTTCGGTTGACGCCGCGGTGATTACCTCATGGGCTGTAAACTTTAAGAGTTGCCGCGTCAGCACTATCTAAGCCGCTACCCCATCAATACACACTCCTCAATAGCAGGAGAAACCTTGCTCAGGATCAACTTACAGCCCGGTATAAGAAGCGCCCAATGACACTTGAAGGATGCATCGATCATTGAGAAGGCTGCCCTTGGAGGACTTTGACTTGTGACTGTATTCAATGGTGGGCCGCTGCTCGCGGTAAGTAAAAGCCACTGTTTATGGGTATACTAATCCTCTGCACTCCGTACAAGTTCGGCCGTCGTTGCTGCAGAGATTTTTCGAGTGCTCATGAACCTACTTCCCTTCAGTATGCATGCTGGTCTCCAATCCGACGCCAAGATCCAACAATATCGGGACATCGACATTGGTAAAGCGACAGTGGCGTCTTACTCGTGCTGCCATTACTGAATACCCGATTCCTTGATGTTCGTCTTGTTGTACTACGCGGCCAATACATAATTTTTTAAAAAAACATCCATGTGACCGTACAGGCCGGCCGTATGATTGTGGTGCGGGACGATCAAGGTGCTGAAAAGTATGATTCCAACACACCTGGTCACTGCATACTACTGTACTGCGGTACAGTACTATGTAGCGACTAGGTGAGCTGACCAGTTTTTCCTAGGCCAACGATAAGGATAGACGAATGAAGACCGTCAAGACATGCGTTTGGATCGCCTGCTTAAGTATAAATTGTGAGCATGCGCTAATACGTAAATTACCAGCTTATAGGATTCCAGAAGTGGCAGGACAAAAGGTGTTTGAATTACGAATAACCGGCCCATCAGAAAATACCTTCTCCGAGATCCTCGTATCATGTTTCAAGAACATAATTAACCTCGTGTAGCATATTGTACGTGGTGAATGTTATCCGTCCGATTTGAATGCTGAGCACTGAGCACTGATTGACAGAGACAGGATCCTGTTTCCAATTCCGTCAGAACCAGAGCCACGGTTGCTTGGTGTTATCCATGGAGACAGCTGGAGACAGTCAGAGCAACAAATGCAATAATCACGATTCACCCCCGATCGACTTCGAGTCGAACGCTTGCACGTTCCATTACGTGGCCCGTGCAGGCTGATGTGGTGACGTCTAAAGCTAAAGCTGGGCCATTTCTACTATATAACTGACGAAGCTACCATTTACATTGTCGTACATCTCCCAGGCATCATTTTGCGATGTCATCAGTGTTGGGATGCATTTTATACGGTGGGTGTTGCAATGAATTCATCCATCTCGTGCCCACCAAGCTAGCGTTCTTCAGGTTTTTCAGTCCTCATGTTGGTAAGCACTATCTGGATATTCACCTACAGGTGTCGCATACATGAATCAATCGGTCGATCGCTGCGGTTGCCACTCTGCTACTGGTACCATTCATGTCGACGATGCACTAGTGAAGTATCGGGACTCGTTTCCGGGCGGCGTTCTTCGCAAACGTTTCCCGAGAAACGTTTGTGGTCCAGAAGGGTCTAAAGCTAACAAGCTATGTCAATGTGACAACATCGCGGAATATATTACTCATGCAACCTGTAAATTCCTTGCATACGCATACACTCAGGCAGGGCCCTTACAGTGACAATGAGTATTTTTTCCGGGGTAGAAGGACATATGTAGAATTAGTTACCTAAGTAGTACATCCCTGCAATCATGGAGTCATGGACCCACAACCTTGCTAAGAACCTATTTCGGACTCTTGCCAAGATGTTTCCATTTTGCGCCCTCAGTTGCTGCCCGCCATGAAAGCAGGGCGCCGAGTTCAATTGTCAAATAAAAGGTTTGCTCATCCAGGTGCTTCAAACAAGTTCTAGGTGTTGGAATGCCGAAGCTGCCAGCTGCATGCGGGTGCGTTGGTGCAATTAGCCGGTCCCTGATCCGGTGAAAACCTATATAACGATACAGGTGAAGCCACCCACACGTCACGGTCGCATACCCCAGACTCATCATTTTTGCCATGTCTTCACAAGGCATCCCGCTGGATACCGCTGCCATCATGTCATCGGTGCTAGAAGGCATTTTATACGGTGAGCATCGCAATGAGTTGTTCGTCCTACTATGGCCACCACTGAGCTAGCGGCGTTCTTCAGGCTTTTCGGTTCTCATGTTCATAGGTACCATCTGGATAATCACCTACAAACGTCGCATAAGGGTCGTCAACCGGCCAGCTGCTGCAGTGGCCACCTTGCTATTCTTGCTAAGTACCGCGGTTAGCTTCTCGCCACTTGCGCCCAGTGTGGTCTGCTGATGCCTCTCAAGCATATGGTCATAGGCATCATTCGTCTTGAAGATGGGCTAGTGAAGTATCGTGACACGTTCCCAGGCGGCCCAGCGGCGTTCTTTGCAGACATTTCCAAAAAAACGTTTGTGGTCAAGAATGCGATACTCGCCTTACACACTCTGCTTGGCGACGGGATCGTGGTGGGCTCGTTTTTTTTTATCTGCAAGTTGGAAACCTTCTTGACTTACATGCCCTTCCTGCCGAAAGATTTACAGGTGTTACGTTGTTTGGCAATCTGTCTGGGTTATCATCCTACCAAGCATGATGTGGTGCGGTGTCGCAGGTTCGGTTACAATCATATCCGGGAAGCCGTATGCTCTGATATTGTCTCAGTGTTTGGTGTTTTTGCGGCCTGCAACTTTTCGCAAGCATCGACTGACATGAATATCTTCACCGAGAAGACTGGACATTTGATAGCGACGTTCATGACCTTGACACTTGCAACCAATTTGCTCAGTTCAGGTAAGTACACTTCTGCGTAAGCGCGATGCTTAGGTCCCATAGTAACCTTGACATATATAGGATTGCTGGCATATCGCATCCGGATGGGCGAACGCAAGGTCTCGGCAATTCGCACTACAAAGGGGAGAATGCCTTTATTGCGCGTGCTTGTAGATGCTGCTATTTTATACTCTGCGACGCTATGCTCCTCACTAATATGTTTCGCTCTGTCGAACAATGGACTGTATGTCATGGCAGACTTGGTAATTTTGCTGTTAACATCTGCTATCGAAACCACTGAACTTGGATCGACTAGAACGTCCCGATTATCTCGATTACCTTCTACATGGTGTTCATCCGCATCGCGAGCAGTCAATACAATCAAGACTCGACTCTTGGAGGGACAAGTGAGATAGAACGAAGAAATTCGCAGCAATATAATATGCAGCCTTTGCAAGGTATATGGAGTATACCCCCGGGTACTGATGTATCCTTCTCCTCTGGTGGCACAAAATTAATACATACATTAGTGTAGTTATCTAGATTATGTACCCCCGCACATAAAGCTATCCTCCGTCTTCAATTTAACAAGCTTTCAGACAGTGCCTTGAGAGCGCTCCGCTGCGAGGCCCAATCACTAGAATCTGATGTGTACCTGACCTTGCAATGCGCGCGGTACCGGTTACCACAAGTTCGGACAATTATTACACTACATGCTGAAAATGATGTTATGTATTAGCCCACACTGACGTATAGCTACTCTGGCCTGTGACCCCGAAAATATCCAGTCTCAGTGACTGGGTTGTTTGAACATTTATGTCCGGCTAGGCTCGAAAGTCTGAAGCGGAATAATACCTATGCACTGAATCTATTAATTCCTTGCACATGCAAACACTCAGCCTATTAGTACTGGGCGCTGTGACGGGAGTGTAAGTCAGAGCAAATTATGTAATTACCTAAGCACATGCCTGCATGGACCCACGACTTTACTAAGAACCTATCTCAGAGTCTTGCCAAGATTGACGATGACCCTGTGTTCTCGTTTTGCGCGCTCAGCTGCTGCCCGCCATGAAGGCAAGGCGCCAAATGTCAAATTAAAGGTTTGATTAGAATTGCTTATCTGGTGCGAAACATGCGTCCGACGGTCTGGCGTTCAAAGCAACTTCTATTTTTTAGAAAGGCGAAGATACTGCCGGTCCCTGATTCAGTTACTGATTGAACCGAACATTTCTACTATATAACGATACAGATGGAACTGGCGAAGTTCGCCACCGTCGTAGCATCCGCCCCAGGCCTATTACCATTTTGCCATGGCTTCACCAGGTATCCCGCTGGATACCGCTACCATCATGTCATCGGTGCTCGAAGGCATTTTATACGGTAGGTATCGCAATGAATTTACCCGTGCCACGCCCACCCAAGCTAGCGTTCTTCAGGCTTTTCAGTTCTCATGTTCATAGGGACCATCTGGATGATCACCTACGGCCGTCGCATACAGAACATCAATTGGCCAGCTACTGTAGTTGCCACCTTGATGTTTTTGCTGAGTACCGCGGTTAGTTTCTCGCCGCTTGCACCTAGTGTCATCTGCTGAAGCCTCTCAAGCATATGGTCGTAGGCACCATTCGTCTTGAAGATGGACTAGTGAAATATCGTGACACGTTCCCAGGCGGTCCAGTGGCGTTCTTTGGAGACACTTCCGACAAAATTTTTGTGGTCAAGTATGTGATAATCGTTTTACAAACCCTGCTTGGCGACGGGGTGGTGGTGAGTTCAAGTTTTCATCTGCAAGTTCGATAACCGCGTGGCTAACAGAAATGACTTTTCTATCAAAAGATTTATCGATGCTACCTCATTTGGCAATCTGTGTGGATTGTCATTGTACCTTGCATTATGTGGTGTGGTGTCGCAGGTTCGGTTACAATCATATCTGGGAAGCCGTCTCTGATATTGTCTCAGCGTTTGGTGTTTTTACGGCCTGCAACTTTTCGCGAGCGTCGATTGACATCAATATCTTCACCCACAAGACTGGACATTTGGTCGCGACGTTCATAACCTTGACACTTGCAACCAATTTGCTCAGTTCAGGTAAGCCCACTCTGAGCAAGCACGATGCTGAGGTCCCGTATTAACTTTGACGTGCGTAGGATTACTAGCATATCGCATCTGGTTTCTCGAACGCAAGGTCTCTGCAATTCGCACAACGAAGGGTAGAATGCCTTTATTACGCGTGCTTGTAGACGCTGCAATTTTATACTCTGCGACGCTCTGCTCCTCACTAATATGTTTCGCCCTCTCGAACAATGGTCTATATATTATGGCATACTTGGTAATTCCGCTATTAACATCTGCTATCCACGTTACTGAGCTTAGATTCACTAGAATGTTCCGATCATCTCGATTGCCTTCTACATGGTGTTCATTCGCATCGCGAGCAATCAACACATTCAAGACTCGATTGTCTTTGGAGCGCCAAGTGAAGTTGAACGAGGAAACTCCCAGCAATATCCTATGCAGCCTTTGCACGGTATATACATCCAGAATGATGTATCCTTCTTGGGTGATAGCCCAAAAGTACCGATACATACACTAGTTTAGTGTGCTTCGCTCCTGCATATACAGCTATCCTCCTTATTTATTATAACATTCGGACAGTGGTAGCTAGTAACTACTCAGCGCGAGAACATTAGGATTGGACTATAGAATTTACCTTACAATTCTGGACTTGTATTTCATACAACGGAATGTGCTCGGGCCTAATCATCAGGTTATAACCATGCAGTGCATCAGAACGCACAGAGATAGGATCATGTGGGCGAGGTCTAATCTCCTCGATGTTATAATTTTCAAAGTCTCATAAGGTCTATATCTCGCGGAGGGACGCATGAACAATACACATGCACGACGATCCATTAAGTCGTTGATGAGAAAGAACTTATCTCGACCGTCACCGCAATCGGCGGACGCTGTGGCTAAAGGGTGTCATTTATTTAGTCCTCTTCCATGACATTCAACAATAAAGTGACCACAAACCATGTCGGTCTGTACAGGTCCAGTGCAATCTACTTCATCGTCGAGATGTTTCATGTTCTTCCTGGATGACTGGAATTCCTCGGCTGGGGACACCATAATATGCGGCTCCGGTCGGTAGAGATATTGGCGAGTACGGAGGCTGGAAGAATCTGCACGCGCCTGCAGGTAGTATCGCGCATTCAGGAGTGTGAGAAACGAGTTGACGTATACTTGAAACGATACCAGCAGTCAGCACGATCCTCAGAGAATGAGTTGGTCATACATTTAGCCACTAAAAATTCAACGGCAAGAAAGATGAAGTTGTTCGGCATCGTTGCGCACTGCAGGTGTCCCTCAGAGACAAGGTGGACAATACAACTATTGGAACTTTACCGTAATCATAGTTGCCAGAGAACCTATACTGCACGAAATATCAATCAAGGTATGGGATAGTGTGGAAGGACGGTATACCTCGTGATACAGCCGGTATTAATGGTGTAAGCTATGAGCTTTTTGACAGTGGAATCCGTGCTAAACACCCAACATTAATATACCTGATTCCGATAGTGAACGGGTCGCTTGTTACCTAGCGAACCCAGTGCGGGAGGTGGCGAGAAGATACCACAGTGATGATGCAATAGTGATATCGACAGCAGTGATCGTACTTAAAGCCGTGTATATTGCCCACTCGGATTTAATCAAGTCCAAGAAAACATGACACCGATATCTATTCGCAATCAACACCTCTCGAGTGAGCGAGTAAATGGTCCACTCACAATACGGAGATAAGAGCTGTCATTGGGTCGAAATGAATGTTGAGTCAACAACAGTGGTACTCTAGAACCCTTACCAATGTCAACACCTGAAAGGATCTGCGTGTTCAAGATCGCGTGGAGAGAATTAACAAAGAATGTCCTCACCTACACCGAGGGCCACGATTATGCCCTAATAATGGATCGGCGGAATGAACTATAGTACGTGAACATTGATTGCAAACTCACCACCATTATAGGGAAAGCTCTCGACCGGCCCTTGCTGACTAGGTTCATTCCATCAGTCATGGTAGAGTAATTCTTCGGAGGACAAATACCTATCCATACGCGGTGGACATACAGACTGTGGACAAAGAAACATTGCTTGAACGTTGCATATAATTCTGTGCAAATCGAACTTACACATGTACGCTATTGGCAATGAGAGCCTGTGGCGTGCGTGTCTGAGGCGGTTCACCGAGCGTGGGGGGTTCGACTTACATTCATTGCTATCTGAAGCTGCGCGAGCCTGTCAGTATCACAGTAGATGGTGCAGAGAGGGGGAAAGCAGGAATTCACTTTAAAACTCCATATAACTTTTGTGAGCGGACCCATGAGCATGGGGTTGCTTATTAGATAATAATAGATGCAATGGATGATGGATGCCAGGTGCAGAGCATCAAATATCCTGAACGTTCATTATCTCGAGGTGCTCGACCATTGCAACTCAAAGATATCTACCAAAACAAAGAGACCTGATAGCGTCAGGAAAAGAACAAACAAGATGACAACATAGACGTACGACCAGCTTGAATAATGTTGTTCCTGTACCTCTATGCGTCTGAAAGTAGAGGAAAGTTTGAATATTGCTTATGCCCCAGAGGCTGTATCCGTGAGATATTGTGACAGCCATAATCAACGCTCAGTCTTGACTGCGGAGTGAGCGAATATTTGACTAACAATGCTGCAACGGTAGCCCCAATAAAAAGTGCTCCGAACGTGTTCCCCGTGGAAAGCTGTAGGCTTTGGAGGTCGTGCGTTGAGAAAGACATCGTTGACAGAACCGATCGGGATTGTGACGGTAATCGTTTTACCATACTATATACTCTAGCCGCATGCAACCAAGGGAACAAAATTGTCACCAATCTGTCAAGAGGTGGATGAAGGCATCTCCCGTGGTGATCACTGATTGGCACAGACACCTTTCACATACGGCGATGAGAGCCCACGGGCCACGTAGTGGAACGTTAAAGCGTTCGACTCGGAATCAATCGGGGGCGTATCGTAATCATTGAATTTGTTGCTCTGACCGTCTCCGCGGATGATTGCGCGTGTGCAAAGGAAAAAAAATATCAAATACTGGCGCGCGCATGCGTGTGCACTTACCATTGCAGCAAAACTCCAACTTGATTGTAACATTCGCAGATGGAAGCACTGATTCAATTTCTGGAGGGTTCTGCCACCGCACGGCGTTCGCTGTAGTACAGCTGTACCTACTAGGCTACCTTTCATATTGCCAAGGCAAGGGTCGGAGCAACATGTATATATCCTTTGAGTCCAAGGACGTGTGACGGTGGGTAACAATACGCATCCCCTACATAGGAAATACCCGACGTCTCCGTCCCTGAATTCGAAGGGATACACGATTAAAGAAAGTACATTAATGTAGTATGTTTAACAGGGCGAGTTTGGGAGTAAGCTTTTCTCGGCCTCGGGGACACGCAGCCCAAATTAGACCATCATTTCAAAACTTCGCACGCCTCTTGCACTATGCCCGTTAGTCTAACGTTCCCTCTTGCGATGCGAATGTTTTCTCTGTCGTCGAGTGGCCTGCCAGGCTGCTCACGTCAAAATTCGCGCAAGGTCACAGTCAAACCGACAAAATGTTGTAGAATACTAGTCCACCAAACTCTCGGTCCCACCCAGTGTAGGTGCCGACGAAATCATCCCTGATGTCACAAATATTGATAATGCGCCCGCCCCCGTCGAAGGTTCGCGGGTAGGTATGTAGCATACCCGACTCTGGAATATCGTTGCTCAAAACTTCCGTCCAGACCGTCAAGCTCACGTATAATGACGTGATAAAAACTATGATGGCAGAGTCCATTGGCTTGAGAGCGGATAAGATTGAGCCTGCTGAACTCGCAGGCCAGCGCTTCGCTGTTGTTTTGTGTCCGGGAACGGGCCCTACTAGATCTGGAATTCGGATTCGGCTAGACAGAGCGGAATCTGTTTAGTTAATTCACAAGGGCCGTGGTGATCGCAGGAGTGCTTGAAGGAACGGTGGAGAGAAGCTAACTCGAAGAACAAAACACTTACATATGTGAGTCACCCTTACATACGTCATGCCGCACCGTAGTATCCAATGGTACTTCTTTCATTTTAAATGCACCGGCCGCATCACAGTCCCGGGATATCGATCCGTTGATCTCGTGTCAACATCGATGGGGAGCGTTCTGATGTCGACATACTTGAGTGCCACTCTCAGGCATGATTTGTGTCTTACACAACGCCGTCAAGCTTCTGTCAAGCTTCTTAACGACGAATTAAATACCACCTGTTAGAGTGACGAGATAAGTGACAATACTTTCACGGAAAGCCTTTTTAAGTCCTCGCTGTCAATACAACTTGACTGCGGAACATGTATGTTTGTCTTTTGGCAGTGCAAAGAAGCGACGTCTCCGTCGTCGTCGCAGAGACCGTGACCTGGTGGATTTGTGCGTCAACATTTTTTTTTCATTTCCAGGGACACAGTGCATGTACATCAAGTTTGGGCACTCAACTACCTCGTCACCAATACTAGAACATGCAAAAAATGACCGGTGTTCGATAGGTCTGGGCAGACTCCACGACAAAGTCTGGCCTATGACGAGTTGCGCGTTTAGGCTGTGAAATGCGACCATGCCACCCTGACACACCTCCTTTGCCCATCCTGGGTGATCGTGTTAATAAAAACTCGAGGGAAACACGACTCACGCTGGTTCTCCACGTTCAGATCACACTTGACCGCAAATCCATAATTCACACCACTGAAAATCTGGAAGTGGTATGCGTCTTCATTTGCTCGACAAGCCTGTCTTCAACTTTCCGATGCGTCTCTTTGGGAAACGTGTGGTTGGTTTCAGCACAGGAAAAGAGCATCGGAGCTAGTCTATTGGACTCGTCAAGATATAGATCTGGGAAGAAAGAAAGGGACGGGCCGGTGCATTTGTCGATTTCCTCGGAGGGAGAGGCAGGGTGAGTGATTACACCTATATGATATTACGCACGCACACATGTCATGAAACGAGAATACGCATACCACAGACGATTAAAACACCCTCCTTGGCAAAATTGAATACTTGTGGTCTTTTCTATCCACGCCGGCCTGTTGAAACCTGACTTATCCATGCATTCATGAATAAATTCTCCAAAGAAGTAGTCGAGGCTGAGCACAGTAAAACCTGTAGACAGATGAAAAACAGGGAACAATCACAGTCGTTGCGTGACACCCTTGGATTCGGACAGGGTTTGTGGGCTCAGACACATAAGTATGTACGTTGGCAATCTCCCCCTGACGACCAACTGGAGTGCCGGAGTGGGAGACTGCAGTCAAACAGTGCTCACTAAGCTGAGGGGCCATGTTGCAATGATGGGGAGAATGTCATCAGTAGAGACAAAGTGTGTAAACCGTTTATGCGTCTGTAGGATCCTGCGTCGCTCACCGGCATCGTTCACGGGCAATAAAGCTGTGATAAAGGATTACTATAGTTTTAGAAATGAAATCAGCTCAGCAGGTGTTATACACGAGGATTCGAAAGAATGAACTTCACAGCAGAAGATCACAGCAGGCCAGGATGAACCAGAAAAGAGAAAAAGATGCCGACAGACCGGAGGGTTCTGGAGTCTTCGTAAGCAGATAAGGACACCGAGATGATGCTGCCACTGCTTGATCACCGCCACACCAGGCTTATCCTCCTCCATCATGGACACGACACCACAAGAAATACAGATAAATGTCAAGGGTACGACTAATCCACAACATATCATTGTGAAACATATTGACCTGAACTAGGACCGAGCGAGCTCAAGTTGCAGATCACAATCAGTACTGACAAGACTGTGCTCGACCTCAAGCATGCCATCGCAGAAAAGTCTGAAGTAGAGGCTGATAGACAGAGGCTTATATACTCCGGTGCGTTTTAACGGAATTGAAAGTGTTTCATTCATTCATTGTATTGCATTTACAAGGCCGAGTATTGAAGGTACACTTCGCCTTGCATCCACAATTCTCATGATCACTGACAATTTCGCCCACAGGATGACGATGTCCTCTCGACGTACAAAATTCAAACATCTCACACCATCCACATGGTCAAGGGCGTCGCTCGTTCAAACGCATCCGCCTCTCAAACCTCCTCCGCCTCAGTCCCCCCTCTCCCCACAATGCAAGCCGGCCAGAATCCCCACGACCCATTGACTCAACTCAACTCTCACCTCGGCTACGGTGCCCTCGCCGGTTTCAACCCATTCGCGGAAATGGGTTTGAACCCAAACGATCCTAACATGATGCAATCAATGATGCAGAGTCCCCAATTCCTCCAACAGATGAGCAACGTCATGAGCAATCCCGCAGTCCTCGACCAACTCATCGCCAGCAATCCCCAGCTCGCTGCTATGGCCCCTCAAGTCCGTGAAGTATTCCAGAGCGAGAGGTTCAGAGAGATGATGTAAGCCATTCCCTCTCGCTACTCCTAGAGATGCGTACTGATCCATGCTAGATCAAATCCTGAATCCTTCCGCTCGATGCTACAGATGGCATCAGCATTCCAAGGTATGGGTGGAGGCGCAGGTGCCAGTCCATTTGGTGGGGCATTCGGCTTCCCCGGCGCAGCAGGAGGCGGTGCAGCGTTCCCGGCACCAGGCGCTCCATCTACAGCGCCCGCATCAACTACCTCCCCCTCCTCTACCTCCCCCACTGGTACCCAACCAGCTCCAAATCCCTTTGCAGCATTTTTCCCTCCCGTCCCGCCAGCAAGCGCGGGGGCTGGTGCAGGCGCAGGCACCAACCCATTCGGCATGTTTGACCCCGCGGCGCTAGCACAAATGCAATCCGCCTTTGGTGGTGGTGGTGGTGGTGGTGGCGGTCTTGGCGGGCTCGGAGGCTTCAGTGCACCTCCTGCTGCACCCGCAGATTCGCGGTCACCTGAAGAACGTTTCCAGGTGCAGTTGCAGGTACGTTTTGAATGCTATGCACGGCGGGCGATCTAATCAGGTTTCGTTGCTTTTTGGGGGAAACAGCAATTACAAGATATGGGCTTCACAAATGGATCGCAGAATGTTCGGGCCCTGCTTGCGACTGGCGGAAATGTGAATTCGGCGATCGAATATATATTAACCGGAGGAGGACTGTGAGGGGAGCACAAGCGTGGCGGATGGATGGGTGACGTTGGCGTTTCTCCCATGTTACAGTCTAGACATGGACAATTGTATTGTGTACGCCGTAATAAATTTAGCGATCTATACTATGTGATATATTGTATAGGTGGAGATGCATTCTCTAGAGGAACGGTGAATGATGCAGTCGATAGCGATCACAGAGTATCGTCTGTAGTAGATTCCCCGGAAAGCCTCGCCCGCTTCACGTCTTCTTGAGATATCGATATTGAAGAAGCTCGTTTCGAGGCCTCTGTCGGCGACTTGAGTGGTCTGAAGTACGGTTGGGAGAGCCAATGCGGCAGCACCCTAAGCCCTGTCGTAGGCTCAATCGTGATCAAATCATCGATTGTCTTCCCCTCCTTCGTCACCTCCGCAGGATCCCTCTCCATGCGCTCCTTCATCTCCCTCGCAACCTCAATATACTCCTCAATAACATTCGACCCTCTGATCCGACCCAACCTCTCCCTCAGATCCGTCTCCCGTTTCAGAGCGGGATGCATGATTTTAAACATATGCCCTTTAACCGCGCTCGTTGATGTTGGCGTCTTGAGGCTCTTGACAATATCCAAGTACTCAAGCGCAAGATCCGCATGGGGCAAGTGTGCGCCTCTCAGCGTCGATGAAGAACTTCGACATGGTGCAGGAGCGAATAAGGCAGGGTTATATAGCTGCCCCTCAGCGCTCATCACTCCATCCACGCCAGTCTCTTTCATGCACTTCTCTACGTCTTCATAGAATAGAATGTTGCCATTCGCGAACACAGGCACGCCAACGGCCTCCTTCACAGCTTTGATGTGCGCCCAGTCCGCGAGCCCCGTGTTTTGCCCGCGTTGTGTCCGCAAGCGACCATGACAAGTGAGGATCTGTGCCCCTGCGGATTCGAGCATCTTGGCATAGGCGACTGTTTGTTCTATGGAGGGGAATATTCGGAATTTGGCGGTGACGGGTACGGAGAGGTTTTCGTGAAGTACGTTGACTGTTTGTTCCGACGCCCTGTAAATTAGCACTTTTTCAACAAAAACTATCATGAAATAAAAACGCACTCAGGTCATGAATCAGCTCCCAATCGTCCATTAAGAAGCTCCCGTAGTGTCCTTTCCTTGCGATATCCTGAGGGCACCCGAGATTAATATCTATGGCATCGCAGTGGTCCTGTACGGCGAGTGCGCTCGTGAGGAGCTGTGAGGGATTGTTAGCGCAGAACTGGACGATGAGCGGACGGTCGTGTGTAGTTGAGCCTTCCTCGAGACATGAAGTGTTGAATGCCTGTGCGCGATATATATGTGCGGAAGGAGGAGAGAACATCTTGGCGTTAATCATAGGTGTGTAACAAAGCTGAGGAGGTTACATTAACATCAACGAATGACAAGGACAAGAACACAAAGTGATGGCGATCGGAGGCGTACCTGGGCACCGTATCGACGAGATAGGATTCTCCAAGCCTGATACAAGTAATCATGAAACGATGAATAACGTGGACATGGACATGGACCCTACTCACCAGCTCACTTTGATCGACCATCGGCGCCACGATGAGTTTTGGGCTACCGAGGATCTGGTGGTAGAAGTCATACCCAGCGAGTTTCCTGGGACGATCAGAGGTGGTGTGGACCGCCATTGTGAAGACCTTTGGAAAAGTGCGCTCGCGCAGAGCGCGCGAGAGGAAGCGAACGAAAGAAGTTATTGGAGAATCGGCGCAGTTGGGCAAGATTTCGGCTGCAAGAGATTTTTGGATCATGGCCTCACGTGACTTGTACTAGGAAGATGATAATACCCCTATGTGACCTCTGCACACGATTTCGACAATGTCGCCCACGCTCGCCTCTGCCCCCAGTGGTAGCTGCTGCTTGTCTGTTGTAAAACACACGGGCACACCTGTTGGTCACATCGAGGACCTTGGTGGTATTTCAACATATATCTCTGATCCTCCGAGTCCTACTGCGACACAGAAAGTGATACTCTTTCTGGCAGACATATGGGGACCGCTTTTTCTGAACAATCAGTTGATTCAAGATTATTTCGCATCCTTTGGTGAGCCCCCATGTGTTTGCGTCTGTGTGTGAAATGAAAGTGAGCTGAGTGGAAGGAACTACCAGGCTATCTCGTCCTTGGGCCCGATTACTACTTTGGCGACTCTGCGCCAAACCACCCGCCTGGCCGTAATCTCCAGGAATGGGTTTCAGAAGCGCGGAAACCGGCTATCGACGCGTTTCCTGGCTGGCTGGCTGCTGTGAAGGCAAAATATGGTGCGTGTTGGGTGTGTTCCAGCGTGGTCGTGGTCGTCAAGATATATCCATTGTAATAGGGACTGACAAAACCAAGTACTGCGCTGTCGGTAGGTAATAACACAAGCAACGTCAAGAGACACTGAACACCTATGGTCAGGATACTGCTTTGGAGCCCCGTTTGTCATGGACATGTGTTCTGATAGAACTGTAGTTGCTGGTAAGTAATTCCACAGCCTCTCAATAAGGGTACCCACGGGAGGACTGTAGGAGCACTGGCTCACCCTGCATTCCTCGACGAAAGCCACTTTGAAAAACTTGACCGTGCGTGCTCATGCTTAACACGACCTTCTCCTACCAAAAATTACACAGGACCTCTCATGCTCTCCTGCGCAGGTAAAAGTCCTTTATGAAGAATCAAGATGCGGGTAGTCGCTAATAAGACTGATTCTTGCAGAGGATGACTTATTATTCCCATTGGCATCGCGTCGACGGGCAGAGGATATTATGGTCAGCCGCAAGTGCACGTACTACTTGCAGGTATTCTCAGGCATCAAGCATGGATTTGCAGTACGAGGTAACCCAGATATCGATACAGAGCGTAAGCGACCCAATCTACTGTCTTGAGTGTCCGACAAGTCATCAAATGTTTCATCCAGGGTGGGCCAAGGAACAGAGCGCCAGGGGGATCAAGGACTGGTTTGATCGGTTCACTGCTTAATTTCGTCACAGCAGGAACGATCATTATTGATCAGTACACGAGATTGCAGATAATTTTTGTTTTCAAGTTGAGTAGCATCGCAATTCAAGTGCCACTTCGAATCATCGGGCTGCCCGATGAACAATTTGTCCTGTAAGAGGGTTTTATGGACACTTCAACACGAAATGCTTATGGATCGACAAAATCAGTCACTTTGTGTCAGATCTGAAGACAACACGTACTGAGTACCTTCAAATGTAAATGTTAAATGTCGGAGGACGAAATCGAGCGCCAGACGGCCTCTAGGCTACTCCGCGTCCAGCCCTTGTCTGATGGTGCCAATATATAGTGTGGGAGAGTAGAGGGCTGCCTTCTAACATGTGTTGTAGCCATGAACAGAGACCAAGGCTGCAAAGGGATAACGAGTCCGGCTCAATCAACAATCGCGCACCGTCTTTCCTCGCAACAGTCGAATGCTAGAAATAAACAACACCAAGAACTCGAACAATAAAATCAATAAAGGTCCTAAAACTGTAAAACATACATCTTGTCGTTATCGGCATCTGCAACATCTTCCGCCCAACACGGAACCTGTACACATACACCCAGGCTAGCCAAGCTCAACCCCGCCAACTTTAACTGCAATCTTGATCGGAAAAGGAGATATCCCTGTCGCGTTCGTGATAAGAGGAACTGCCGTGCGCCCGCGCTCCGACGAGGTATGTGTGAGCATCACGTTCAAAGCCTTCAAAAGCGTCGACGCAAGATTTGCATTGAATTCCTGCCGGTCTGTAATCGCGAAAATATTACATTATACCGTGACAAAATTGCGAAGCGGAGGAGTGCTCACCTCTGTCTGACTTGGGTTGTCGCATCTCAGCATTCACAATCCTATCATACATCATCTCAGTCTCCCAGAATCACCACTTTGAAGAACTCGGAAACACACCATTGTTCCCATGGTACTTCCTCCTCCCCGACATACACCTGAAACCAAGACTTCTTTGCCTTTTTCTCCGAAAATGTGACTATCATCTGAATGCGAGTGAACAAGGATCGTCATATCATATTATGAACAGCATATCACAAACATAAAACAACTCACTTGACCACGCTTATTCGCCCCACTCTCGATGCCCTTCCAAAAGATATCCACTTTCTCCGTCACGAGCTGTTCCATCTCAGGGTCCGAAACACCCGGCTGTAACGACGATGACGATGACGAGTGGCTTGGGTGCTTATGTCTATAAAGCTCACCATCGTCACATCAAGCACCTCGAACGTCTGCGGCTTCACAGTGCCAAACAGCCTATGGAAAAGTATCGAGTGAAGAATTGCTGTGAGAACCTCTTTGGCGCTATGTCTGTCGAGGATCTAGTATCACAGCACCAAGCGCCAAGCCAGCCGCATCAGAATCAGAGTCAGCGGTATAATCAAAACAAAAGTACGAGGAGATACACACGACATCGATCGTCACAGTGGGGAAATTGGCGTTCATACCTGCACCTAGACGGACTGCAGAGTATACATAAACTGAGTTATGTACTTAATAGAGGAAGAAACCCATGAAACGAAGGATTCGCAGTTTGCCTGGGTCGTGGAAGCTGTCTAAAAAGGTTGTGGAGCTTGGTTTTGCGGTGATGGTAATCTTATCTTGGCTACTAGCTCAGGCTGTCATTCGATATTTGGTTACTCCATCGCGATCGTCAAGCTAGTACTAGTACTGCCATGGTACCGGTTTCACGTTCTACACATGTCAAGCCGGTCAAGGATCATGTATACATCTAGCATATTTTCCCATCAACACCCAACCTTACGACGAGAACGTATCAAGCAGACGACCGTAAAAGGTCATACGCCGTATAGGTAGCACCAAACAGAAGTCCTAAAGCACCCGGGTACAAGTACACCACGTCAACACCCGAGAATCCCACCAGCAAAGACGCACATACCAAAAAGAGGAAGTTCACCAAGTATACCACCACGTGTATTCCGCTACCGTAACCGCATCATGCATGAGCAACGTGACCTAACCGGATCGAATGGCTCAAAGAACTGGCACATACCTTGACCGGATCGCCCGTCGTGTACCCTAGCGTATACAGAACACGGGACAGCGCCCATAACCCACACGCATACCCAGCGAAAACAGGATATCTCATCGCAGTCACCAAAGTCCTAAAACCGAGTCAATGAGATCTAGAACACACATGCACAAACCCAGCAGAAACACCCACGTTACAAGGATAAGAGGCATATGCTCAAGCGTGTTTTGGTGCGCACCTAAAAGGCAGCAAAAACAAAACCCATCGTGAGCATCAACAGGACCATAGATCTAGTGAACAACGATTTACGCTGCGCGCAGTTAAAGAGTAAGGCTGCTTTAGAAGCTTCTGCTTCCGCCTTCTCGGCATACACTACATATTAACGAAAACCCCTGTTCAGCCATTCCGACATCACTTTGCAGGAGAAACGACAACGCACTCTGAGGGTACTTCACCCCGGACTTTGTTCTGTGGCCGCCTACGACTATCATAGCCTGCCAGCCAAGAACCCAAGCAGTGGATACCAGTCCAGCTGCTACATACCCGAAACTTGACAACTAGGGTAAGATACCATCTGACACCTGAGGGCAGAGAGACTTACCCGGGGGGCAAAACGATGGATGAAGACATGATGGCGGTTTGGAAAAAACTTGTGGGACAGATCAGTGCGTCGGCCTGACACTGACAGGGGGACACGCAAGCAGCCGACTTGCCGGAAAACAGCATTCCACGCGTACATGCTAAATTTAGCGCCTGCGTGATTTGATTGCAACATGCAGTTGTTGGTCACCGAACAAATTAATACAGTCAACAGACGCAGAGATACCATTAGTTATGGGTCACTACACAGCTAGGAAGATAGATAGTACAGCTTTCGATAAAGACAGGTGTGGAAAGGATTGACAGCCAGAGATAGACAGATATCGAAGAAGATTCAGGGTACGATAGGATAAGATCAAACGGGTCTAGGAGGTTGTGAACTAAGCCATCTGCGAGATTGCCTCAGATGAATGGCAGGAAGGTTTCGGGGAAGCCGTCAGTGGAGATGGGGATGGGGAATAACGAGTCACGGTGTCTGCATCCACCTCATACTCCACGGTTTTCTCGACGTTGATTTCCACCTGTGATAAAAGTCAGATGAATGCCATGATCAAGGCGTAAAGTCGGACCTTGGTTCCAATAGGGTCCATCCGCGACTGCAGCAATACAAAATGAGCTATCAGATTAACCATTCATTTACTGGTCACGCACAGAGTCACGGTTATTTGACCGGAAGCGGTATGCGAAGCCCTGGAATGCCACAGGAAGTTCTCCCGACAAACCTCTCTGGGCTCGCTCTTGCCGCAGTTGCTTCCGAGCGTTCAATCTGATTGAAGTGGACGTCGGACATGAACATATATAAACGGTTGATAGTATACGTACGTGGCCAGCAGGGAGTTTGCATACACTATAGATCAAGACGTGAATCAGTAAATATTTTCCGTTAAGATAGCTCGAGAGCAACGCACATTTACTAATGACAAAATGCAGCCCCATAAAAATGAGGTTGGTAGGCATTACAAGCCACTGTAAAGTCAGAACGGATGAAGGATACGACAAAAAACGAATGACTGTTAGGCTCACGCAAATCATAGAGATGACAGTGGCGGCGCTGGCAGAGATAGTGAGAAACCGATACTCTCGATTTGACAAAGCTTCAGGTTTACCTGGTGAGAGAATTATTCTCGAATGTATACAAGATGACGGAATTTATAACATAGTCCATACTGTTCGTGTAAGCCTTCATGTATGTGCACGGAGCGCACAACTCACCTCGAGGAAGCTTTGCGTTTAGCTTGCAGCGAGTAGCAAAGGAATACCGCAATGAGAACGTCGACGAGAGATGACAGCGCGAGACCCAGCGTGAAAACCCACTACAGGCCCCATAACGTCACATGGCACTGACACAAATCGCGACACTTACTCGGAACTCTCGCTTGAACTCTGAGAACGTCTTGAGATGGATCCTATACAAATGTTATGATGGTTGTGTAGCAATACAGAAGACGTACTTACATTTCTGCCGTTGTTACTACGGTGGCGTAGATAGATCAGCACGTTGTATCGTGGCCAAATATGCCAACCTACCGGAGGCAGAACCTAAAAACAACCTTTAATTCCTAGAGACCGGAAGAAAAGCGAGGCGACTCACATAACCGCAAAAACGCGAAGAGCAACTACGGCGAAGGGCGTTCAGCCCTCATTCGATGTTAACAAGACAAAACTTACAAGGGGGGCGGTGATGCGCCAGTCACAACGGCTCACTGCGACGGAACGTGTTATGCGGTTGATATGGCGAGCAATCGAAGAGCTTACGCTTATGTATTCGATGTGCAAAGAAGCTGCGCGAGTTTGGATCAGTCCTTAGCCACGTATCGCCAAACAGACTTACCAGTGGACGATAAACGTCAAGATTGCCTGCAAAATCATTCAGAAACTTTTGATCATGTTTGAGAATGACTGGACTCACGGTCATTGCGATTGTCATCTGAAACAAGACTAAAATAAGAGTGTGTGGGACCTTTGATAATTGCTACGCACCGCCACGGTTCTACACGATGTCGGTCAAACAGAGGACAGACAGTTATGACAAGGGAGGACGTACTCTGGTATATCATTTATTTTTGAGGTATCGCCAAAGTTCTTTATTAGATAAATCCATATCGATGCGCAAACCAGTCCAGTATGAGCACTGTCCAAGATCCTAAACACGCGATTAATACTTGTGAAGCAGGTAAACTGCAGGTACCGACCATATCACGGCAACCTGCGCAGAAGACATGGGTTCAGCGAAGCACCAACTGATGACATGACACTCACGATGACCTTCCTCCAGGCTAGATCTGTGGGGAATAACTTGTAGTAAATGAATGATTGTACGGTAACGATCCCTGAAAGTCTGGAGTGGAGGGCGAGATGGGCCCATGAGGACTAGTTGTAAAAAGGATAAAGTTCTGACTTACGCAGCGGCCAAAAAACCACCCAGAAGGATCGCGCCGTACGTTGCAGGCACGCTAACCATGTTAAACAGGAAGCAGGAAGTGTGTGTCTAAGAAGAAATAAGTTGAAAGTAGGAAGAACGAATTGGGGAGAGCGGGAGAAAAACAACAAAAGACAGGCTTAGGTTCAACACGGGCGAATAACCCGGGTTTAAGAAGGTTTAACGTGGTCATGAGGTCCAGTATTCCAAAGGTACTTGAACGGCATAACGATAGAGGGGACCTGAATGCTTACTTGTCCTTTTATGGTAATTTCCGTAACTTGCCGTCCTCTTTTGTTCCAGGCTTGCTTCAAGTTCAACGCGGGTTTTCACTGTGACCGTAATCTTGGCTGATGATCCGCTGAGAAGCCTTAAAAATAATAGGCGCTCACTAATTAACATGACGGCACACTGAAATTAATGTGGCCCGACTGTTGAGCAACTTTCTTTTCGCGACCCTTCAACCTTCGCGGATTCTCTTCTTCTAGATCTATTCACGCTCACTTCAACCGTGCATTCCCTCAAATCTCAGCACCAGAGAGCTATTAGCAGTCCGGAGGGCTACACCCACACCGCTTGTACGTTCCTTGAGCTATTCCAAAAAGAGCGCTCTTCTTTTTATGATGTTAACGTTGATTAAGGGTGGGGTACAGCCTTCTGATGTTTTTCCGATAAACTCGGTACCCGCCGCTGGGGGGTTTGAATAAACGTTCCATAAAGCATAGTAACACTAACGTTGTCTTGTAGGGAACGTTGATGCGCCCGGTTTTCAAACAACTTGTCCGAAACGCAATTTGATGCGATGTTGCGGGGTGAAAAACATAATGATGCCAAAATTTGATAACATTTGATCTACAATCGAATAGCAATTTGATTCAAAACACTACTAATCCGGCTCCGAGGACTCGTGCGTTTGAACCTGCATGTACGTATGTCGTTTCATGATCAGATAACAACATATCGCGACCCCTAGAAAAGAATCCTGGTCTGGACTCTGGTTCAAGACGGCCCATCAGAATTACAGTGTTGTAATTTATGGGCAGAACTGACAAGTTCTGCCAACCGCTTTGGCAGAAGTTCAACCCAGTGGTTGTGCCTGGCAGGCAGATCCGACGCATCAAATGGCTTGTAGAACTTGGCAGAACCCAGGGGTGGCAAAGAATTCTCCGCATAGTGCTAAAATGTACCTCCGGTCCCAGTATGTGCACGCAGAATAGAACAGTTTGACACGAACGAAAAATTAAAAAAAACTCTTGCCGCAGAGTGAGCTCGGACTACAAAGAACAATCCAATCATGAATTCATTGACGATTACAAGCGTTATGCTACCCAATACAAGGCACAACTCCGCAACTGGTATAAGGTGGTACTAAAAACTACTGACAGTGTTCGCCTCAGTCTTCGGCTGAAGGACCGAGACGAGATAACCTATCAGTATTACGAAGGGAAATAACTACTGAAAGACGCAAAAACACAGAGGAGACGTGTACATGTCGTGTGGACGGACGCATTTGCGACAGAAGATTAGACAGGAGAAAAGATTACAAAAGCTCAAGATCACAATAACAAGATCTCGCGCGAAGGAAGAGGAAGCGAGGAAAAGATACAACTAAACTGCAGTGCATGCAATGTTCGGATCATCGTTCGTGGGTGAACTTGTATCCGAAGGGATATGCGGACTTCGTTTCGCAAAGCCGTCGACTGCTTCATACTCAATGGTCTGTTCTACATTGATTTCCAGCTGAGAATAAAGTTAGTGTCGCCTCAAGTTCCCGACAAACTCTGACACATTACCTTGTTTTCAGGATCCAAGCGTCTCTGTCGCGTAGTATTAGCATACAGTTATCCTGCTGCAAGAAAGAAACTCACGTTGTACTTGGACTGATACCGGCCGGGAAAAGCAACCGGAAGCTCGTTGGAAAGGACCCCTCCACGCGAACGTTCTTCTTGAAGTTGTTTACGGGAATTCAAGCTAGAACAAATAGTCAAACTCCGTTTTCGACCAGGCCGCACTGCTCACGTTGCTAGCAAAGAGTTGGCATAGACTATTTTTGGCAAACGTCTTCAGCGACAGAAAACAGATGAACCGTAATAACCCACGTTTGCTAAGCACAAAATGGACCCCGAGGAAAACGAGGTTGTGCATGGTCACCCACTACCATAGTTCAGTATCAAACAGGAGATGGACACATCGCATCGGATGATTTCACTTACGCATATCATCGAGATAATAGTGGCCGCACTACGCACGGCAATCAATACATGAATGGACGCTCATGCACAGATCGAGAGCCACGCACCTCGTGAGCGCATTATTCTCTAATGTATACAAGATAATGGAGTTAATTATACGGTCCATACTAGTCATGTGCGTCAGCTTTCTGTCCAAGTCGCCTAATATTATGCGACTCACTTCGAATATGCACTGCGATTACTGCGCAACGTAACACACAAAACCACAGCGACGAGGACGTCCACTATACATGATAATGAGAGGCCCACAGTAAACACCCACTAGTAGGGAGAATACAAATATTACTGAATAGGCCCAGCGCACAAAAGAGGAGTACTTACTTCGACATTGTGTCTAAATGCAGTCATGGTCTTCAGCTCGATCCTAAATATCGCTTAGCTTCTTTTCTATGTAAAGCAGTGCAGCGAAGAAGAAAAAATTCACATCTCAACGGTGGAGACTAATGCACAGAGGTGTTAAACGGTGAATCTGGGTCCTCAAACTTTGGGCACTCACCAAGTGCAGCAACTTGATGACATAACTAAGTGAGCAAGAGAACACAAAAGGTTCAGGTCGACTTACCCAATCGCAAGAAAGCAAATACAACCTGCGGCACGATCAGCCATGTCATTCTGAAGATCGAAGAGTGAGGCATACAATAGGAACACTGATCCGCCAATCATTATGGGTTACTGAAGCGCACTAAGTAAGCAGCAAGATCCTGCAGTAGAGGCGAAGCTTACGCTTGTGAATTCGATGCGCAAAGAAGCTGGAATGATGTTGGCGTATAAGACATGTGCAGAGCAATAGTAGCGCACCAGTGCACAATCAAAGTAAGGAAGGCCTGATTCTGTCAGATTACAATAATACATAACCCAATATACAACTCACCGTCAACGCAACGGATATTGCTAATGGACTGCATGACCAGCGAAAGAATCAGACCTATGCATGAAACGGGTCAATGAATTGAAGAACACGGACGCAGGTATATAGTCTGTCTTGGCGTCGTCGCCGAACCACTGTATCATAAAAATCCATGATGCCGTACACACGAGTACGGTATGAATGGAGTCTAATAACCTAGACGAGATGCTATAATGAAACTTGTTGCAGGGAACAGAAAAGTGACGAAACACACCAAGTCAGAGCAACCTGTTCAGCGTGGAAATTATTATAAATCATTGATTCAACTTCACTTGACCCATAAACTCACAATCGATTTCGTGACGCGTGTATCAGCGGGGTATCGTTTGATGTAAGTAAATGTCTGTGCTGTTATGATCCCAGATAATCTGTTGGCGTGGTCGGTTTGATCCAGATTCAGAGCCCATAGACTTAGGGTCACATACACAGAAGCAATAAATCCACCGAGAAGAACAGCACCATATGTTGACGGCAGATTAACCATGCTTTGAATGGAATGAAGGAGGGGGCGGAAAAGGGTGTAGCCATAAATATAAGGAAAGGTTCATATATGAACGGTGCACCGCAACGTTGGCAACATTATGCTCAAGAAAAAAAAGGTAGCTGGACAGCGGTCGCGGTAGTTGTCGTAGTAGTATCGATCGCTCATTCATTCCTCATTTCAGGCACATTTGGAAATGACATCCTCAATCTGTGCGTAGTTAATTTCTTGCCATCAGAACTCATATATAAACATCCTGGAATTACTGTTCAGCCAGTGTATATGGCCATGCAACCCACCAGTTGATACAGATACGACAGTAACTATATGGTGACAGACTGTCGCAGACAGGAGGAGACCATGGATCATGGAATCGGGAAGTGCTCAGCGCTGGTACAAAGATGAGTGCAGGGAATACTCAGTCTGAGAATCATGGAATATTATATTATTTTGACGCAGAAGCTCCAAAAGTTTGATGGACGAGTTATGAGCTCCCCCGTGGCACCATAGTAAACGTGCGCGATGATAACCATTATTATAATTAGTACTCATATATGCATGAATATTAACCTTGACACTTTCTTCGAGGTGTACATGTGCAGCCATCCCCATAAACCTCGCGATCAACCGGTCCGAAAACTTCCGCAGAGAATCTCGAGATAAGCTTCTACCAGTTAGAAACTGGATAATTCGCAATCGCGATTTGGAGACAAGAAATATATATCACCACAAAATCACCTGTCCTTCACCGGTATACCAGTCGCCGGTCACCACCAGTTTCGCAAGTGAAACGGACAATCCACCCGCGTAGGAGATAACCGGTTTCATAGTCGAGCAATGCAAAGAAGTAGGGAAGCAAACGCCGATATGGAAAGAATGGACATCGATCTCCGATCAGAAAAAGGGTTGTTTAAGAAGAGACCTCTCCAGACCAAAGCGGAGAGCTTCACTGACTTCAGAGTCCAGACCAGCAAGAAGAAAACTGCAGGAAACAAGTAAAAATCTCTGGACTTGCTTGCCCTTGAATCTTGATGCACCGCAGCACCTGCCAATGACAATGGCCATCCCTACCGTCCGCATGAAAGTAGGACACAAATTAGCGGCAGGCCTGTCCACGGGAAATGTGTTTTTCAATAACGAATTAGTAGTATTATTATAGAAGCAATAAATATAACAGCGCAGTACAGCTTCCACTACAGCCCCAACATGTTCCGCAACAATCCATCATCATCCTCGGCGCAGGTTCTCTATCTCCTTTATTCTGCAGCGGACCTCTTCAAGGAGCTCATCGAAGCCTTCCTTCTCAACGATGTCTAAAGCAGCGCGGAGGACTAGCATCGAGTCTGGCTGCACATTTGAATTTATCTGAGAGAAAATACGTCAGAAAGGTCCGTCCCAAGACATACTGCGTCACTGACATCTATATAGACCACGTCCAACCTGTCAAGCTCTATATTGGGAAGCTTGAGATCGAGTAAGGAAGTAAATTGGACCCATCTCACCGTCCAAATAATCGGGTCGTGTCATGATCTGCTGACATCGCCACTGCAGACGTGTCAGAATCACATCAAGCATGGTTCTCAGAAAATATAATAAACAACGTACCGCTGGGATAACGGGGAGCTTCAACGGATCCCAACAGTCCCCCGCTTCCTTCTGCTTGGCTCTGTATAGCCGCACGAACTCGCGAAGCAACGTCCAGCAATGTACGCTCCATTTTTGCTACAGATACTGAGTTCAAAAATTCTGCAACCATCACGATCACCTAACACACCTGAATGACAACCTCTCCATCATTGTCGCAATCTGGTATCAGCCCTAGGCAGCTCTCGAGCCACGCTTTCTCCAAGCGCAGAAGATCCTTGGCAGCTTTCAGCATCTCTTCGGCCCTGGACACCTTGTTGAGGTAGGCTGTACGTCCTCCCACAAGGTGCACGACACTGTCTACATTTTCAGCGTCCGGCCGTCTGCACAATAGAGTGCGCTTTGCCATTGCCCAGTCCAGATCTTGGACAGAGCGCACCTAAGTATTCACAAAAGTGAGAATGAGTATATTACTACGCAGCCGCAGAACTCACTTCCATCAAAGTTGCTGATTTGCCTACAAAAGGTCAGTGATATGATTGCGAGTTATGTTACATGTGACTCACGCAACAACGTATACGGCCATACATCATCCCTAAAATGCTCATAAGATGCTGCTGCGCATAGTAAGGCAGTGCAGCTCACGTGGTGAATACAACAGTGACAATGCCTAGATAAAATTGAGACAGACTGCTGAGGTATATGACACGAGCACGCTACCTCTTATGGCCCAGCGTTCAGCGTACTGTTGAATCTGTAGAAGAACATTTTGGCCCTGTTCATTGTTATGGAAGTTCTGAATTTTGGTGATGACGAGAACGAGGGGACGGCGGCGCCCGCACCGCATAGCAACTTCATGTAGCTTATCTAGCGCTGGACTATCTTGTTAAATCCAAACTCAGCCGCATAGCTTTCTTTACCACGCACCACGTTCAATATCCATTGCGGGACCGCCTGCGAACCATAATTGCGTTAGTTATAACACTGAAAGCATCAATCGAACATTTCATACCGGATCGAGGGTCCGGTCTCTGGAACAGTCCCGCCTGCAGATCCTCGCTAAATTCATAGTTTAAAGCATTCCCTAGGCGCAAACGAAACACCTCAAGGTCGGGATGCGCCTCGAGAAATACCGACCCATTGTTGCGTGTGTTCAACATTGCGTCAAATACCATTCCAGACTTCCCCGCCCCCTGCATCGCAAATGGCACTATCAGACCATGCCAGCGCGCCAGGTATTCCACGCAAGTATCTGACCTTCGGTCCGACGAGAAGAAAGTACGAGCCTGCTGTCTCTCCCTTCACAATGGAATCGACAAAGTCTTGGCCGTGCCGCCGTGGATGTACTTCGGAGAGCTTTTTTGCCAAGGTTTGAAAGCCAGCGTGTTCCAGATCAGGTGTTAGAAGGCCAAACCGCGTTAGCTCCTGCGTGATTAATCGCACTACGGCTGTATCATCCCAAGTTTCGTCGAATGCTGCTTCAATCTTGTAAGGACGCCCCGTTAGATACGTCAGCCTGTGTAATCGATCATGTATCCTCACCTTTGAAAGGACGTTATATTTGTACCAGAACACATATAAATTCCCGCCAATAAAAACTAGAAAACGTCAATCGATCAGTGTAAGAATCGGATGAGAGTGCACTTACTGACGCCCAGCCCAATCAGGGTCTTCAGCGCAATGTCAACGACTAGCGAAGGGTCTACTTTGCTCCAAGTGTCACTTCTGCCTGGTGAGAGGAAAGAATTATTGTCTCCCTGTGGTGCATGCTGCGAGTGTGTAGAATGCAATCGGACAGCGGGCTTGCTCAGAGGAGTCTTGATGCGCCCAATATGTGATGGAGCAAGTCGTCGCGCAGAAATAATTGGGTATTGTCGCACACGGGCCAACAAACACAGCCGCTGCGTGATCACAGATCGCATAGCGAAGGAGGTATCAATCGAACTAAAAACCTTTCATCTGACGCCGATCCTGGCATCCTTATATTATCGGGCGCGATGCTGTAGACGCTGCGCAGTACAGCAGCTGCCCTGTTACTTTGACGCCGTACGGTATGCCTTCAATCGATTATGTTACATTCGCAGGCTGTAGCACGTGTTTACAGTCGAGCAAGGTTACCGCGGGCACTTCAAGGGCTCGGCGCCCGGTGGATTTTGAGCTGCGTCCCTGTGTGGTGAAGCATTCGGCATCGCCTTCGACGTAGTCACCTGTGTCCTCCTGTGTCGTTGTAACACTCGTGGAGTCGTGGCTATGTTCCGTAGCTATTTACATAAGGACAGTGTACCAGGTCCACATGAATAGAGAGTAACAACATCACCGATAAGTGCCTTTTGCTTGACCTTGAAGCGGTGATTACAGAGTCAGAGATTCCCATCGAAACACAAGAAAAGCGACGAACCATAGACATGAGTGAGATGGTGCCATTCACTTTTGAGCAGAACAACATCACTGCTAGTATATCAAAGGTTTATTAGCCACCCCACGCGAGCAACTTCCGTTCCACGTCGCAATGAACCTCTAAATGGAAGTTTGCGCTTAAGAGAGGGTTGTTTGAACAAACAACATGGCTAAGAAATCATCGGTAGGCCTATAGGGACCTGCATGACTGAGTGACTCGGATGCCTTCCGAAATCATGTGTGCGTGCGGCGTCATCTGGTAATAAATGCTGTAATGTGTTTTCGCAGTATCGCATGGGGGTGACACGAAGACTTACTTAAAGACCCGCTCCTTCGATCACCATGGTGGACTCTTGGGTACTACACACGTGTCATGCAGTCACCAGTGGGCGCGGCCAAGAGACGACATGGATAATATGAAGTCTTAACAACAAAACTGACCGCAAACAAAAAAGAGCCCCCATATCCGCGGTTAAATGACTCGAGTCTTGGGTCATGACTTGGTCATGACCGTAAATAACAGGATCCTCACAGATCCTCGTCTCATTCGTGAGGCAGTGGTTTGTTGGCACTGTTACGTGCCAGAATCTCAGAGTAGATCTATAATATTGATAGATCACCGGATCAGCAAACAGAAGCAAGCAGTCTCAGAGTCAAGAATGACCTCATGAGGATGGGATACGACTACTAACCTCACAAGTCTCCCGGACCTTGATAGACGGAAGACAATCGTTCCTTCTACTGGACCGCTCGTGGAGCCATCCTTCCACCCTTCATGAACTTCGGAGTCGATTGTATGCACAGCGCTCCGAGTCCGTCTAAATTCTCTGCGATGTCGAAGCACATACTAGATTCATGTCCGCGTCTGTCTGAACTTCCGAATGATTCAGTCAAAGGCACATGCTGCGGAATTCATGTCAGAGCGCTAACCTCTGCGGGGTTCTGAAAATGAAGCACATACTGATTATTACTGAATCCACTGATACTCAGTCGACGCCTGAGTGTCCACTGACTTGGCATGTACTCATCCAGTCCTCGTTTCTCGAAGCCAACAAGACAAAGGATGAAAGGTTACGGTAATAACTTGCCCTGCGGTCGCCTACGTAATATTGACAACGCTTTACCGCTCTGCGTCCGTCGTGACGGCTAAACGTCTTTTCACGGACAGTTTTGGTGCTTGTTCACCTAATTTACTTTACTTCTGAAAACGTTGCTTCCGCACCTCTGATCGGCCTCAGTACTTGTGCAGTGTGCACATTACTTGGCCATGAAACTGGGCCATAACTGGTCTCGCCAGCTTCCCTCCCGTCCCACATGTATGTATTTTGAGTAAGATTCACCGTGGATTCATTGATTTACTCCCTATCAGCCTTGACCACACTGAAATTGCAGAGATCAGCCCACCTTAACGTCAGGGCTTCACTGCCCCATATTCATCCGCAAGGCCATCATGCTTCCAATCGCTGAGTTCAGTGACTCTAGCGATAACATGCCGTCGACTCAAACCTTCTTACATTCCTCACTTCGGAGATAGGCTGGGTGAATGAATAATTTCATCACGACTTTTACGAGCGGTGCTTGTCTATAAGGCTGCTGCTCTGCCGTATGGAGGTGTATTTAAGACCTTATTTCACTCGCTTGCTCTTCATCCTCGGTATCAAAACTAGGATTCTCCCATCCTACCACCTTTGTATCCCAGGGACGCAACGCACCTATAGTGCCGGCCCACTATGTCTCGTGGTATGTCTTCCAGGGGAATAGATCTTGATCCTTCTGACTCGGATTCAATGCACTGGAATAGTTCATGCATCTCGTTCTTTCCACGATGCGGCCTCAAGTATTTCCGGTATACCTAACTCCTACCCTCGAGGTGAAGCGTATGGAGATTCGAGACGAAATCAGACTATCATTAGTCTCTTAAATGTCCTTAGCGAACTCACGAATGAGTCTTCTCTAGACAATGGTCAGTTACCTCCGCTGACCATCATACACTGCTAATTATACACTTTTTAGATGCCAACTTTCCTCCCGCCTTCGAAGATGACGATCGTGAGTATTGGTCAGTGCAGCACGCGATGTTGGCCTCATATGCCTGTTCAGCGACAATAGATGAGAAGCTGCAAATAGCAGGATCGGAATCATTCAACAAGTTTGAGAGGTGAGTGCGCCTTCGTACTTTCGTCATTTTGTACTGAGCGATCTTTTACAGGCGAATAGATAATCTTGACAAAGAGGTGGGAATAAAAATAGGTGCACTTTTATACTTTGGCGCTTATCTTCCATGTAGCTGCGCAACTTTGCCAATGCTGCTCGCCAGCTTGGCAGTTCCGTTGGAATCTTATCCTCTGGGTTTGGACTACGCGACCGCCTCGCGAAGCTGCTGTTTCTATTTCGCGAGAACGCAGCTACTTTGTTTCCTCGGAAGATTTCGCGTCAACCTCGAGAAGAGCCGATTGTTCATGAGTGGACAGAGCGGCGGCGCACAGATAATCAACCTTTGTCCAAGGCCCACACCGATCCTGAAAGTTTTCCCGATCAATTTGCTGGCTTCGCAGAAGACGTCGTAACGTTCCTGAACTGCCTGAACGAGTTCCCTGAGTTCACAGACGAGGCCGTCAATACGTCAATGCGTTCTTTTGAATGTGATCTGAAGGTAAACTTTTTGTCGAACGCACCGTCGATCCCTCTGTTCACCGTGTTGTCTAGTATTGGGCTTCATGTCTTCAGGAGTACAAAGGTAGCGCGCCTCTGATTGATCTACATTCAAGAATCGTGCAGACTAGTTTTCAGGTCAATTTCGCTATCCAGCAGTGCAGCGCTATATCCATGATTTAACATCGGAGATTGGGGAGCACATTGACAACATCACAGTCAATCTGTCCATGTTTATTGAAATCGGTATACAGTCAGTCTCTCCTTGGCAAATTCATATTTACCTTCTCTTCCAGGTGTTCCAACGATTCGATTCGCCCAGCACCATGCAGCATCAAACTTGTTGAACCTGTCGACAGTCGCAACGTTCTTTTCGGTTGTGACGGCGACGACCTTACAGTTCTCATACCGGTTGACGGACGGCGTGCTGGAGACTTCTGTCAATGCGTTCTGGTTCTCTTCATTGGTTTTCAGCATAGCAGCCGCAGTGAACAGTCTCCTGGGTCTTACCTGGAAGCAAGCAATGTAGTAAGTCTACTCCGCGTGCCGCTTGTATTCGGGTCAAATAACAGTCTTCAGTCGCTCTCCAGGGCATAGGGTACCTTGGTGGGTATTGATATGGATTAAACGATCGCCTTTAGTGTTTCTCGTGATGTCTGTGGCATGCTTTTCCGCGGGCTTGATGCTGTTCACATATGCCACAGATCAGGTATGGGTCTTATTCCAGTGCAGAAAGAATTTCCAAGACATAACATCTGCACTCAGGGATTTGTCACGTCCACGATCACCACTGTTTTCACGGCAAGTCTACGGATAGTTCCAGCCGCTATTGAAATGTATGCTTACCCAAATCACAGACAGGCACCTCCTTCGGCCTGGCTGTTGTCTCAGCTTGGTTCGTCTCGGAGCGTTGGATATTTGTTCACTACCATGGTCAGATCTGGCTGGATGATGCAATCGCTGAAGCAATACAGCGCATACTTTGCCTTGGGCTATTCGTGACAATGCGTAGCATCATTCCCCCGTGCATCGAGGTCATCAGTAGCCTGTTAAGACGAATCTCTTTCAAGCTCACCGACGTGATTACCCGGATCGGACGTAGGGACCATACTCTTCCCACTATGCAGGAGGGCCCGCCGAGGGACGATCTTTCTCACCGCCGCGACATCTCTACGTCGGTGTCCTCGGCTTTCACCGAGAATCCTACTTCAATGGAAGGGCTCACTAGTGAGGAAACCAAGTCGTCTCGCCCGACCATCGCCCGTCAGCGCTTCAAAGGAGCTGTACGTTCTGTCATCGTAATGCAACAACAGCAAGCGGGGCGGCCCCCGATGCCGCAACGACTTCCATCCTTCGACTGCTGGAACTCTACTATTGGGATATCTCCCACTCGGCCCTCGTCCGTGGATTTGGACGCTATGCGAGGACCGCGAGCCACTTTAAGCCCGAAGCTGAAAACCCTAGAACCTGTACAGGACCTCTCCGTACACACCGCCCTTGTCCGGCATTTACAATTCTCCCCGAGCGGCAAATATCTTGCTACGTCAAGGTGCGTTGTGGCAGGTTCATCGGAGCTTCTTGTGCTGAGGTGAAGTATCAAGTTGGGATCGATCTTCCGTCATCTTTCGTGTGGAGGTAAGCACATTAAGTGCCGCGTTTCCATCTCGTTGTTAACACTACCCCTGCTTAGGATGCTTTTGCAATCCATGCCATTCTTGTACACGTGCGAGGCTTCATCGGTCAGGTTGCATGGTATGTGAGACAACGGATGTTCTTCTGTTTCTAAACATCAAACGTGATCGGACAGGTCCGATTCTGGTAACATTCTCTTGACGAGATTACCCCGCGGAATCAAGGTTTGGACGGAGGATGGAATCTGCAAGAGAACAATCGAACGCCCGCACTCTGTGTCGTCCGTCGTATGGCTGCCTGCGAACGAGAGTGATTCGTTTCATCCTTCCTGTCTGATTGCACGTTGCTGATGCTTTCTTCCGATAGCACAATTCTTTTCAGTCGAAGGTAGCAGAGTTCTCAAACTGGTTAGTGCGACTATTGCCATTTGTACATCCTGGTCACTCATGAACTCCGCCATCAGGACATTAAAGGAAGGGTGATTAGACATGTTGTGCTAAGGGAATATCGACTAAACATCTTGCAAGGTTCTGGATTCTTACCACTTTGGCCACATCCAGCTGCACAATGTGGCTGTGACTCCAGATGGTCAACGGTTGCTGGGTGTTGGTCCACTCCTTGCGGCACCTAACGGGATGCATCCAAGCCGCACTACTAGGGTTGAGAAGTGCATAGTAGGTAGGTGGTATGCGTATCCGCGGTGGTGCGTTTGACTCAACTTACTGCAGTTTTCAACATGGAGACCGGAACATTTGAAAAGTAAGTATGTTTCTTCATTGTCTTCAACCTTCTCACCGATGGAGTCCAAAAGCCAAACACCCGTCTTCAACGACGTGCGTGATATAACGGTGTCCAAAAGGGGTGGCAATGTGTTGATTTCATTCGAGTACAAGGTATATGGACAACCAAATGCGTCGTATTCTTCTCTTCACGCCGTTTCATGTTTGCAGACACCTCCGCAGCTATGGAAGATGGAGTTAGTACGGGATACTAAAGACCGCGAAAACCCCTATGCACAAATCGCTAGGCTTATTCTCCGTCACACGTATCAGCCCACAGCTCATGTGGATTTTGTGGGACCGAGTTACTTCGGCGGTGTGGATGATCAGCTAGTGTTATGTGCGGGCAAAGGTACGTTTCTGGCGAGATCCTGTCTAAACGCTCAGATCTTAATCCTGTCTCAGCGGGCGATATCCATATCTGGGAACGCGATACTGCAATTTTGCTCCACTACATCCGACCTCAGATGTTCGGCGGGGACTTGACATGTGTCGCATGGAATCATTCAACTGACGACCCCTTCATGTTAGCGACGGGCAGCCATGATGGTACAGTGCACATATGGAGGACGCCGATATGGGACGGCTCATCTGATGGTGGTTCGTATCTCGAGCAAGCTGCGGGTATGACAGTTGCGGATCAGTCACCCGTCCTTGGTCCCCCGCCTGCGCCTGGAGCCAGTCGAGGGCCCCGAGAAACAGCGTCGACCATACGTACAAAATTCTCCTGTTAGCGTTCTGTGTAAACAAAATACGTGCTGTGGACATGAGGTATCTGTGGTTTTCTTGAAGCTTTACATTAGGACTTTGTTACAAAATATTTCCTAGCAATGAACAGGTTTTGTTGACCATGTAATGAGTTTGACCTACTTGTAGTATTGATCTTTACCCAGCGACTTGACCGGGTAACTTTTTGATTGACAACAAAGAACCAGGGTGACCCTACGTTGTATTCACTCGACTGATAGACGAACAATCTGGCGAGAGTCGTCCGTGATGATGCGTTCAAGTCATGATTGCATGGTAGCATGACAGTAGTATACGATGCATAGTGAAAATCTCATATGAGTAGCAACACGAACACAATTCCATTAGATGGTAGTCTCGTAAGGAACGGGCGTCATCGTTTGCGGCGTGTTTTGGGCGACCGAGACGGTGTGTGCCTCCCGAGGGAGAACGTGGACACGCTTCAGCGAGATACGCTCTGAAAGGCAGGTTATAAGATGCGCCAAAACCGGGAAGTCACGCCTACTCACCGCCCTTCTCTTTTGCAGCGACATGTGCATCATGGTTGCGCTTCACCCTGTCCAAGAACTCCTGCCGGCATTTCGAGTGCCTCACGTGCTCGACACGGAGGTTCACCCGCTTCTCGATGTAGCGGTTGCCGACGACCTTGTAGACAATGACACCGACAGCGTGGGGGGTGACGTTGTAGACGATTCCAGTCCGTCTAGAAGATGTTTAGATGATCAATGACAGATGAAACTTGAAATAAACGCACCCGTGGTAGTATTTGTGAGGCATACCCTTTTGTTGGGCGGCGTTTGCCTTGATATCGACGATGTCACCGATGCGGTAGTTAATGAGGTACGTCGACAATTTAACGGGGCCATGGTCTGCACGCAATGTCAGTCTTCGAGTGTTTCCACAACTTGATGAAATAACCGACCCTTGAAGCCCCGCTTGAACATGTGGCGCGTACGCGCACGGTAACCGAATGAGTGAGGCATCTTGAGGGCTTGAGTAGAACGTCAGCAGCGGGCTTGGATGAAATTTGGGAGACGTACAATGTCGTCGGCGGCGGTGTCGATATTGAGTATGTGAAGGCTTGTTGCACCGGAAATCTCCGGGTGGCTTGCGTGGTACTTTACAGTTGTGGCACAGGCGAGGCTTACATCCCGATTAGGCCACCAACATTTGGTGTACACCGTCAAGGCCATCCCTCAAGAAAAATGCCCAGGTATGAATGTCGTTGGACGTGATGGATAGACTGTTGAGCAGCTTTTTAGGGCCCCGCGGAATCACAGCAAGACGTGAGCGTCTCATTCTTCAAGATCCACTTGAGTGGAAGGCTTTCAGCTTGCTGATTTATGGCCTTGTTCGTATCGCATTAATCCTACAGATACAAAGTCCCTCGTCGCCCGTTCGGTTCAGCTCGTCTCGATGCTGAGTTGAAGGTATGATCGACCCGGAATCATAGATACAAAATCTCACGTTTTGTATCATACTATCTACAGCTTGCTGGCGAGTACGGTCTACGAAACAAGCGTGAGATCTGGCGTATCGGTCTCATCCTTTCCAAAATCCGTCGTGCAGCCCGTGAGCTGCTCAAACTTGATGACAAAGATCCCAAGCGTCTCTTCGAGGGTAACGCTCTCATTCGTCGGCTCGTTCGGATTGGTGTGTTGGACGAGACCCGCATGCGTCTGGATTACGTGTTGGCATTGAAGGTGGAGGACTTCTTGGAACGTCGTCTCCAAACGCAGGTCTTCAAGACCAACCTTGCAAAGAGCATTCACCACGCCCGTGTTTTGATCAGACAACGTCACATCCGGTATGTGCTTATGTGTATGGTATTTTCTATCGCCATGGTTCTGAACATCATTTCTTAGCGTCGGCAAGCAAATTGTCAACATCCCATCGTTCGTAGTCCGTCTTGACTCCCAGAAGCACATCGACTTCGCTCTCACATCGCCATACGGAGGTGGACGCCCTGGCCGTGTCAAGCGCAAGCGCGCTGCAGCTGCTGCCAAGCGGGAAGAGGGTGGCGAGGAAGAGGAGGAAGAGTAAATTTTCTGCGCGTTTATTCTGGTCTCTATGTCATTTTCACATTTATGTCGTCCCCATGCTATGGACACATGCAAAAACAACCTTTTGACGCGCTCGATGTGACGTCGCGCAATTGCAAATCGGCGCTGTGGGCCGTAGCATACGGACTCGACTTGTACGAGTATCTTGACTCAACGAAAGCTTATCGTTGAACAAGAGCTTCAATTTTGCCCTATATATTCAGTGATCGAGTTATATTGCGCAGTGTCTACAAGCGGTTCGTTGTTGAGGTCACCGGATCTTTGCCAAGTCAGGTGACTGTTTGCACCACAGTGAACTCGCAGTCCCCACACATTGACCATCACCATCCCTCAAAATATTTCATCATGTCCGACCCAGCAGTCACTCAACATCCCCCTGCAAGTATGTTTAAGAGTGACAACATTCACGCGGCCCAGTTCTTACTCTTGGTTCCCTTGTAGTCAGAGTGGGAGGTCGTCGGCTCTCAGTGACCTCGCGCCCGAGGCCTCGTGCCAATTCGTGAGTGCTAGTCGACCAACGTTAAACCACCAATGACCAACCCTTGAAACCGATTCAATATACAGGGAAGCTACTCCAAACCTTGGCACAAATCAAACCCAGAACACTGATTATCCGCGCCCGGCAGGCCATGGCGATGAGGAACCACACGTCCCTCCACACAACGAAGAAGATATTCCAAAGAAGAGGAAACATCACGGGCAGGGGAACCACGACGACAACAGGCTTCAAGAGAGCGCTTATCGCAAGGCAGAGGCTAGTAGGCCCACCAAAGACAATGTCGGCGGTAAGAGTGGCTATGGAGGTGGAGGCAGGATTGCTCAACCTGCGGGCAAGAGCTTCGGAGTCTAAGAAAAAGCCTTGTGTAGTTCGAGAATGCTGGATTCATTGAAGGGAGAAAGATCATGTGTACCACGATAGCGCGTCGCTGTACCACCAGTGTATTTGTATAGGTGTCAATCTCGTTGAAATGTACCATCATTTTTGCAGCCAACGAGAAATGTGAGGCATGGGTGCTTATTTCGACATGGACGAACATAGCAATGGAGGCACTAGAGATACAAAGAAATCAATCATGCAATGGATGCTGCTGCCTTCTTCCCTCGGACTTTCTTCGGTGGCGAAGCTTTCTTCTCTTTTTGTGCAGCAAGCAGTGCGGAGGAACGGCCAAGAGCAGCCTAGAAAGCGAAGAAACAGGTGTCAGCACAAGTTCTTCGACGAATCGTACAATAAAGATGTTGTAACGGATGTAGTCGTCCGTATCAGCCCACTGCGGCGGAAGATACGCAGTGGTAATTATGAGTTATGACGAATAGCCCAAACAGGGCCGGATTGATATTGCAAACATGTCCACGCCCAACTTTCATACACCTTACGGTGGTTTCCAGCGGGTTCTAACGAGAGTGCTTTTGGTGTTGTCGAGAAATCTGATTCCATGAAATCCGGAAGCAAACTATCAAGACTCACAGCTCTCAGGTCGGGACGGTATCCCTTCTTCGCGACGGAAGCAACGACTCCCAATGAGCGACGGCCTCCTGACCGGTTGCGGATGTTTGCGGTTGTCCGTGCAGGACGAACGGCGCGTGGCGATGCCTTCGATTTCTTGGTGGTGATCTGTAGTCCAGACTCAGAGCTCTGGATGTCGATGGTCTATTGATATCACGTTTAATGGAGGTCGTTTTATCACAGTAGGGCTACGCACCTTGGAGTTAGCAAGACCTGAGTATTTGTGCGAGTGGAGGTTCAGGAGGTTACCCTGATACAAGGTAAGCTTAGCACTCGCGTGCAAGTTCGAACACACGACATACGGGCTCCTTGGAGAAGATCGGACCTTCAGGGACCTTCTTCACAAGGAAGGAGTTGTATTTCTGCAGTTTCAATTTTTTTTAGTATTCACATTATGGAGCACTATTGTGATGCAACTAACGCGGATAAGGAGCCACTGGAGGTCGGTCGACATTTTGAGGATTGCTGCTGAGCCTTACAGGTTGTTCTGAACAGCGACCGAGTGTGGCTGAGGTAACTGTACAGTTGAACCAAACAAAAGCAAATATTGTGCCGGGGGTTGCCGAAACACTTGGTCCCGTTTCTTGAGACTTGCAACGGTCCCGGTCATAGTCCGAACAATCTAGTCCTCGAATTGACTCAACGTTAGCCAAGGACCAGCTGATGACATGCTTGACGAGTGCGGAAAGGTGGACCTGGTGCAAAGGTACTATGGAAAGGGTCGGTATTGCAAGCCAGTTTGGGGCTAGGATTTCTGCGATATAGTCACTTGGTGTGGAGGAGATCTCAGCGCTTGACCTCCCCACCAAGTGAATATAGTTGTACACGCATGTAATATGTAGTTTAGATTGGTTGCAATATTTATCGTTTGCGTACTCGAGACTCGAGTGCTCTACATTTCACTTCGGAGCTTTCCGGATCATTGAGACAACGTTCAAACCGATTTACGTTTATCTCCGCGCGTAAGACTTTTTCTCAACTGCAGCTGTCCCTCGTTTGTCGTGCTCCTTCTTCATCGTCATCATGAGCCAGCGCATGCTTTCCTCCGTCATCCGCGCACGGCCTAATGTCGTCCTTCGTCGCGCTGCGACCTCCGCCCTCACCACACCACACCGCTTTTCATCATCGGACTCGCACAGTCAAGAAACGTTTGAGCAGTTCTCTGAGCGCTACGTCGCTTTCTTCCAAGGCGCACAGGACCTCTTTGAGGTACAACGTGGCCTCAACAACTGCTTCGCACACGACCTCGTTCCTTCACCTGGTGTTGTTGAAGCTGCCCTCCGTGCATCACGCCGGGTAAACGACTACGCAACTGCTGTCCGTGTCTTCGAGGGCATCAGGGAAAAGGTGGAGAACAAGCAGCAGTACCAAGCTTACTTGGACGAATTGAAGCCGGTCAGAGAGGAACTTGGTGGGTGTTCGCGTTATTCGGATACATGTCGCTTGTCTACTGACCATCGATTTTTCTGTCGGCTTTTAGGAATAAACACACAAGAGGAACTTTATATTTCATAAAATCTGCCTGAGTAGCGGGTTCCATGTGAGCCAACTTTGCTCGTGTATTTCTACTAGTGCTAAGAGACAATGCGCACATAGTAGATGCAGTGCCTCACATATTATCGTCACTTATTGTTTTCTTTAATCCACAGCGCGCGGATTTACACCCTGTTGTGGCACATATTGAGCACTGTTCTACTCATTGGTGTATTGACCTTTTGAGGCCAATAAACTGTCTTCTGAACAAGGTCATCTCGTCTGAAAGAATTGTTTGCTTGGGGTTAATTTTCGTCACTGCGCACACGAACTGGGAGACCAATTCACGCGCGAAAGCGTGCAGTCGTACGTATTCGCTGAAGCTGTTAAATGTGGGGGGCCCAGGTCCTCAGGATCCCGCGGACATGTTGCTGGTTGTAGCCCTGGGTATGGGTGTATGCACATTAACTTCCCCTTGAACCCTTACGTTAAACCAGTCCAGCTGGAAGGGGCATGCTTGTAATTTGATGAGCGAGGTGTTCCCTGATTCCCTGAATCCCCTGACACGGATTGTATTGTGTATCATTGCGGAGCGTTTTGATGTCAGAGACGAAACACAGTTGTTAGTGAGTAAAAGCTGCAACCCTGAAGCAACATATTAATTATCATCGTCTTCTTCAGGTTGAATGTCTGCTGTGCTGCCTGGCAGTCGTCGGGCACTATTCTGCGTATTACCGATATCAATCGTGCCCATCTGACTTAGCTTGCATGTCAATAGTGGACGGCGTATGCCGTTCCAGTATCACATGCGCCTGAGGAGGCTCGTAACCAGCCTGACGTATACTACTACGGACAAGCCAAGCGGCGCAGCCATGACTTCCCCATCTGCAACAGCTGTCCCGGTAGCACCTGATTTATCGCATTACTCCAGTGAGACGGTCAACGATCATTACTCTCTGCAGAAATGTCAATTCTTTTTTTTTTAAAAAAAAAAAACGCCAATTCATCATCTTTTGGAGTTATAGACTCTATCTGGACTACGATGCGAGGACGCGCCCTCGATATCTATCATATACGTTGGAGCGGTGTATCCGCAACTATGTGCCTGCATATCGCGAGCAAGGCAAGAAGTGATGAAGAGCACTACGCTACGACAAAGCCCGAAGGACACCCCAAGGGTGATTAAGCTACGGTGCTACGCGATTGCTACTCCGCCCCTCGCCTAGGGGTCCCCCACTCCAACGTCTATGCGCTCCACGGTGGTTATGCTACGCGGCTCCGCCGATGCCGAGTCGACTCATTTCGATATCAGTGCGCTGGGGTTATGCTACGCGACTCCGCCGCCGCCAGGTCGGTTCATTTCGATATCAGCGTGCTCTTTACTGGTCTTTACAACCGAAGCCCAACCTCGCACATATGCATTCCTGAAGGCGGCCATTACCATTACAAGCCCTGCTAGTCGCGGATCCGTGCTGGTCTTGCTTATCGGTTGGTTATCGAACCCTGGCGGAGATTAGTGGAGAAGCGAAATGTCACGATTTGACCGATGAGATCGATGAGGGCTTGGCTCACCTCACACTCACCCCTTGGATAAACTGTGTTCCATTGGTAATCGCACGAAGCTCCTACATTTCAACATGAAGAAAAACTGCAAAAACTGCGCCGCCGTTATTGCAATGCGTCACTCCACAATGGCATGGTTTCCATTTTGCTACAAGTCGTACGCCTGACGCACGACTATGGCAATGGATGGCTGCTGGCAACCAATACCAATACCAATGTCAACCAACTCGAGACAACAGCAGACGGAGCACCGCGGTGAATCCCGACGATGAGGCACAGCCAGCACTAGTACTACCCACGCACTAATACTGTCGAGGGATACTATTTGCCATAGTTGTCTTCGAAGAAGCAAACGCCAATCGAATTCTAAAAATGCCCAGCCCAGCCCTCAAGCTATACATATATATCCTATCCTATCCCATCTCTACCGACGCCGTCTCGCGCAACTCCGGGCAGGCTTCTCGCGTCTGATCATTTGTGGCCCCCTGAGCTGGTGGCATGCGCAAAATAGGTACCTTCGCGATCAGACCATCTGAGCGCGCGCGACCGAAGCCCGAAGCCTATCAGTTCCCTTCGGGGACTGTCATGGATCATGATCCTGTCGATCCAAATTATCATGATTGTCGATCAGAAAAGGGGGAAGCATGTATATATTTAGATGTCGTATGCATATGTAGTGTGAGTCTCCCGTTAAGGCGACGTTGTGGGACGAAGTTGACCCCAGACTTTGTCCCCGTGAACGTCAATTCAAATGATTGCCGAGAACTATGATTATGTTCCGTTGATCGTATCGTGTTCTCCAGAACACACCTGATGCGTATGTGCGGGTGCGGGCGGGGATTGGGCTGGGATACCCCATAATCACAGTAGAAAGTACGAACAGCATGATGAGCATGATGTTGGCTTCTCTCGTTGATCATTGAATGTCAGTTGTTGCGAATGCACGCACATGCGCGCAGCTAGCTATAGGAGCTATTGGGTTAAAATTAAGAGCTGCTAGTGCGAGAAGTTAGAAAACGGACCGAGAAGACGGGTTATTAAGAGAGGAGTTGAGGGACATGATTGAGAACGACGGCATGGTAGGGCATGCCAGCGAGGTTAAGATAAGCCTGAACCAAGAATTTGGGTCGGAACACAAACGCACTGGAAGGTTGAAGACGAATTGAATACATACGTTGTCAGGTATCCTCCGACATGTGCGCATATGACGGCGTTGGGCTAGTACAAAAGCAAATAGGCCGTCTCGGGGACAACCCCTTTTTGAAGTCGTTTGCAAAATCGCGTCGTGAAAGAAGTCACATGAGCTTGGCAAGTCGCCATGTCCGAACCTTCGTGTGATACCTATCGATCATCGAGACGGGGTGCATCATTGAATTTGTAGCACTGTTTATCCCCATGCCGATTATTACACGCTTCAGGGGGATAGTCAATTCCACACACACACTGTTGTTGTTGTTCTCGAGCGCGACGCACTTGGGTATAGTCATGAATCATGATCCCTATAATATCATGATGTGCAGGACGGACTCAGATATACTTAAAGGAGGTTCTGGGACGAAGTTGCGGGATAAACGGATGGGCCATTCACATGGGCCCAGTCTTGAAAAAACCCCATATGAAGTGTTGCCGCGAAGATAAAGATAAAGATGCACATGAAGATGTTACTGATTCCTGGGTGCAAAAGCCCACAAAGCATTGATGAACCAAACACTTGGAAAATGAAAATCATAATAATGAAAAACACCGCTTGAGCGCCAAGGAAAATTTGCTGAGTGAGCCAAGGGCGATCGCCACGACTAGAACAATTGCGTCATTGCCGTTGCGTGGATGACTGGTGGTGGTGGTGGTGGTGGTGGTGAGCCTACGGGAGGGTGTATTATACCTGTATCTGAGTGTGATGAATATCAAGACTCATCGATCGACGTCCTGATCAACTGTCAACTGTCCTGGCCCGGGACTGCTTGAATGAGAGAAGATCATGAGCAGACACTGACCGGCAGTATGCACAGCTCATATGATCACTTGCGCATGTGCATGGGCATGTGGGGAAAAGACTGATTAAAGTTGGGGATTACCCCGCAATGCCATGCGCACGTTCTCCAAGTCTATCAGAACCAACAACCACGTTCTGTTCTGTACATGTATTCCTTCCTCTTACGATCTGTCGCAGGAAACTCATTAATAATCCCTGCGCATGCTTTACGGGTAAAAGTAATACTATTAATATTAATGAGGCCTGTCTGACCGTTCGAAAATGAAAGGAATTATTCATGCTCACAAGTTAATGCCACGACCAAGCAAGTCTCGAGTGAGCCTAGGCGATGGTCACGAGTGATGCCATTGATGTGATGGCGTCATTGTGTGGACCTGGTCAGGAACGTTGACGATGAAAATGTCGGTGGCGGAGGCGCAGGCAGAGCTATGATGCATGATGTCTAGGCGCCCATTCAATGGGCTAGTCTACTCCCAGCAGATCATGTGATGGCGATATCACGACATTGACATCGAGATTCGACAATCACATCGCAAACTTGAAGTTCAACGCACGAGGACTCTGGTCAATCCATGACCCACGCGAGTCGCGACGACGAATCTACGAGTATTCTGGAAATTCCTCTGAGAAGATTCTCAGAGGAACATCCAAAGTCCGAAAGACTCGACAACAGTCCAGACGATGACAGTACATACTAGTCCGAGCGGAGCTCAAAAGACAATGAAAAAAAGTGCCAAGAACGCCCCAATCAAAGTACTGCGCAGTGCGGAAACGCCATCGCACCAATGATCAATGATCAGTTAACAAACAAAGACATCGGATCCGATCGAAAGTTCCCAAAAAAATCCCTATATATGATAACTAAGCATAATGCATATGTATTATACAACAGATACACGAGTCATAGGCATACACTGTGAGTGCGATTTGACAATGCGATGCGCCGAGTAGTATGTGAGCGCTTTTGATGGAGGTATATGAAAAAGCAAGCCAACAAAAAAAGAAAGAAAATCCGCTACTACTAAGCAAGAGGAAATAGAAATATCATGATTATCCAGGAAGCCGTGTGCAGTAAGGGCAAAAGGAAAAAAAAAAAAGAGGAAGAGATAATGTCAATAGCATGAGCGATGGTGTGGTGTTAGTACAGATCGTGGAGAGATCAGGAATAAATAAATACAACGGGCAGGGACAGAAACAGAAACATACATTTCGAAAAAATCGAAGCACGAAATGGGGTGCAGCAGCGTGTCTGTGCTTATGTACTGTGAATGCATGAGATGAGTGCGTCATCACAGGCGGACGGCATGATAAAGCCGAAGTCGTCAAAATCGTACAAGGCGGGTTGGGTGCTCCTCTTTTCTTCAAAAACGCACCCTCACGCTAAAATTCCCTCGTCGCCACCAGACGGAGACCCATGATACGGACTCGCGCCCGCAGTAGGCGTCCCCTGCGCAAAGCACCAACGCGTCACAAATGCATTATACAGCGAATCTCCAGATAGCCCATCACTCCCGGGTGGTCCCGAAGACGATTTGGCTCTTGCAGGCAATCCAGGCACGCCAGATCCGCTAAGACCAGCTGGCCCATCCGTCACACTCCTTTGCACGCTCGGCCGCTTCGACATCACAGCGCGTGTTGGCGGCGCCATCCACTCCCAGTCATCAATGTGCGACTGCTCAGGACGTGCGTAATTCGCAGGGTGCCCACCGATCATAACGCGCGGGACGATATTGGGTGATGCAGAGGGCGTCGAGAGCGTTGAAGATGCAGGTGAAGGGGAGTCGTAATCGTGTGATTGTGAGACAGGCACTTGGAGTGCTGGGCGTTGGGTCGACGAGGAGAGTGAGGGTGGAGAATTAGAGCGCTGCGCAGGTACTGAAGTTGCAGAGGAAGTTGGGGAGACTGGGGAGACTACCGGAGGTGCAGCATAGTTAGGGAGACGGAGCTTCCCTGACCGCGATGGTAGTAAAACTTTCTCCTTTCCATCTCTTGTGGGCGAGGACAAGAATGTCATATCGTGTCCAAATGCCAAGGTTGGACTTGAACTGAACTGCGGAACAAACGAGCCGGGAGCATGTTGGTCGCGGGACGTGGGTATTGTCGCCATAGAAGGTACGGTGGATTCTGCAATTTTCAGCCATTAACTGACCGTTGTAAGAAATGTGAAAAATGAAATGCTCACCAGGCGCTGTGTCTCTCCGGACTCTGTTAGGCGTTGGTCGCGCTGTGCGGAAAGCAACACGGTAGTTTCCGCCATTGTTATTATCCCACCATTCACCACCAGGGCCTGAAACTTCCGTCGATGAAACAACATGCGTCGAGTGCAACCTATAACGCGCAGCGAGCCACAACACTCGCGACCCCAAGCTGTGTGCATAGTCTTCCAAACGAATCATAAACGAAAAGCGATCCCACCCGGTGTTGTTTGCATCCAGAGCGACGAGGTCGCCAACAGTTGTTTTCGACGAGGCAGACAATGAAAATGCGGATGGAAGGGATGGAACAGAAGCAACAAATTGCGCTCTCACTTCGCTGACAGTCTGCCATTCATCAAGGGTAAACCGCACAGCGACATGTTTCTCGTATGCCAGATTGCGCACGAGAAGAGTACCGCTTAAATGTGGGTTGACGCCATTTGACGAAGCATGCGAGAAATGGAGAGACTCGATTAGGACGTTTGCATGAGAGGGGTGATTAGTAACGGGCACTACTGATGAATTAGCGGTGTCCATCTCGAAATTCGGGTTCTGAGAAGGGAATTTTGGGAAGGGGAATCCGTTTGATGGTTGGTCCTCGCCTTCGGTCTCTGTTTCATCACCGTTGGGATTTTCAGGGGTGCTGACTGCCGTTGGACGGGCAGAGCGGCTGAAAATGCGGATAGAAGCCAGGCCGACATCAGTGTCTGGGAAGTGGACATTTTTTGGTGCATGAGAAGTAGGGGTGGATGGTTCAGATTTGGAACGCAAGTGGAGATGATTACTATTGCGCTGGAGTTCAAGTGGAGGAGAAGGGATGGAGAGCGTGGAGAGCGTGGAAGATGAGGATTTGAGTGATGATTTGAGTGGTTTTCCGTTGGGAAGAATTCGAGCTGTAGATGATGCACGAGACTGTGTTCGAGGAGAGGTAATTGAGGGTGAAGAAAGAGGTGTTAGGGAAGGGGGAGAGGGAGAGCGGCGGGGAAAGGGAACAGACGGATGCAATTGTAAAGCTCCTTGTGAAAATTTTTGTGGGGGGTCAGTCAGGGTGGTCTGCTCGTCGGGGGAGTCTGATGAGGACAAGTAGCGGTCATCAGGGTCATCAGTACCGTGGATATGAAATGCGGGTGACTTGCGACCGTGGGGGAAGGAGGGAGAATGAGATTTGCGTCTGGGCAGAGAGCCCAAAGATGCAAATGCTCCTGGGCCGCGTTCGTTTGAGAAGGTCGGCGCTGCTGAGCGGAGGCGGTAGACATCAGGTGCTGCTGCACAAGTCATCTAAAGTGACGTCAGTAGGAAGAAAAAATGAGAGAGGTGAGTTAAATACCTGGATGGATGTGATATGTAGTGTACAAGCCCTCGAAGGGGGGTAGAGGGAGATGGGTGCTCGAATGAGACCAGTTGAAACCAGAGAAACTGTTTATTTTCACTACGATGGAGTGATCTCCTCCGAGATCTGAATCGGGTTCGCCATTCCGGAATTAGTAATAAAGTTACTCCAGCATCGGGATCTCACGTTCCTTATCATGAACCGTCTAGTTCCTACTAGTATCCTCTAGATTCTTGTTCCAGCCATATTCACTCCACTCGAAAATGCGCATAAAATGCGAACTCACCAAGCTTATCGAAATACGGACACTGGTCGGCGCTATTCCCATTGCAAGTAATCTTCTTGCGCCCTCCCAAACTGGTGTGTCTCACGGACACGCCATCCTGTTCAACATGTTCCAGTAACAAATCCGGTTTCACTAAGGGTCATCTGATAGGCCATGCTCGCTATAGTCTACCGACCCCCTCAGTCGACTGTAGCATCATCTTCTATCTGCTATCGATAACGTCTTTGCACCTACGAGCGTGTCGGCGAGCGTCACAAATAACGTCATTGTGGTTCATGGGGTCGTCTTACGATTTCATCATCCTCCCTACAGAATGTCAAACGTGGCCCCACAATCCGCCTATTTTTTTCTTCTTGTACGTCTCTGTCGATCCTTTATCACTGCATGTATCAATTATGCCATTTCTGCGCTATCCGAGAATCTATCATTGGCAAGTTCTCCAAGGATCAACTTCTGATGTTCGAAATCTATTGACTCCCTCGGTTTTCTCATCTCCTTTTTGCCCCTTCGTCCGATTTCTCCCGTAGCCGTTTCAACTGCACCCACTCATGTCAATCCTCAAGGAAGTCAAGTCTCACGCCACCCACTCGGCTGCCCTCTTTCCTAGATGTCCACCTCATCCCGTGAATCTAGGGAACTCTATTGGCGATAAGCAACGGAACACAGGGCTGTGAGGCGAGGAACCGCGCTATGTGAAAGCTATATGCATATCGACGTGGGAACAGTCTTTGTGTCGCTCGTCGCATCTCTCTTTAAACCCGATCATCACATCCATCGAACACTGGCCTTTATACTTATCTTTCGACTATGTTTATCCTGGCGAAGACGATATCAATGGCTATTGATTAAACAGTCAACTTATCCACCCTTCTACCGTTGATTGGCTACAACTCACGACGGATTGTCCACATCAAGCCTACTACCAACTCGTCTTCAATCATAGTACTCTGATCAGCTTCCATGCAACATTTGTCAATGAGATCTCATTAAACATCTTTGTATGACAGTAGGCACGTTGCTGACGCTCGTTCCTAGGTGCTGGTGCACGTTGGCAATCTCACTCCTTTTTAGTCCTTCTTTAGACGGTTCCTTTTCATACATCATTCGAAGCAAAACCTGAAAATCTGTCATTGGCACCGCCGTCCATTTATGATCACTCCGCGCGTCACCCTATTTTCAATGCCAGCTTTTAAATTTAATTGTCCTTCCTCATCGAGTCTTCTTATTCATTTTTTGCTCGGGCGCCTAGATACCGCGGTACAGCTGGTGATTATCATTATCTTTGCGCAGAATTGAGTTGTGCTGTGAGAACGATAACGCAAGGTTGTTATCGAGTCCTTCCAAATTCCAGAGATCGACACTCATGCAGACTGAGGTTAGATTAGTCGCTGAATGGTATCGTGCCACTTCGCCAGAGGTTCTCATATCATCGTATCATAACGTTTAAAACCTCATAAAAGTCAGGAATAGGCAGGTCGTCTGTAGCTAATCCTGTACTGATCAATGATCATGGAGCTCGAGTCCGGTTCCCTCCACAGCATCGCTAGCGCTTGATTGCTTGGCAAGCGCAAGCGCAAATCAATGTCAGCCACGATGATCTCGGACGTGTCGATACTGCTTATACCATCACCGTCGACGAGTCCGACCTGAACATCGCTTTCACAATTGAAGTGCTGTGATGCCCGGCGTGGAGCCCGGACGTGTCATCGAGAAGGTTGGGCTCGACCATCATACAAGGCAGTTCTATCCCAATAACTCAAGAAGATATCGGACAACAGGCCCGAAATTCGAATCGATAAAAAACACTGCCTCTCGTTCACTGCCCTCTGGCCATGGAGTCTGGTCCACGTTCGTATTCGACAAAGTTTCAACTTGAACTCGTTATCGATACGACAGTGACAGTGGCGGCAGGTGGTTACCAAACGCTTCATCACCATCATCATTAATTTTCCATTCCACTTAACAATTCACCACCATTCCAGTTACATACAAACCCCTTCAAACATGAGCCGCGCCGTCATATGATTATTAATATCGCCCAGTCTCGTAAAAAAAAATCTAGAATTTGAGGAATGAGAAACCTAGATCGATCCATGGCATATGTCGCATTGCAAGGCTGTACATATTAGCTTTTGCTTTTTGTTCTTCCTTCCTTCCATTCTGCGCACCGCATGCGCCCAGTGACTGACATCTTTTTTCAGGCAGCGGATCTTGAAGCTTGCAGAAAACGTGCGTTCTTGGCCAGAACGGCAGCCGCCATCACCATCGCCATCGCGGAATCTATATATCTCTCCAGAAGAAAGAAACAAAGAACAGAACTTTGATCGCTCATTAAATTCCGTGGGTGTTATTGAATTTGCACAATGCTCGGTGCCGCGACTTGCTATAATTGTAATATAATGAGCTTGAAATGGTCGTTGCTTTGACCACAACGCGGCCGGCGAGATCCAAGCACCATCACTACCACCAGTTAATCAGCGAGGGTTCAAAGTTCGTGTGAAGACGCACACGAGTATGATTAATCACGCACAATCTTTCTGGCATTCAATGGACGAGACCGTCGGGCACGGAAATCAAACACAAGTATTTGAATAAGACGGCTGGGTCGGCCGCACCTCGAGCGCTCGACACTAGAACCTAGAATTATGTAGCACCCAGGAATGAGCAATGAGTAATGAGTAATGACCCTCTAGAAACCGGCAAGCTTCAGTTGATAGGCTCTACTTTGCTGCAGATTACGGGATCTTACCAAAAGGGCCAAAGACAGGAGAATGAAATACATAGGGAGATAGATCGGGCGCACCCAGGGGCCAAGTCCCAGGGAATTGGAGAGTCGTCATATGTACAGGTACGGACTCGGAAGCCTGAGGGATTGATTGCATGAGTTATTGCAGGCTGTCCTCCAAGATAAAGGGGCGAAGGGACTGCAAAACATACTCTCGTCAATATATCTCCAACTGGTATGACCAAATTTCAATTTTTACCTTCCAGTGCTTGCGGCGTTACTCACGCTGCAAGAACTCGTGGGTAAACGTGGGAGTATTGCAGCGCCCAACTAGTATGCCCATAAACCGTCGACAAATGTGATGCATGTTGTCAGACTCACCGTGTCGGAATTTTAGCAGCTGCTAACGCGACGTAGCACATTACATAGTCTAGGCCGTCAATGTTTGTGGCGGTGGCGCGGCCACCACGGAAGTGGCGATGGTTGAGAAGCCGGATGTGTCGTAACTTATAGACGCGCTCAGCACTTGCGGCATATGATGATGACAACTATGCACATTATGGCGTTAGTTTGCGAGAGACTGGTGCAGCTTCTGTATAACATCGCATTCCGACCTAGCATAAGGATGGTCAGGCTGCTATAAACTGGCATCAGGTCATATTTCTTTGCTATGGCGCTGCGTAGTAAGTGCGGGACCCTACACACTTAGCTCCACGAACGGAGGCGCCCTAGCCAAGATCCGGTCGAAACAAGCTGGACTGCTGTGTGAAGGGAGATTTTCAGCTTGCTCAGCATTGAAATGACTGACTGTTGATGTTGCAGCGACTGTCTCGATGCACGCGCTTAGACTTGTTTATCCTCTTTAGAATTCTCTAAATGTTTACCATCGCCACCTTCAATAAATATCATTCCCTCTCTGTCTCCTCCTCGAAGATTGACTTACTCTCTTGCCCCGGCACATCTAATCTCCCCCTTCGCTCCACCTTCACGCTATCATACAAAGGTGCTCGATCTGTCCGCCCTGGAAAGTTATCAACAATGTTAAATCAAGGCCTTGAAATTTAACGCACTTGGCAAAAAGCTCTTCAAAGATGCCGTTTGACCCCGAACTCGCCGAGTACAGTGAGAACTTGCGGATCCATCAGGTTGACAGAGACAACAGGCAAATCATGAAAGACGTCTGGTTCTGGGAAATACGCTCCACCAGGTCGCTGGAATCCTAGATTTGTTGCAATCCATGGGACATCCTGCATGAGATCCTTTGCCTGGGATTTCATTTCACTGGACAACACGGGCCAAATTTTGCCCAGAATCCCCAGGATACGGTTAGAGTACGTAGCGCTTTTGCGGATGTCATGGGCCGCGTCGATCTGAGGGCTTATCAAGTGACTCAGCCAGTCCACAACGGTCATTGGCTGCCACAGAAGTGACGAGGAAAAGTTTCGTCGGTCAAGAGTCCTCGTAAACGAAAACGGGATGGTGTCTGGAGGAAGAGCATCGTCCGACTGGAGCCAAGGGAGCCAAACGTTGGAATCAATAAACTTGCTGATGTTGCGAAGTTCCACAACACGCGTGGAATTCCTGATTTCCGACTTGGCCTGCCCTGTCAGGCGGGACAGGAATGTGAGAGTAGTTTCCTTGTCTTCGTCTTCAAGCTGACTTGTGAAGTTGACCCACCACCGCAGACAACCAACCATCTCTTCCTCTTTCAAGGTCCTTGCACCCAATTCGCCCAGCACGTCTTGAAACGTGTACTCCCGGACCTGATATTACTCAGGGAGGAAGTCCACTAAACATGGTGGGTCGCCAGGTGACGTCGGAAGACGTGTAGGCACCAATTTCATGAAGGAGACAAAATCAACGTGAGAGTTCCGAACTTCCTTAGTGTAGCGAATACCAGAATTTGTCAAGACGGGGAAATGTTCGTTGAGGGAATAGTCGAAACAGTCGAAAAACGCATCTTGCAAGATTTTCGAGACTGGGGCATCCGGAGTGGATGGTTGGAACGTGAAGTAACGCATGGCATATGAGGCCTTGGCTTTTGAGGATAGCGCCGAAGCGTGAGCCGTCGGGACAATAATACCGTCGACTGCAGGCCAATCATCCCGGACCTTGCGAATCTCCTGTTCATACACAAGCCTTGCAAGGAACCCACCTACATACAGGAGTTCTTCATTCCACTCTGTGTGAATGATCAGTACACTTCAAAGGAAAACGACCGAGGTTGGCACGAACTTGCGACATGGCCGTTTCTAAGCAATTGTGAGATAACTTTAAGTGCAGAAAATAAGGACCCACGTTAGATCAATGGATCCTCGTTCCACAGTGGGAATGAATAGGCCAGACATGTGCCCACCAATACCAGTCGTTTGCGCTGTACTTTGACCCTACGACTCATTAGCACGTTTCTCATCGAACACGATGACGAACCTACGATGAAGATCCGGGACATGTATTCCCTAAAATAATGATGACATGACAACGTACACAGAAAAAAACAAATAGCATACCCATCTAGCTGAGGAAATAGACCTTGCGGTCCCCTGAATACGCTTCCCATGTCAGGATCGCTCTTCTCCTCTGCTGCTCTTGCATCCTGCTCCTCCTTGGAGAACTGTATTCATGATGGCATAAAGTTTATAACGAGATCATTGGAAGGCTCACGTAGACCAACTCAAAATTGAAGTGGAAAGGAGGATCTCCCTTTGTCATTGCTCTTAGGCCCCTTTGAAGGCCCTCGCTAGGACTAGTCGTTACTTGAGCCGAATATACTGTGTATCTGGCGCTATGGGTCCACCAGGGCGGGCGGGCATGGGTCGAAGCTCGAGATACTACTTTGGCGACTTCAGGGGCTTCACTATTGGAGCCATCCCAAAAGTCTTTGCGTTTCACAGGATCCTTCGATAGGTTTTCATTACCAGAGAGATGTGGATATGGGTTTTTGTTCCGGAGGCGCGTGCCCAGTCTGTGAGTTCAACGGTAATTTCTCGAGCTTTAGGATATTCAGTATGCAGCACATGCCGAAAATGCAAGTGCCACCCACTAACTACTGAAACTGCCTCGATATTCATCGTGCCTCCCTTGCTCCTTGGCAACATGTCTTTGGGAACACAAATCGGTGTGGGTACCTGTCTAGGCTTAGCGATCTTCACGAAGACTTTGTTGTTGAATAAAACATGAGCGTTTTCCACACTCGACATGAATGTCATTGCAGCTGCCAAAAATCGGGCGAAGTCGAATGGTTTCGGGATGGGAACTTGCATATCTTCCTTCAGGTCCATCTCGATGGAGGTCCACTCGCTCATAGCACAAGTATCCTGTAATGTATATAGCTGGAGGAAAATGTAAGTAAAGCAAAGGTAGCACTGAGCTCCATCGTATACCTGGTCACCCTTGAAAAATATTGACAGACATTTGCCTTGTGCGGTGCAGCAAATGATATGGTGGATCTAGTCATGTAAAGGGATTGGCGCGTACCTCCAGAGAAGACCATCGGGCTGTCGGTGGCACCGAAAACACTATAGAACCCTGCAAATCAATACATTCATTAGGCCGATTGAAGGTGTGTTACAGAGCACTACGAACCAACACCATATGCTCCAATTTTCTGTTCGTCATGCTTTCCATCCGCTAGTAACAACAGTAAGCGAAAATTATTTAAGGATAATCATCATACCGATTTTCGTCAGCCGTTCCCAGTCCTTCTCTTCAAAGTAATCACCATTGTTTCGAACAATCCATTTGAATAACTGCCGAGATGCCTAAGCGCTAAGTTCGAGGACAACCCCATCCCAAGCTCACCTTCGTAGTGTTCAGGTCCGGGATCGTCTCCGAGTCATTGATTCTATTTGCCTGGCCATTTGCTTCCGCGGATGTAGAATAGTCGATGGTCTGAAACTCTATTAGGACCTTCTTCGCTCTGGCGTCATCAGCATTCTGTAATAGCTCTCGAAACACTAGGCGCTCCTCAGTCGATCGCGCTACCCAGGACATGGTGTGCCTCAACGAACCTGTGAACTCTTCGGCATGTCGAGAGAGCAATTTATCAACCAGTGCACGCTGGTTTACTTCTACTCTGTTCGGCGTGCTGGTCGCAGTCTGTCATCACTTCTTAGCTTATTGCAGAGAGCACCCGACTCAGAAAAATCTACTGCTACCCACCTTGCTCGCCATAGCACTGCTGAAACCAGATTGCTTTTGATAGTGTCCTGTCCTGCCGTTAAATGGTATATACAGGTAGGAAAAGATCCTGGGGTGTTAGTAAAGTCGTATCTATGAATGCGGAAGGTGAATGCGGAACCAAACCGAGGCGTACGTATTCTCAGCATCGACGTTCTAGAATCCCACCGTCACGGTAGCCATCGACATATGGCAGTACTTAGACGCTCGGCCCTGAGACTCAGTGACGCCAGACCCGCCATATAGAAGAAAGACACAACAGTTGTTCCTTCTTTAAAGTTTTATGCAGTTCTCCTACAAGTCCAACTTAGAAGAAGCACTGGAAGCGTGTGGCGGTGATGAATCGATGACGGTTGTACAAAGTGACTGCAAAGTCAAACAGAGATTCTAGACTCACTCACCGTGGGAATTGGTTATTTTAAGTTTCGCTCAACTTGCGCTTAGCCCAATGCGCATCAGAGCGTTAGTTTGCGAGGGACTGGCGCAGCTTCTGCATTTCCATTTCCGAGTCATTGCATTCCTAGTTAGCAGAGAGGGATGGTCAGGCTGCTATAACTTGGCATCCGATCATCTTTCTCTGCTATCTTGGCGCTGGAGGTGGTAGGTTTATCGAACTCGGATAAGCCTGGCCAAATCTCGATGTCTCGCCGCCGCCTTTCGAGAATCGACATCGTACTAGTGCTCTACAGGCGTGCTAACTTCCTGGAGACTACTAACCTCATCGACAGTGCCGATGCTCCCGAGTCTGACTTCTTGAGAGTGAGAAGTAAAAATGTTTCATTTGTTAATATTCTCGCTGATCATGTTCTTTCCAGACTGTCGGCGCTTTCATTGCCAGCCTCATTGCTGCTAATTTTTAACGGCCTTACAAGTGACAGTTGCCTATCGTTCTGCCATGATATCTCCTCACCATTCGTTCGTCTACTCTGATAACAATACCAATCGTACGTCCTTGTCACATTGAGTTCGAAAGTTAGACATTGAGCAGAAGATTAAATCTTGTGCGCACTGCACAGCTCACGATACAGAGATATGGCTGCGAAATAAATAAAAATGCTGGTGAACAATTACGTTCCAAAGGAAAATTGGAATGAGATCGAAGGCAAAGCGCATGCGAAATATTGGATAACTTCAAGGGCCCCATTGGTCTATGATATTCGAGGAATGTGAATGATATTAGTATGTCGTCTAATCGGTCTCCGGGGTCGATCCCTCGCCTTCATCTTCGTCATCTAGCAAGTAGATTGTGAAGGTGGCTAATGGAAGAGAATCGGCGAATATCTTACCGTCTGCAAAATCACTGCTGTCATACATTTGCTTTCTAAGTTGCTCTGGCTGAAGTTCATCTTCCTCTTCATCACCTGGAGGATTTGCGATAATCTCATGCAAGTTCTTTTCTGAAGGAAATCGGCTTTTTGCGTACTCCAGTGGTGTGAGCCCCCCTGGCATTGTCCTAGGGAAGGCGTTCAGCACCTTGTCTGACTGACTTGAATATGTGAGGAACCCACTGTTTGCTCTCTGCGCCGCAACTTAGTAGTTCTGCGACAATTTCTAAACGTGCCTCAGCATCGTCAATCTCCTTCAAAGCGATATAAAGTGGTGTATCGCCATTCTTGTTGTGGAGGTCAAGGTCGACAGCCCCACCGCAGAGAGCCGCTACATCAGCCGGATGCCCTTGACGTACACTGAAGGGTCACGAGATGGATATGAGGAATCACATCAATAATATTAGAGCTCGCGATACGAACGCAAGATGAAGGGCTTCCCGATGCCTCACGAACGTGAGTTACTAGTAGTGGAGTAGACTTTGAATACAACTTACCAGTATTTCCCAACCTAACGTGCCGAGTGCATCAGCAAAACATCCCCCTGCATGTGAGCGGCTTACGCGTCTGTGCAGTTGAAGTCTCCAAGGAATTCCTCATTGTCTTCGTCGAAATATTCAGGGTTTACCATCATCTCTTCCAAAGCGCCCTCTGTCAAGGCATTGACGAGGAGCAGTCTGTCTGTGATAAAGATCTAAGGGAAAGTGCATCGGGAGTAGCCTTCAACGCACTGATAGTTTTACGCGTATCTTCGTCTGTCGCCATTCTGGAGCTGAAATCCAATGCTATCAGAAGATGATATGATGGCGTCCGAGTCGACCAGCCACAGCAACCCTATCACAGCATAAACTCGCAAACTATTACTTTCGGATAACATCGCACAATCTCAGATTTCCTCCAAATATTCTCACATTTTCCTGGATCCAGATTATCTCTTCATGTATTGTCCGACTTTCTCAAGTTACTGCGTTGTTTCTCGACAGGCAATATGTATGACAAGTCAACGTGCGTGCGTACGTTGATCATGATGCATGATGTCGCACCCAGTTTGCGAAAATCGTCTAAGTCCCACGCGCGGTGAACTCGTACTTAGTTGTGATTTTGTTCTGGTTGGCCCCAGCACTCTTGACTCTCGACCATGACCACGCACCAGGATCCTTAATGCACACACAATTTATGGTGATGTTGCATTGGGAGGCTCTTGTTTATCATGCTAATCACCCTCACGAGCCTTCACAGATACAACAACTTGACGACTTGTGGTCAATGTATGTGATTTTTTACTTGACCAATTTCGGGGCTGATGTTATATTACATTGTCCCGCGCAGCTCGAGGAACTTATAGACATCCGAGGTTCGACGTGTTATCATGTGCGAGACAGCCATAGCTCATGTACGTTGTCAACATTTCTCGATGAGTTATTCATCTGACTATCCATCAATCATCCACACACAGCCGCCGCCATGCTCTCGCTTCGAGTCTTGTTAACCGGAATTGATCTTGCAAATTGATTGGGTATGTTATCTGGTTGACAATATGCGCATATATTCACTTTATTTTAGTAGGGCTATCCACTTTACACCCAGCTTGATACTTCCAGTGAGATATCTATACGAGTAATGATTTCTGAAAGCTGATACCCCCATTTTTTTTCTCCAGCTTAGGTACTCGCCGTCTCGATCTCTCTCATCACAAGCTCTCGAGCCGGAACTTGCGGAGCACAGTGCTGGCCTGGCGGGTGTTAGTTGTACTCTGCTATGTAGTACATACCCATAATGTCCATGCATTCAATGATATATTAATGAGCTGCAGCTGGGACGAGCGTGCACAAGCTATAGCGTGCTACCAAACAATATTTTGAATATAGCAGCAGCAGCATATATATATCAATTGTACTGGAGAAATATCTGTGAATTGTGGGTATATTCTAGGGGAAAATGTCGCTATAATGATAGCAAAGTCTGTAACATTTGGCAAATTACCAGATAAGAGAGTCTGACAGAAAATGTGGTGATATTCTCGTGTAATTTCACACTTTATCCACGTTTTACCCTTTTCATAATCTACCGGTTTGTGCTGTGTATTATGTTGTGTGGCTGTGCGATATGGGATTAGCGTCCATAGTTGTGCGCTAAAAATAACCCACCACTTCACTATCCATCACTTCGATAGCCGTGACTTGTCCTATCTTGCCAGATGCAGTGATAAGCTGATCTGTGCTTCTGTTTCAAGCTTCAGTAGCTTCACAGGCTTCAGAAAATATATCATGGCGCCTTCGGAACGTAGTCATGCCCGCCAATGAAGGCTTGAAGGGTTGTCCGACCATCATCAACCACGCGATGTTACCCGAGAACTCGGAACATGTCAACAGTCATGCCCATCATATTGTATACCAGGAGTCGCGCAAGTGTTCTGTGGTACAAGTGTGGTATGCGACATTCTGCCTTGCTGCTTGTTATCCACTTTGCCTCTTGCACGCTGCATTACTTACCGCAGTATTAACAATGTTGAATGCTAATGATGCATTACTTTATAATAATGATCGAAGATGTTAGGGTGGAGGTTGGTGTGTTGGTAGTTACAATTAATGCATTAAAACGACATGGTAGCGTTGGTCAAGTCACGACGTTCACATGAAGGGTCATTGCAGTCGTTGTATTATGTCAAGCAAGAATTCATTACACTTTCATACTTTTTTCCTCAGTGAGGATGGAAATAACAGTTCTGCCACCGTCCAATTGTTGTTGTTCAGCCTCGAGAAATTTGCGAGACACTTTACTACGCGAGCGGATCTTTGGCCCAAAGAAGAGAAGGACCTGCGTGAAGATCGTGGAAACCTCTAAGACTTCGCCATCGATCACAATGCATGCAAATTTACCCACCCATGGAATTGGTGCCATCACCATACATAGCAGCGCCCAGAGTGACAGTCCCCACTTATATGTCATACCAGCGAACATTTGCTGTGTGAAGAGTGGGAAGACCAATGCCATTATATTTCCTTTTGATCTCTGGTTCAGCAGAAGAAATAAGCATGAAGTGCAGACTCACGAGTCAAGCTCTGTCCCGCTTGGGCCGAGGAGGTATATGGACCGTAGCTAGGTTTATCCGTCAAATATGTGCAGGATTGATGTCGAGACACATACCAATCGGCAAGATATAAAAATGTAACTTGGAATATTACGAAGACGCTAGACATAAACGCCTGTGAATTCGTCAAATCACCAACTTCAAACACTATTGAAAAACTGACATACAGTCAATGCAATAAGAGGTACTATCCAATGAATATTTGGTGATGCCGTCCATGCGTAGATGAACATTGAAGCGGGCAGGACAATAGCAGCAACACACGTCATGTATAGTCGTGCTTCTTGGCCCTTTGTCGGAAAGTATTGCCTGGACAGCATGAGCAACAACGAATGTCTCGTACTAACTTTCTCACCGATACAAGGTTTCCTGATACAAGTTCGCCATTAACCCGAAGATGGCTCCGACACTGTTGAAATGAGAGGTCAGATGCAGTGCACATGTACAATATAACGACTTTCCTCTGACACAGGTTTACAAGTCCCGTATCGCTGATACTGAAGTTGTAGATAGACTGAAACTCCGTGGTGGAGGATCTTTTGGTTAACCTACTTTAGCGACTGATTTCTATCCAGGTCTCAATAGCACTCACTCGAGCAAGCAGAACACGACCCCCCAAGTGAAGCCACTCCAAACCTGCCATCAAATGTTGTCAACCGCTATTGAGGGTACACATCGATGGTCACTTACACTAAAGCTCTGCACGATAGGTTCAGTCAACAATAGATCTGGAATTGTTTGATTAGGAAAAATTCTGTAGACGATTGTTTTGCGTACACAACGGCCGTGTGCACGACGTCTTAATCAGAGATGTCATGCTTGGTTTGTCAATTTCAGCGCTGGACCGATATCTGGGGTCACCGGTCATCTTTCTGGTATCCTTCGCGATGTGAGTTAGAACAATGGATGAACGGGTTTCGCTCATCACCAGGATGACACCGAGAACATATGCCCCAGAGAACCTGAGAAGAATATTCAAAGAGATACTCGGACGTAGTTTTTTTTGACATACATGACATGCACCCATTGGACCCACCGCCAACCGAGGTGTGGATTGGCAGCAATGAGCCCCCCAAACACCGATCCGAGGCCAAAAGCGAATATTGTTGTGAATGCAAACAAAGACATTGGCAATCCGCGTCTGGAAAATTTGTCAACAAGGGATTTACCACAAGTATCCTGCCATACTCATGTGGCCGCCATATATCAGCGATGCTGCCCCCGACTAGGGACGCGCCAGTTGAGCCAAAGACTCCTTGTAGTGCACGCGACACAATCACGGTTTGTATGTTTGGTGCCCTGCCAGTGATGAGCGCACGGTTTTTGCAACAATTTACGATAACTTACAATGCATTCATAACTTCAGCGAGCATAAATAATATGGCTGACGCGATGTAAAGGGGTCGTCTGCCGCGTTCCTGAAGTGCAGATGCCAGTTAATCTACAAAAATAGCAAATGTATGAGTTCTTACCTCGCTGAACGACGAAGAAATCAACGGGACAATCCCATCACCTGCTACGTACAGGCTTAGTCCCAAGGTCGCCTGAAGTTGAGTACAATTTAAGTCCTGCATCATCGACTCATAACTGATCGAATACGATGACGCTGATGACGCTGTTTCAAATATTGGATGGAATGATATCAACACTAAAAACCGAAGTCACCTGCGATTGCAGCGAACACGCAACAAGTCAACGTGATGGCCCACTTCCGCACATAAGAGAAGTTTTGTGGGTCGCGTGGGTCCCCTTCGTCAAATTTTACCTGGTCAATGTAAACATTCTTGTATGCGAAATGGAATATGACAATGACTTACGAGTATCAATTCTTGCTCCTGTGGAACAGTTGTACACGAGGGTGAGCTGGTGCATTTACTGGTGTCGTCCATTGTCATCAGGACTCGGTCTGTCGATACTAAAAGCTGAATGTACTTTTAAATGCGGATGAAGGAGGATAAACGAGATTGAAAAGCAGTCAGGGTATCAGTGTCTTCCTCTGTAGTGTACCGAGATGGCTCACCCATTTTATAAAGCTATGGGTAGCGCGCTGCCGGGTAATAAAAAGGAGTCATGGATCATTGCAAGGGAGATTCTGACCGAAAAGGCATCAGTTACACTTGGAAACGCATGGGCCCTGTGACTAGAGTAAGATGAACCATCGGTTCCGAGTCAGCCTGCAGAACGAGGGCCTACTTATGACTCAAGGGTTGGCCCGCTGCATGCGGGTTACAAAGTTGGAAGCTTCTTCATGACTGTGTGCCAAAAAAATCCGTTCGTAGCGGTACCGGTGCCGCCCGACTCCGCTTTGAAAATAGAACCAGTGAGGCGCACAAAAATCACGCGATGGCCTGGCTTGCAAGTTGCATATACAATCACATCCCTGTCATCGAGTCGCGATCAAGGTGCATGCTAGTAGGTCCTCCCCTGGATCAAGCACCTGAGCCGTGATCCGCTAAGCGCTTGTGGTCCCTCTAAAAGTTTCATCGTGCTATGGTAGGCCATGGTTTAGCTTCCTGGAAGCGCCCCCATGTGAGTTACAACCTCATGTAGGTATGATACCCTTAAGCGGGACTACCCATGTGTCACAGAGGCAGCAAGGCATTGCCGGGTCCTCGATATTTCATACACTAAGTACACCAGAGTTGAATAAAATTGTAACGACTCTCGCGCTGCGTCAGTCGACTCCCTACCTCGTTCAAATCAGCACCTTAAGTAAAGGGGGGTAAGAATATCATACCGGATCACCGGCCACAACCACAACATAAGGCGCATCCGAGTCCACCGAACACCTCGCAGGACAAACAAAGGAGAATTTGGGGTATGATTGTCAAGGTATGTGGCTCCTAGCTAGGATAGGATTCAGGAATGCGAGTGAACCGCGTATTGTGTAATCGTTTGCAGAGAAAAACGGAGAGACTGGCACGTTTGGGTCCGACAAAAGTCACCTCTACTACTACTAGTAACGTGGGAGTCCGAGTCGGGGATAAGCTTCACCTATTACCGATTCGATCTATTTCGATGCCATGATCTTCAAGTTAGCGTATGGCACTGGCAGTGGAGGGGTTCGCCATGGAAAGGTAGGTCTATCTGTAGCAGGATGCGAGTTAAAGGCTCTTCACCAATTTATTCCCCTCCCAAGCAGCACACCATCCATTGTCAGCATGCGTCCATTTCTGCGAGATAGCTGTGATTGACTATGATGGTTACAGCCGAGTGGTTCTCGCGAAACAGTCGCTGAAGGCCCAGTTTCTCTTGTCTCAAAGAGCCTGCTCGAACGTGAAGGGCAAACTCAGTGTATTGCGATAAAGACATCTACCATCCACCTCAAATATGCCAAAGAACCCCACGATATCATCAAAGAGGCGAGGCTGATCGCCTCCGCATGTCATCCAAATGCGAGTCTTCGCGCAGAGTGATAGGACGAGTCTTACCTCTCATCACAGGTGGTTTCTATCTTGGGCCATGACATCGATTCAAGCAGCCAGACTATGAGCTTTTGGATGCCATACGTGCCTTGCTCTTTGCTCGTATTGTTGTCTTCAAACGATTTCTCTCCCCATCCACTTGTTTCAATTCTGGCTGCAGATCCATCAAATCCGAGTCCACGCGAGCAGCGATTCGTTCTTCTCGCAAAATCGCTAATGTTTCAAGTCCTAAACGGTGTGACATTCCTCCACGAGAATGCGAGGATTGCACACCGGGATATAAAACCAAGCAACATACTTCTCACTCTATCTGGCCGCGTTCAGCTCATCGACTTCGGTATATCCTGGAAAGAAGGGGAAGATCTCGCCGCAAAAAAAAACGACTTATGGGTTGAAACCCCGGAAAAGATGTACTTTGAAGTTTCTACAGGGTATGTCCCTGCCTGACCGAATATGAACCGGATGCTCATTAAGAAGTAGACCATACCGCGCGCCTGAGCTGTTGTTTGGGCCCAGGATTTATGACGCATTCGCGATCGATTCTTGGAGCCTTGGAGCAACTTTCGCGGAATTCTTCACTTCCGTTTGTCTCTATAACCCGCTTGACGACGAAGACTTCGACTTTGGAGGCGATGAGCAGTCTGACTCGGGCGACGAAAGCCCGGCGAAGCCAGCCGAGCCATTCATTATACCAAAGGGACTTCGCGTCGGAGACCCCTCGAACAGGTGGGCTAGAGATTCTCTATTTGATTCCACACGTGGAGAGATCGGTTTGGCATGGAGTATTTTCAAGACACGAGGTTCGCCAAATGAGACAACTTGGCCAGTGAGTGCTGTTGAATTTGTTACTGCGACCTTCCTCTCTGACTTCAGCAAGTCCTTTTTGAGCTTACCGGACGCAAACAAGTTGTCCTTCATAGATACGCAGCCTGTTGATCTCCCCTCTATCCTACCCAATCTTCCTTCATCCGCACAGCAGCACGAGGTCGACACAAAAACTCACATACCCCCAGAGACGATGTCACCAACTCCTGTTGATCTGATTCACCGATTCCTTGTATATGAACCATCTCAGCGTCTCCGCCCTTCCAAGGCATTGACTCACTCCTGGTTCACATCCGAACCACCGTTACTTCTGCCAGCTGACTTCCCTACTACAAGTGCTGATGGCGAGGCTTCAATAAGTCTAGGCTGGGGCGGAAAGTCTCTGGGAGAATGGTTATCAGAGGTTCATCCCCAGTGGCGCAATTCGAAGGGATGAGTAGAACGAGGGTTTCGATGGCATCATTTATTACACAATGCATATAATGTACAAAACATGATAGATGCAAGCATTTCAGGCTGCCGCCGGCACAGCCTTGATGGTTCGACGAGCGAGCGCGTGATTATCGATAGATATACCTGTGCGAGACCAAATGAGAAACATGTCCCGTAAAATAATCATGTTACTGACTCTGTGTTGCGTTTGCGGTCTTGTAGATTCCAATGAGACGGTGACTGAGCTCAAACATGTCGTTCCTGAAAATCCATATTAGCCATGGCGGTTCTTGGGAGAGAAGGAATAATCACCTCAAAGAAATGATAATGAACTGTGCATTCTTGGTGCGATCCTTGATGTAATTCGCCACAATCGAGACATTCCGGAAGTCTAGAGCTGCATCGATTTCATCCATGAAATAGAGTGGCGTAGGCTAGGACAAGTTGAGTCTACTGAAACTGCTCAGGGAGTTGACATCAGATATACCTTGAACACATGCAGAGCGAACACGAGAGCAAGTGAGCTAAGGGTCTGGAGGATGATTAGTATGCTCCCTGATCCTCAAAGCAGAATGTACCTTCTCGCCCCCAGATAGATTCGAAATATTTTTCCAACTCTTCTTCGGAGGCATGACGCTGAAAATGATGCCCTCTGAGAAGGGATCCATACTGTCGACAAGCTCGAGCTCTGCGTTGCCACCAAGAGTGATCATCTAACGGAAGATATAGACAATTCTGAACAACCAAAGAACGTCGGCACGGACCTGATACATTTCCTTTAGCTTCAATGAAATTGAGCTGAAACCTGCCATGAATTCGTCCAAGCGTTGTTTCCGGAGACCGTCGTAAAGCTGCTTCTGCGTGTCGCGCGCTGTAGTAGTCTCCTCCAAGTCTTTGGCGCGTTTCATGAATTCTTCTTCTCGCTTCTTGTATTCCTTGAGAACGTTGAGGTTTGGATTAGTGTTCTTGAGTTTTTCTAAGACGAGCAGTCAGTAGTGATCACTCGTGACTAAGGTGATGGAATATACCATCAAGATACTCGGAATCTGCAAGCATGTCCCTTTTCTTGAACCGTGCAAGTTCTTCGGCGCTATATATGTATAGCTCGTTCGATGGCGTTCGTTGACGAGCCTTTTTCGAGGGTGCAGATTCTGCATGTTCCTGCTTCACCGCCCCTTCACCACTGCCCGAAGCTTCAGCGACTTGGTCAGCTCCTTCCTCTTCATCGTCGTCGTCATCGCTGTGGGTGGCTGTAAGTGTGCGAAAGTTAAAATAATCAGATAAAGTCTCACTCGATATCGTAGAGCTTGAGCTGGTCGTGTTCCGTGCGCCAATGATCCAGCACACGCTCATTTTCGGCAGACTCTTTCTTCTTGTCGGCAAGCTTCTGAGTAATCTCAAGCTGCAAAACCTGTGAGTACCTGAATGTCCAGCGTATAACAAAGGACGAACCTCCTTCTTTCTAAACTCATCAATTTCCTCGCGTTTTTCCTGGAGTTGCTGCTTAAGTTGATCGAGATCGTCTTTCGAGCTCTCCTGAGCAGCTTGTGCGGCTTCAACCTTCTCCTTGAGGTCTTCTAGATACTGCGTGACCTCCGCCAGCTGATCCTTCAGCTCCTCGAGCTCTTTCTCAACTTCCTCCAGCGCCGCACGGTTGGTCTCAACGCCAGACGTGTACTTTATGAGGTTCTTCTCTGCAGTAGCCTTCATGACCTCAGCCTTGGTGACCTCCTCGTTAGCTAGCTGATGCAGCAAGCGAATACCATCAACAGTGGACTTCTGCTTCAGCAGTTTGGAGCCGCCGATTTCGAGGATCTTCTTTTCGAGGACTTTAATCGCGGCCTCGATAACGCCAGTCTTGGTTTGCAGTTCGTCAAGCTCTTCTGTCGACGATGCGATCTCGGCATCTAGAGTGTTGATTCGAGCGAGATCCTTAGCATTGGGCTTGCTTTGTGCTCTAGAAATTATTCAGCAGCGATCCTGCGTAGAGCAAACAGAAAGCGCGTACTTGAGATCCTGCACACGCCTCTCAGCATCAGCCAGCCGCTTCTTCCCATTGTTGACGCCCATAGTGAGCTTTTCAATGCTGAGCTCTATTTCCGGGCCTGCCTGTGTAAGCCTTTCGGCTTCTGCCTCAATATCACGAAGCTGCTGCTGCGCCTCCTCGAGATTACGTGCCGCCTGTTCGCTGTCCTGCTCGTAGGTCCTCAAAACTTGTGGGCTCACTGCCTCCGCTTGGAGCTTTGAGCTCATTCCACCCCGCGAGACGTGGTTCCCACCGCCTGACATAGTTCCCGATGAATCAATCAGCTGCCCTGCAAGCGTGACAACGCGCCAGCGCCTCGATCCTCCAAAAGCAATCCTGTTCGCTTGGTCTAGATTGTCAGCAACAAGGGTGTTCCCAACACCTTTGTAGAACGCAGATGCGAAGCGGGGATCCTTCGGCTTGATGAGATCGAATAGCCGCGGGACGCCCTCCGGTGTAACAACACGTTCGTTGAGTCTGTCGGTGGGGAGCTTCTCCAGCACCATGAAAGACGCGCGGCCAATGTTCTGCTTGCGCAGGAACTCGATACATGCTTGGCCCTGTGCGACAGTGTCGACAACCATGTTGTTGAGGGCGCCACAGGCAGTGGAGACTGCAACGTCGTATTTATCTGGGATTGTGCCTAGGCTGCCGAGACGGCCCTGCAAGATAATGTGTGAGTAAGTAGCTGGTTACACGAAGACGAGGCCATACATGGAACCCGTCGATACGACCAGTCTGCTTGAGCTTCGTCAAGCTATCCAGAACTTTGTTCTGTGATGTGCTGGCTGCTTGGGATGCTTTGGCCTCTTCTGCCTTTTGCCGCAAGGAGCCTGCCTTGCCCCGAAGCTCCTGGACGACCGCCTGAGCAGCCTTTATAGAAGAAAAAGAACAACAGCGTCAACGACGATCACACCCTCCAAGCCCGCAGACATACGTGGAACTTTTCTTCACAGGTCCCCAATTTCTTCTGCACCTCCGCCTTTTTCGTCCTCAAGGAATTCAACTCATTTAGCTGAACTGTCTATCAGCACCACTTTCTGACTTGACAAACTGAAACCATACCTTTCCCTCTTGCTCTACTTGCAACTCAGCCAACTGTCCCTCCGCTTGCGTGACCGCGTCTTTGAGTCCTGTGGCTTTCTTCGCGAGCGCATCCCGTTCAGAGCTTGCTACGTCAATCGCGGCCTGCTTGACATTAATCTTGGCAGTCCACGGCTGAAGCTCTTTCTGCTTCGCCTCGATTTGTTCGTGGAAGACTTGCGTTTTGTCTACCAATCCATGATGAGAGTAGTATGAATTGTCTTGAGACCATGGACGTACCCTTCAAGCTATCCCGGATCCCTTCGAGCACCTTCTCTTCCTTCTCCAGGTTCGTCTCGTGCTCCGCAATCTCGCGCTTCTTCGTTTTGATCTTGTCGTCGGAGTCCTGGATCGTATTATCGGCTTGCTTTTTCGATTGTTCATCCTATTGGAGCCATGTATTATATCAATTCAGACAAAAATCAAGCACGGTGGCAGAATGTGATGAGAGAAAAACTCACGTCTGCCAACGCCTTCTTCAGCTTTTTCGCCTTCGCGCTCGCATGCTTCCGACGTTCCTCGAGACTCACAGATTGCTTTTCGCGTGCCGCGTTATCCTTCGCTGCTTCCTCGGCTGCTGCTTTCACTTCCTGAAAGGTTACATCAGTGTTAGAAAAGAAAAAGAAACTCGCACACATACCTCGTAAGCTGTCTCGCGCTCCTTGTAGTGCTTCTCAAGCAGTTCTAGATGGGTGATATCATCCTTGTTCCGCTCCCTCTCGTCTTCAAGCTCCTTCTCCAAATGTTCCTGCCCAACATTTAGCACCGCAAGTAAGAAAAAAAAATCAAGCACTCACAATCTGCGCTGCGAATTGCTCGTCATTCTCCAGACACTTCCACAAGTAATACTGCCAAAGCCGGCTGAGAGCCCTCACATGCTCATTCGCAAGCTTCAGCCATGCCAACGCCTCCTTCCTCTCTGCATCCAATTTCGCTTTCTCCTTCTCCACGATCCTCAGCCTGGCCACCTTCTCGGCCCTTTCCTCTCCTAGCCGATCCACTTCGGAAAGAGCAGACTCGATTGGCGCTTTGAGCACAGCAGTACCGATAATATCCTCTAGATACTCGAGCAGTCCGTCGTCGTGCTCGGAAGTGCCTTTAGGCTTCATCTGCGCGATAGATTCGACTTCACCTTGCAGGATAAGGAAACGCTTGTGCGTGAGGTCGATCCCACGCCCCTGGAGAAGCGTCTGGACCTCGGTGTAGGTGGACGACCGCGAGTTAAGGGTGTACCGAGAGGTATTAGATTTGGTCGCTGTGCGAGCGACGATGAGTGAGGAGTTCGGGACGACACTGTATGCGTCGGGTCCAGGCTGGGGATTCGAATGTATGAGCTCAGTTCGATTTAGTGAGCGAAGGTACATACGAGGTCTATAATCTCGCGAAAATGAACTTCCACGCTGCACTCATCCAAGTCGGGATGTCGTGCAGAGTTGTGGATGAGCTCTGAGAGCTTAGCCTGGCGCATCTTCGATGCTCGGTAACCAAACACAAAGAGGAGCGCATCAATTGTGTTTGATTTACCGGAACCGTTGGGGCCCACGATTGACGAAAAAGACTGTTAATCACGAAATTTCATCAGACAACACGTCTATAGGAAATGTAATAAGGACGTACCTTGTGAAAGGGCCCGATCTCCTGTCGGCCCGCGTAACTCTTAAAATTCACGAGCACCATCTTGTGTATCACAAGACGCGGCTTAGGACTTGAAGGTTCTTCAGCGGGCGGGGGCCGCATCACAGACACGGGTTTCACGCGGGGCTCGAGGAGGGACATTTCTTCCTCTTCCTCCTCCCGCGGGGAAGGGAGTTTAGGAGTCATCTGCGGCTGCTGCGATTGACGCGGTACACGCCGAGGTGTCTGAAGAAACTCTTCCTGGAACCCGTCGAGGTCGTCTGCGTTATCTTCGGCAGCGGGCGAGGGACGTTTGGGGGGCGTAGCAGGTGCAGATTTGCGTGGCCTAGGCGTGACTTCGACATCAGCGGAAGGCGGAATTGCCTTCTGCTTGCTAGAAGACACCTTGGGGTTTCTGGGAGCGGGGGTAGCATCAGACTCGTCACTAGAGATGGAGATGGGATTATGTTCGTCGTTGTTGGATTCGAGCTTGACAGGTTTGCGGGAACGGGGAGCCGGTTTGAGTTTTGCCGGTTTGATATCTTGCTCACCACTGTCTTCGACGTTGGTTGCCTTGTGAGGTTTCCTTCCCTTAGCTTTGGGCGCAGGTTTGACTTCGTCAATATCGTTGTCTTCGTCTTCAGGTGCCTTATGAGATGTTTTACCTCGAGTCGCCCGGGGTTTCGCAGATGACCTCCGAGGCGGTTTCACTTCTTGCACCTCGTCGTCGTCGTCCTCCTGCACAGTCTTCTTGACCCGACCTCTCCTCGGTTTCTGCAACTCTACAATTTCGTCCTCCTCCTCGTCCTCCTCACCCTCAACAGAGTTTCTCGACTTCTTCTTCACAGGTTCCTCTTCGTCCTCCTTTATCTCGGCCACCTCTGGCAGCGCGCGATTCGTCACCGACGTACGTGTAGATGTTCTTGCTGACGCTCTTGAAGACGGTGCGGCAGATGCTTTTGAAGAAGGGCCTACGCTGGCTCTTGCCGATGTCCTGCGTGTCCTGGGCGCGTTCTCTTTCTCCTCTACGTCATCTGTGTCGGTTCGTTTGCGTTTCGCAGAATTTGATTCCTCTGGTTCAGCGGACGGTCGCGCAGAGCGAGATGACCTGCGCGGAGGCATCGCAAATTTCTTGAGCTTACAATGATCTTGGTTGATCCAGAAGAAAGGTTCTGATGCTGACGCGTTGTGTGACGGTTCGCGTGTGTCACATCACTGTCCCGTGAAAAAATGGACCATGCTCTACATACCCCAGTAACTTACATAATGACAATCATCAGCGAAATATAGGCAGGTGGAATGATCGATTCACGCAATGGAATATATAGGATCCCTCTTTGCATAATACTACAAATTTAGATCGCAGTTCGGACAAGCACAAATTTTTCTGCTTCATTTTCGAGTCATTAAAATTATCAGACATGATTGGAGCGGGAAGGAATTCACGCACTTTAAGTTATGATTGGATCACCGCAGTCTTTCTGAAGGCTGACATGTCTTGCTATGTATAGGAACCCTGTTTGTATAAATCTTCAATTTTAGATTGCAATTTTGCAGGACAACGTTAATTCTACTGTATTATCTTACTGAAAATGCTTGGAGTGTATTGCAATCTGTTATTTTATGCTGAAAATGACCACCCTCAGTTTTTATTGTGCCAAAGCCAGAGGAGCTCAGTCTTTAAGTAACATGTCCATCAACGCATGCGGCTGAGAGGCTTTGCAAGGGTTCGAATGAATGCGCGCAAGTCAAAACAACATAAATTCAGTTTGAAAATATAAGTAGAAGCATTTAGAATATGATTGAGCGTGCCAAGAAGCTTTGTTCGTTCGAAGGGCGTCACTCGGTTCAAACACATGTGCGAAAATTGTTCTATTGAAGGGGGTTTGCCAAAGATTTAAATATATATGTGCAAGTTGATCATCCGCATAAATTCGGTCAGCAAAGACAGGTAGAAACATCTAGCATAGAATTGAGCGCATCAAAAAGCAATGCTCGTTCGTTCAGAGAGGCTTGCCAGGAGTGAACCATTAAGAAATTTGTATTCAAGTTTAGAGATAATGAGAGTGTGAACATCCGCTAGGTAATTGCGCGCAAGAACATGGTGACTAGTATGTTAAGGAGAATCCCCCTCATGAGCTTCCCTCTGCGAACTCATCCTCGCAACTGAGAACTTCCCAAGCTGCGCTGAAGTGAGGGGAACTGTGCGAATCTTTCCAAACACTTTCCTGCAAGCAATGCGGAAAGTTAAAATATGAGACACGACAATAGTGAAAATTTACCTGTTCCACCATTTGAGCAACTCGTTGATGCGGGCCTGAGCATCAGCGCCCGGTACGACCTCAAAAAAGTCTACAATGTTGTTGTAGAAATCGTAGTAGTCGAAGTCTCCGTCAACACTCCGCCAGGAGTTAATGTTGGAAAGGGCGAAACGAAGCTATACCCATGATCAGTTTCAAAAGGAAGGTCAACACAACAGAAAAGACAAACCTGACAAGTTGTGTATGCAATAGCGCGCGGGGTGACTGTCTTCATACCAATGATGTTAGCTACATGACTGCGGTTGACCGCGTCATTCTCCGAGGACCGACGGCGCTGAGATGCTGAGATGACATCAGCGCCATTGCCATCACCGTCGATTTCTTTGGCGGAGGACGGGGACGTGAAGAGGTGTTTGAATGCCTGCAAAAATCAGCAGCGCCACCCTCGACATGCAGTAGAACTTACTTTGAGTAGTAGAGTCGAGCGAAAAAGACCTTTCTCGATGTTTGCAGAATCAAAGGAGTAGTCTTTGTATATGAACGCTGGCCAAGAGTAAGCGGTAACTAGGAAGTCGGAATCCCGGTCTCTGATCTTGTCCTTGGTCCTGTTGTAATGATGAAAATGTTATTAATGCTAAATCAAGTTAATGATACGTACGAGGAGAGAGACCACACATACTCGACCGGACACAAGAGCATGCCGGTGGTGTTATGGACAAACCCGCGATCGTCTTTGATCGTGGTGCGAAGGGGGGGGTCCAATGGATGAAAGAGTTCATTGAGCCATACCACGACCGCATGCTTGAGATTTGCGGTGTCATCCCCTCGTGCACTGTCTGCGCCTTTTCGCAGCTGAGGATATATAGTGAGTAAAGGAGAAACATTGCCAGAAGAAATGTTCACCTCTTTCAAAATCGAATCCAATTCCTCGACATCTGAAAAAAGTTTCTTCTTCAGCCAAGGGAGGCAACGAAGGAGTTCGTTGAAAGAACTAAATGTCCTGTCCTCGCTGGTACAAGTTAGGATATGACAGCTAGACCGTGGATGAAAACGTACTCTCGAGTTGTAACAAGCTCATCTTGGGAATCGAGTGATTGCAGTAAGTCTTCTCGTCGATCGTTTTCGGCCACGAGGTCCTCAAGGCTATCGAACAAAGAAACGAGCCGGCGAATGCCCCGTCCTTTGTGTACATTGGAGTTGGAGTGTCTGTGTACCCAACTGAATAAGAGCTCGTCGCGCAAGCAAAAGGAGGTTGGGGACTCACGGCTTGCTCCGCTTGCTCGCCCTAATATTTTCGAGCTCCTGCTCCAGAGCCGCAATACGTCGTTTGGCACGGGCAGCGGTAGTATCATCCTCGCGGTCGCTGTCAGATTCTTGTTGTGGTAACACCATGAGGATCAACTTGGGTGAAGGACGAACAACTTACAGTAAGCGCATTGTTCAATGTTTATATCATATTTCGAGAGAGGGGTGAACTGTAGTTGGTATGAAGGCGGACACACGCTCGCTTGAGATGCTGTGGAGCGCAAGGTGTTCCAAAACCTGCTCGCTTGAGGTGTGGAGCCGTTCGCTGCTGAGCCCCACGTAATATGCTGTCATTCCGTAAACATCGAAAAGAAGTAAGTACGGCATTAGTCAATCAACAGATAAATCACATTGGGTGCGCAGCAACACTGAGAAGTTCATGAGAAATGAAATTTTGCCACCAGCGATAGCAGCTGCTGTTCGAGAAACAAATGTGCTAATATAACTACGAACATGCAAGGTACATGGCAGGATCCATTTTGCGCCTGCAAAAAAATCAGTTGGGCGAACCCTGGCAAAGGAATACTACCAATACTTACATAGCGAGGTTCACCGTATCCTTCAGTTGGATGCGAACAACATCCCCAGCAGCGGCCAATTCGCCAGCCATGATGTGGACGTCGGTAAGGAAACTTTCGGTCTCGCTGAGAGTAGCCACGTCTTGGGAATACAGGGGATCGAAGGCTTGAATCAAGGCCCAGTTCCACTGCCCTTTGAATGCGCGATGTAGCTAGAGCCACTTCAGTCACTGTAGATTGAATATATATAAATATATACACTTACAAGAATAATGGCAGAAGCAAGGCTGAAACGAAAGTTAGAAAGCGCTGCTGGGCAGAGTAGGCTCCTTGTGGAGCGCGCGCTTTGCAGTTCGTTTCTCAATGCGTTCCCAAAGAACTTTGGACTGGAAATAAATTCAGCCAGTAAGCAATATGGAAGTGGGGCATGGTATTGGAATTTCTGGCCCTAAAGAGACATCAGCGCGAAGACAAAGAATCGATCACTAGACCAACCAATCCTATATCACGTACGTGCAGCCATTCGAACGCTGTATCAACTTGATTGGCGGTAGCAATGGCAGCCGAAATGGAAGGGTTGAAAAGAAAGGTGACCGGGTCCAACATTTCTGACTCGAGGAAGAACCCAAGACAGCACCTTTTCCACATCGAAAGAAGTCGTGTTGGCCCGCGTGTGCCAATTTCATCTTTCAACGCGCTTAAAGATTGTTGTAGGCTAGTGTCTGTAATGATGATACACGGTAATCAGCACCTGACAAGTGTGACCATTGGGAAACTCACCGCTAGTATTTCGCAATACAGCAAGATGAAAGTGCCGACTCGCTTCGCCTGCCAAGACACTGGGATGCATGTTGAAGCATCGCATGAGTGCTGCTCCAAAAACCTCCTGATGAAGGTCATGGAACACTCGTTTAGAAATCTTTGAAGTACAATTATATCAGTATGAAGTTGAACGGGGAACATCAACTCACTGAGGACCTGGGACAAAATGGCTGACTGAAAGTACCGATATAGTACGGGTCATAAGTGCCGATAGGCTGAAGGGCCTGATCTGAGTAATCGTGGATGTCTGAGTTGACACCTGTTTCATCGATGTCCTGGATGCTCATCGCTGCAGGCCCGGGATCACGATGGTCACAAATGAGTGGGATAGACGCCGACTCATGCTTTATACACTAAGCATCAAGCACCTGCAAGTGATCCAGTCCTCCAGGTGCCAGCATCTCGGAATCGACCAAGTGCGCTCGAACACGATTGAATGGCTATTCAATAGCATGACTCACTGGCGGGAATGAAGCACAAGCGGTGGAGTAATGGCGATCTGGGTGTGGAGCTTTCCATTTGAGAAAAATACGCACATATTGAGTTAGCTTGGGCGAGAAAGAGTTACGAACATCGTAGAGTCACGTACACATATAAGCTTCCGACTAGTATGTACGTCTTCGAGATGAGTTGACCATGATATGCACGGTACAACAGGCTGGTCACGAGCGTAATTGGCGGATCTTTCAGCTTAGTAAGCAATTACCTGAATCTCAGAAACTGAAATCTCCTTAATTCAGTGGATTTACACATCTTGGTGTTGCACTTGTCTCACATGCCCATGATGTAGTTAACAACTTAACAATATGGTTGTACACTGCGGTCATGCGCACAGTGTGTTAGCGGGTGAACTGGAAACATTTGATCTAGAATAATTGAATATTGGCAAGTAAATATACAGCGAATTAAATTTTATTGTAAGTTCTTAACCAGAGTTAGCTAGAATGGTTTCCCCTAGGCCTGCTTGAGGCCTGCAGTTCTCAAAACTTTTGATGCATCATGATGTCTTGTGTATGCAAGAATTGTGAATTGTGAGTTCTGAGACTACTGAGTACAGCTGAGAAGTGCTTACCTATGATACAGCTGTACTACTAACTTGAAGATTCGGAAACAAAAAAAAAACTGTTGACAGCTGACTCAGCCTGCGCAGATTGCGCAGGCTATAATATAGGTGGATGTGGCACCCATGAGAGGCACATCTGCATCATCATGCCCGTTACTACCCGCCTTTTATCGTCAGAGGCATGCAATAGTGCCTATGAATGCAGGTTTCAATCACCTTCTACCACATCATTCAGAAGGTCCTACTCGCAGGGTCTTGAGAGCAAAAGGAACACCTTTGTGCAAAGTCCCTCCCCAAATACCCACCCCCCCCAACAACTTGAATAATGCCACTTCATTGGATTCACCATCAAAATCCAAGGTTCAAGTTAACAAATATCCAGCACCAACACCTTTGCAGAGGGAGGCATCCTCCAAACCAGCCGATGAATGTGTCCCAAGAGATGGTGAGTGTGTTGAGCGCTTGGCGCATCACACATTGCACCACACTCACCCTAGCGAATAGTAGCAATAGACTTGCGCAAGCGGATTATCGCCGCCATCAGAGATGCCGATAACGCGGAAGAAGTCGAAGTATGTAATCATCCATTTCGTTATCTTCAATTGACTCACGGCTCCACAGGAATTTTTCAATGTGTCAAAAGACGATTATCATTATATTTTAGATGCTATCGATGAAGATGATGATGAAGATAAAGTAATACGCAAGTAAGTACTCTGATATATCCATATCCATCCAATCCTGAACTCATCTGTTTACCTCCATCAGACTCGTATACGCTGAGGAACTCAAACTCCTTACCGCCACCCTGCCTAACCGACTTCATCAAGCGTACCTTGCCCCCGATGAGCGCCACACTGCTCGGCGCCGTGGGGTCGATAGGCATCCCTTACCGATTCGGGCAGATCCGCATTCAAACCGACATTCATCTTCTCAGCGCCGTTGGCCTCAAACTTGGAGTGCCGGACATGTTGATGGAGTACAAGGACCCGGACAGTGATTGCATCCCCCCTCTGGGCCACTGAAATCAGTGCCTCCCAGACGAAGAAATCGGCGACAAGGAGACTCGGCGGCTTCATGAAGGATCGCGGGGATCTCCTCGCCATCACGTCCATCGACGTGAAAGAAAAGAAGAAGCATGTGGGGCCCCGGTCAGGGTCAGAGGCGGTTGAGGTCTTAGAGGAACACGGATCAGTCTCAACGTTTTCGCAGTGGCTGTCGCACACGGCCCCCAACGACGAGGACCCTACCGTCATGAAAACATTCCGTCACGTCTGGCAGCAATCCTATCACCGTGACGATAACAACGTGGCTTCGCCGCCCCGACGGCAGTTTCAGTATTAAGGAGAAGAATCCCGATCTTTGCGCAACAGCGGTACGATCAATTCTCTCCTTCAATCCATCTTCTGACCAATTACAGGACTTGTTTCCTGAGCGCTGTGATCTTGAAGAAATTGATCACGTTTTTTCGACGTACCTTGGAGAGGATTAGAGACCGGGTTGTCTCCCTGATTGAAACCAGGTTTCCAAGGTACGTTTTTCTTATTATTGTCGACGAATTGATCTAATCAACATTTATTTGTTTTCCAGCGCCGTTAAGGATGCCGCCTTCGATCGTATTCGTGCGTGGGTCTCCTCCGGAACCGCTGAAACGATTGGGACCGTCTCGCCGATGAGATTATCGTCGGCGCGAGGCAAACGGGATACACGCGTTATGCTGGCTGTCATCAAAACATCCTCAAGCGCAAAGCAGAAGCAGATGAAGTGACCACCGGAGGTTCTGGATCTACGAAGAGGACCAGGGCAGCTTAGGGTTTCGTATGAACGATTGTCTCTCTTTCTTGTGTCGTCATGTTCACAATCGTGTTGCTCGTCTGATGGCATCCTTCCTATGCGTTTCACATCTACTCAAATGTAATCATATCCCATAGCTTTTTGTACACTATCGCAGAGAATGGATTTTCCCCCTCCCCCCTCGCAATACTTAGTACTGGTGGTCTTGTTGTCAGTGTTCCAGTGTGTGTTGCGACTTCGTCTAAAAATTTCGACGGTTTGCCACGTCAAATGACATGTCAAGATAGTAAGTAGGATCTTGAAAGAGTTGCCCTGTCGCGGACGCCTGATATTATAATGTCTCATGTGCTTTCATTTACCGTACAGGCATTATGTATTGTCAGGCAATTTCTACGATGGTACGATGGACAAACACTGCGGTATTTACTGATTACTGCGACACAACTTCAAGAACGCGTGCCAAGATGGCGATTTGTTCCCGAAACAAGCTGACAAATTCTTTCTCCAATCTAAGATTTTCTACCAATGGATCAACACCTCCAGCTGTATTAGTTGCGCTGCTCGATAAGGCCACACACCGCTTCTTGGCAAAGTCCTGGCTCCGAAGGTGAGTTTGATTTTCCGGTTCAAATCGGCAATGTGAGAGACTTACCCCACCCCGGACCCGCAGCCAGAGTGCGATTCACCTGATAACGCGCGTTTCAAATTAGGCCTTTGGTTCTTGGGATCAGGTGAGTTTGTTTGATAATCCAGTGATCAATAAAATTTCAAAAAATTTCACGTACTTTCAGCATCAAATCAGGCTGTACATCTGCAATGCCAGGTACTTTTGGTGTTGGCGACCGCGGCCTAATTATGGACTCGGAATCATCCTGCACATTGAGACCTGGCTCAGATCTCGGCCGATGACATTCTGGAAGAATCTGGCTGTACATATAATAAGTAATATCCTTGTGAGTCAGAAGGTGCCCCTTGACCGTTTGCTAGGTAACGGAATTCGCGAGGACTTGGTGAGTCTCCTAATCCGAGAAGTAGTGATGTGTTGTTGTTGTATCTAGAGCTTGGGCTGCTAGGCTGCATTATGAAGAATTCAAGCGGGTTTAGTGATGACGCCGAAAGGCCGGTAGACAAAATTCGGTAGGTCATTATCTTTTTAAGCACTAACATTATCATACACTTTCTAGATTAATTGACTATTGCCTGGACGGAGTCATTGCTCCACGTACGGCAGCTCCACAGCAGCTCCACGGCGCTAATACTTTCAGCCAGGGAACTTTCGTAATGTTAACGTCCCGTACGTGTGCGGTGTAAGATTCTTTAAAATTTCCGCTATAAAAACAGGTACCACCAGGCCAATTTCGCACGGTCAAACCACACTTCAACTTGTGAGATCTAGCCATGTCCATGACATACGCTATCCCTACGGGACTCATGCGATCCGAATCACCTTCGGTGCGCTCGCTTGGTAGTGCCTCAAATCTATTCCAAGTTCCCTTCTCAACGACACCCTCGAGGAACACCAATAGTCCACCGGCAATCGCACATGATGGAATGGGACTTGGTATTGAGTTTTGGCAGCATTTAGTAGGTCAATCAACTACTTTTCCCGTTAACCAATTCTCATTGTATATAGCATCACATTACCGACCCCCACGCTGGATACCCGTCAGCGTTAATGATTGCTAAATCATCACATCGCGCCATGCGCAACGGCCGAGTTGCAGCTCAAGCTCGCGTGGATCAGTTCATGTTGTTGTTGAGAGCACTGTCCGAAGAACTGGAGGATTGGAAGTGGAAGGAACAGGAGGCCGAACAAACATCTTGTCTTTGGCTCAAAAGAACGACACTCCACCTGCTGATCATGATGCATGACCCATGCAATGTTCGCCTGGTAACCATATATTAACTTATACATTTTTTTTTGGAATAGCAAACATCGTAGCGCTTGCTTTCCTTTGCTACTCATCATGATTAACGCTCTACGTACAGTGTAGTTGGTTTTGTATTTCTTATGTACATCAATCACGCTGGTACTACCAGTCCTTGCCATGACTGAGCGCTGAGCCTTTGTGGGAAAATGAAACCTTGTCACCTTTCTGTCAGGTGAGAATCGCAGTAATATTAATATTGCTTGTTTTCATTATCTTGTACAATTATGTAATGCCAAACCGCCGCATGGCACGCATGTGCGTGTGTAGTTTATGGCTGGCAATGCGGTTTCTACCGAGATATTTTCAATCTGAGTTCGAAACCTATAGCGAGATATTCCAACTTATCGTTTGTATCCCTCAGCTAGTACCACTGGACGCCCGCTCATTCCAGTTGCCGATACACGCATTACGCACGGCTCCGCATTATGCGGACACTTTCAGTTGCTCAGGCGCTGATCCGTGAACGTCAGCTGTTAACTTGTGCGACTAGGTCCCTGAGCATCAAAGGACGTCCTGGGAAGGCTCTTATTATATTTATTTTGACTGCTATGGTTGTACTAATGCTTTATTCTAGATTGTTAACTGACTCAGGCGCCCAGGAGGTGCTGGTAGTGCTGTAGATCAGCGCATCGGCACTCATGATCGGGTGTATATTCATATTCCATCCTTCGGTTCTGCACCCATCATATTTGCACCAACAACAAGCGCTTCGGCTCATTATGTGCCGCTCTGCTGTGTTGCCTTGCGCACGGCTCTACTACGTACTGGGTTATTATGGATCTGAAGCCGGCTCATACTAGCGCTCTTGGTATGACATTTTCGCATCGCTGGGTTCCTCTATGGATGTCTCCATCGGCAAGTTAACCTGTTTGGTGTTCATCCCGTAAATCTCCATTGCGCGCGGAACATGGAGCGGTGGTTGGAACCCAACAGGGTGAGTTACACTTTGACTGTCTCACCGCCCACACTGGACTGAATATACTCTTCTAGGGATCGTCTGGCCAGATATTGAGAGCACAGCTCCTAAGAAAATTTAAATTTACCCTGTGCCAAAGGGAGCGTGCCATTACAGTCCAATTCTTGGGTACCCCTGCACAGAGGCGTGCACAAATTCTGCAACTGGTAAACGTCATTTTGCGCTGACATTGTCTGTACGCTCATTTCTAGCAATTCAGCAGTGCAAGCTTTTTGAAGCGGGTGTCTCCCAAGAGGAGCTCCGTCAAATCCTGACCTAGCTGAGGTCTGTTACAAGTGGCAAGGTACGTCTAGGTGTTGTACGATACAAGGATCTTGATAACTGACTTCCTTTGCCTAGATATATCATGCAACGCGTTATGCTGAAGCCACAAGCTCTGGCTTAGGCTTGTGTCAATAATTTTAGTTGGTCTTTTGTGATACCGCCCATGAAGAAGATGGTGCTTGGAGCCTGAGGAATCGATTATAGACTTTTCCTCACTTCCATTGGAATATTCAATGAGCATCACCACATGTATTAAACTAGCTCACTGATCATATACATCATCGACCTCAAATAAATTACAGTCCTGTAAGGTGTCCGATTTTTTCAGCCGTAATGGTCATTGAATTAATTTACTTAAAATTTCTAAATCTACCTGCATGACTACTACACCCGCCATTGCTTCTGACAGTCGACCACAACCGTCATCTGGCTGACAAGCCTGGGCCATGGTCCAGCTTTGCTCTACAAGCAAATTCTCTATCACAACATCGCTCATCTTAATACTCTGCGTTGTGTTGATGGTCCGACTTGTCTGTGGCGCCCAAGGTTGCCAACGGGTATTACAAGACCAGCGCGCGCTCACGTTGCACCGCAAAACTTGTGCTGAATACAAAAAAACAGTGCTTGCTGTGTCTCAGAAGCGAAAAGATCGCGTGCGTAACGCAATAGCGACAAAGGTATTGAAAGACAAAACACGCGGTCCTTCAGTAGGTTCTATGTGATCGTCTGCGGATGCTTGTGCTTACAAAACCATCTCAAGTGCTCCGCCATTGCGGCCTCAGAGATCGTAGACCTAAGAAACACGGAATCAACAGATGTGGTATTGCCGCCTGAACATCCTATTATCGAGGCGATGGCCCCCTTGAATCATGCTTCTGAGTCGCCTATGGATGCTGACATCCGGGATACTACTAGTACCAATATGTTGACCAGAAGCCCAGATATTGATACATCAACGATGGACATTGGTAAGCCCGGAAATGCTATTGATTTCTTGCACTGACCAGGTACACATCAGATCATCACATCTCTGGTGAACTGCGTGCTCTTCCCGGTGATGGTAACGTGAACTTGGAATGCATTGGTGAGAAACGATCCTTGCACTTTAGTGTATGCTAATGTTTCACATAGCTCGCTCTAAACCGCAAAGAAATACCAGACTGCCCAAGCGGTATTGCGTCGATGGGCCTGTGGAACACATCGTTCGCAATATTGAAACCTCTACTCAGGACGTTGTACACGAAGATACCCTGGCGACAGATATACCACCAGCCAGAAGTGTTGTCCGAAGGGTGATTCTTCTTGTCACTGAATCCATTCGCAACGTCGTGGGAGCGTTTGGTCTATCTCGTGACTACCCACAGCGCCCGTCCTACGAACCGGACATATTCATTCCCTCACGTCTTCTGGTCAATAAATGTCCAACGTTACCCCCTTCCATCAATTTCACCGCCCCCACATCCTTTTCCGAACATGACTGTGTATCGATTGCTGAACTGGATGTCCAGCGGAAGTACGAGAAAGTCGGAGGCGGAGGTTTCACGTCTTGTGCACGATGTGCTACTTGCAGAGGATTTTGATGTCCATGGTCTTCAAGGCTTCAGTATGAGGAAGCATCTGAGCCTTCTCGATAGCACTCCAGACCAAAATCCACCTAATGGTGCTGCGAAGTTTCCGGAAGGTTGGATTGAGACGGACGTGACTATCGAAGTCCCAAGTCGGAAAGCGGATGCTTCTGGTGGGCATCTGTTTACAATCCCAGGATTTCACTATCGGCCATTGGTCAGTGCCATTTGCGAAGCGTTTTTAGACGCTCAAGCGAAGGCATTTCATCTATGGCCCTTTCGTCGTCTCTGGACTGACCCAAACGATGGGAATACGTATCGTGTTTATGATGAGCTTTATACATCAGATGCGTGGATACTAGCTCACGATGACCTACAGAAGCAGCCCAAGGAGCCTGATTGTGCTCTCGAGCGAGTGATTGCAGGCTTGATGTTTTCCTCGGATGCAACTCAACTTGCCAACTTCGGGAACGCATCGGCGTGGCCGTTATACTTGTTTTTTGGGAACTTGTCAAAGTATGCTCGTGCCAAGCCTGACTCCGGAGCGTGTCATTTGATCGGATTTTTACCATCTGTGAGTGTCATTTGTCTACTGCTACGTTATGGTTTCACAACTCCATGAAGCTCCCAGATCGAATTAAAAATACCTTCCGAAACCTTGGGGTCGTTACGAAAAGCGGTATAGCTGCTCTCTTCGCACACTGTCGAAGAGAGCTTTCCAGGGATGTTGGGACATCTTTTAGATGATGAATTTATCCATGCGTACCACCATGGTATCGTGATAAGATGCGCCGATGGCATACTTCGTCGCGTATTTCCTCGAATATTCACATATTCTGCAGATTATCCGGAAAAGTGAGTGGGCTCGCAAAATCTAGTAACGTACTACCAATGTAATGTGAATACCAGGATACTTATTGCAACCATCAAAGACATGGGATCATGTCTCTGTCCGCGCTGCCTGGTGACGAAATCAAAATCTGATCATGTCGGATTTTTGAGAGATGCGCGCGCGCGGATTGATAGTCTAAGGGTCTACTGCTTGCAGACGATACAGGCTGCACGAGATTTTGTATACAAGTCCGGGTACGCAGTCGATGGAACTGCAGTGGAGAACCTTCTTTTCCATGAGTCATGGGTTCCAACTATTGTAAGCACTATTCCATGTGTCCCGTTTACTGGCTGAGACACGACATTCAGAATGTCTTCGCTCAAAAGCTTGGGCGCTTCGGATTTGACCCATTTCGCATGTTGGTCGTTGACCTTATGCATGAATGCGAATTGGGAACGTGGAAGGGTCTCTTTAGTCACTTGGTCCGCCTTCTATACGCCCTCCCCAATGGCGCTGAAGTTGTTATTACACTCAATGAAAGGTAAGTCCCTTCTTTTTGAACTTGCAGAAAGATTTAGATTACCGTCAGATTCAGACTTGTGCCCACATTTGGCCGAGGTGTTATCCGCAAGTTCTCCGATGACACGTCAAGCATGAAGAGGTTGGCTGCAAGAGACTTCGAGGACATTCTACAGGTCATCTTTCTTAGGGAATCGCTACTGATGATATTGCAGTGTGCCATGCCCGTTTTCGAGGGACTCCTACCATCCCCACACGACGCAAAGTCCAGACTCTGCTGTTCAGATTCGCTGAATGGCACGCCTACGCAAAAATGCGGCTACACACCGAAGTAACCCTGGATTCCATGTCACGAACGTTTACTTCACTTTGCAGCTACGAAAGTTCCGTCGTCAGGTCTGTGATCACTATACTACCCTCGAACTGCCGAAGGAAAAGGCTGCACGGTATCGACGACAAGCACATAATGAAAGCCGGCCTACTGATGTATCTTCATCCTCTCCAAAGAAAAAGTCATTCAATATGAAAACCTACAAGTTTCACGCCCTTGGAGATTACGTTCAGTCCATTAAGTTCTTTGGAACCACCGATTCCTTCACAACACAAATTGTATGGCGCCAGTTTATTATTATCATGAGCTTCTACTGAATACTGAGTTTAGGGTGAACTTGCCCATCGAGCCATCAAGGCATTTTACCCATTCACCAACAAGAAGAATACGGCCAAGCAGCTTTCCAAACACGAACGGCGCCGACGCCGGCTTCGAAAGATGCAGGAGTTAGAGCAAGAATCGTCTTTGGCTCCCGACTCCCCCGATAATCTTCCGCCCCCGGATCGCGCCTTCATCACAAATATCCCATCATCGCAATCCTATCTATATACACCAACTACTACAGGACAATGAGAATGATCCAGCGCTCAATGTGTGTATTTTTACAAGCTTCTGTGCGCTAACTAATAAACCGCCCTTCAAGAAATTCATTCCGAAACTCAAGGACCACGTGTTGCGTTGCTTGCGGGGACAAGATAGCGATAGCCTCGTCGAATTTTCGAGCGATGACAGAAATAACATTGTCATATGCGACAATGTTTTGTTCTCCGTCAATACGCTACGGGTCAACTACACCTCGTATGATCTGCAATGCGAGCAAGATCTGATCAACCCGCGCAACCATGCTGATATCATGGTGCTATCAGGTGATTCAAAGGCCTGCTTAACTCATCCCTACTGGTATGCTCGAGTGCTACGTATTCTCCATGTAAACGTACTTGACCTACGATCGGGTGGAGCGCATCCACAAAAAACTCAGTTGGAGATGCTGTTTGTCCGATGGTTTGATCCGGTGCGGCGGTACCATTCTGGGATTCAAGCGGCCCGTCTGCCAAAAGTTGCATTTGTACCCGAGACTGATGACTCGGCTTTCGGTTTCGTCGATCCTGCGTTGGTGATTCGCGGGGTGCACCTGATTCCAGCCTTCGCAAATGAAAGGGTGCTCCAATCCACACCACAGCAAACATCAGCTGGACACAAATGGAGGTTGGACGATGAATGGACTGCGTACTATGTCAATATGTGAGTCCTCGTCTTGGATTTTCTTGATAGTCTCATGTCATTGGCAGGTTTGTAGATCGTGATATGTTCCTTCGTTTTACCAACGCTGGTGTCGGCCACGGACCCTGGAGAGTAGAGGATCCAAGCGAGGATTCAGGAGAAGCCTATAGCCATGACGAACCTGGTGAGGAGGACGAGGACGAGATAGGGGAAGAGGAAGAGGAAGATGAGGAGAGCCAAATGGGAGAGAATGATGACGGGGACGAGGGGAACGAGGAGGAGGGAGATGATGACGAGAACGAGAACGAGAACGACGAGAACGATGAGAACGACGAGAACGACGAGAACGACGAGAAACGAGAACGACTCTGATGCCGACGAGGGTGATAATTTCTAATCTAATACACATGAGGATACATTTTTGGTGTCATCTAACAGGTCCAGGTATTCTGCACGACTCTGGAAATATTCACTGCACACTCAGCCTTATGCATTCTACACCGCACTTGTACACTTCGACCCAAATTGTAGTTCTTTCGACACCCCACGGACAGTTACTAAATATATCGGAGTTTGAAATACTTGCCAGTGCATACGAGTTCGAGTTCTCGACACAGCGACCATCCACAACACCCCTTTCTTTCCCGCCATCATTACACCACATCCTGTTGGGCAGTCTTTGGGTGCGGCGACATCTTCACCAATCGATTTGTCTACTACCACCCTTGGTGGTGGAGTTGCAACTCTCCGTGCAGGTCAACATATGCGAGCGTCTCTTGGTTCAACCAGGAAAGCACCTGGATTTAGGCGGGGCTCCCCTGCCATGAGCACGACGCGATCAGTGCCAACTTTCTCTCTCACTTGTCATCCGGCCAGTATGGCAACGTTTCCATGGGTTTCGAACAATATCGTGTCGAAGACCCTTATGGGTTGAACAGTCGTGGACAGCAATCGGCTTGGACAGCGGTTGGCTTAATTCGTAAGATCTCGACTCGAGCATTTGGTCTGGTAACAGCGTCAATGATGCGAGCACTTCTACCTCTGCTGAAAGTGCCCCGAGTTCTCCACTGATGATCAGCGAAACATCATTTGTGAGTCCGTCACTCAGGATCTCATCAACATTTCGTTGAACATGCATGGTATGTCCAGAAGTTTAGCTCTAATGTCATTGAGAAAGCAAGTATTTTTTCTGTCTTGATGGTCGTTCTCATGCCGACTGGGATTAGTGCATCTGTGTGGCCGAACACAGTACCAGGAAAATTGTGATCGAAGAGCTACTCAATCGCTCCCGCTTGGAGAAACTTTCTCGCAACTCACTATTGTGTGCAGATACTATTTTTCTTTCGCACATTTATGGTTTGGGCTGGTCATTCTTGTTGACTGCGCTAGACTATGCTGATCCTGCACAGCATATGCTCCTCGTCGAAGGCATTCGCCTACGGTCATTCTCACATCGGTCCCCCACGGTCGTCAAGCGCGTTCGAACGACGGATGTGTCTTGCAAGGCACCTCTCCTCACAGCGCGAGCCTGACACCCCCTCATACCAATGCCACTGGCTATACGGACGTTGCTGGATATGCTAACGTGAGCCCTTTTGGCACGGTCGCTGTTGCTGGGTCATTGAATGATCCTTATCAGAGCTACGGCTATGGCATGTAGAGCGGGTACATTGATTGGTGTGTTTTTTCCTACTAATTAGTATACACGAGCTAACTATCCTCTTCTACAGCTGGCTACGAACACATTGGCGCCAGTCGCTACCACTGGCAGTGGGCCTCGATGCAACACTGAGGAGGAGTTCGTTGGATCTGAATGGGGACGAGTAGCGGATGGCGGGGCGAGCTGGGTGGACGGCGCTAGTAGGGTGCTGTTTTTTTTCATCATTTTCGCTCTGCATCGTCGTGTTTCATTCTGCATCAACGTATATCCCTGTATAGCAATACCTATCATCCAATTCATTTGTTTCATTGTCTATCAACGTGGTTCAATTGCAAATGTAAAAACTACCTGGAACGAAATCGAACGGGTATCGATCTGTATATTTGCTCGTTCGATCTCTATCAATAAAATCGAGAAAGTCTCATTTTTCACGATAGCCATTGATCGAACTACAAATTTCTATCAATAGCTATCAACATACATCCACCTCTATCTTGCTTATTTTCACTGGGAATTAGCAGCTAACTCGTGATCTAATGGTGACAAAATAATTTCCCCTTGTAATGACATGAGAGGAGTGTAGCGGTAAGTTTGAATATTGCC